CAAATGAGGTTATTGCTTTCATGAGGTTCATGCGACCGGGGATGGTTGTTGGGCCTCAGCAACATTGGCTCCATCTCAACCAGGGCAGCTTCCGTGAATGGTGGTTTGAAGACACCCTCAAAGAGAAACTGGCATTATCCAACCCAACAACCCCTGGCAAATCAATCCAAAAGCAGCGCATGACCAGCAATGGGCAGACCGCCACTCCACCAAACCCAACCAGTCCAAAACGTCATGCGCTTGGCGAGATTGACAACAATGAAGCTTCCGGGTATGCGGATGATACGCTACCCGCTCCCACGCCAGGGCAACCGCGTAAATCACACCAGAAGGATTCGAGACATCACCCGTATGCCCGTACCGTATCGTTAGGGTTAAGAGATGAGGCGGGTCTAGAGGCAACTTCTAGGAATGGAACTGCTTCAACAAAAGACGTTCGTCGCAGACTGGCAGATCACAGCGAGAGTGAGGAAGAGCTTCAACTCCAAATGCTTGCTAGGCGCGGGTCCTCGCGGTCCCCCATCTCCTCACCCCAGCGGTCCATGAGCCACTCCACCAATGCCACTATCGGATTGAGCATTCATGAAGATGTGGAGAATTACGGAGGCGAAGAGCAACTGAAGACGCAAAGCTCGACGGTATCAATGGCTACTACTAAGAGTGGGAGCGGTGTGCTTGGTGTCGGGAAGGTTCGTGGGAGTCCGAGGAGGGTTGAAGGGAAGACCGATAAGGGTGTGAGGAAACATAGTGGGCGGATTGGGAGTGCCGGTGGGGTTACGAGGCTGAAGTAATTCTACATGGATGGAGAAATGTATGCATGCGTTATCCGAAAACGCGGCTATTCCGGTACGGGAAATGCGATACACGACCTTTCTTCTCTCCCGATGTTCCTTTCCAATGATGTACAGTTTGTTGCTGCTCCTTTTTTCCCGCTGTGAAATCCCCTGCATGGCTGCTGGCAAGGCGTTCGTTGGAGCTCTCTTTTATATTCCTCATTCTTTTCTTTTCCTTTTCTCTTTTTGTTATTTCAACTTTATAAAGATTCCTTTTTCTTTCTTTCTTTTTTTCTTTTTTGCCCTTTTTCGAAGGTTATTGTTTTATGTTGGACGGTGACGAGGGTTATAAATACATACAGATGTCATTCTTCTAAGCCTCCTTTTTTTTTTTTTTTTTTTTTTTTTTTTTTTTTTTTCGGTTTTTGGCTAAAGATGCCTTGATGTTTTTCTTCCTATTTTTTGGGCTTTTTGCTCTCTGCTTTTGTCGGAGTAGTGAAGGTGTTTGGCATGTACTGTACTTAAATATATCTTTATTTTCATGCTATTTCAGTCTGGTGTGGCTTTAATGGTTCGATCATCAGCGCTTGGCGCTTAGTTAACTGTGATGTCGAGCGAAGACCATAGCCGTTAACTAGCAGCTAACGACCCACCCGTTTTCTGCTACAAACTAACTACAACACGGTCAAACGCTCCATCGGCGCCACTGCTCTATGGAGCAACAAGACCATAACCTACGAAAAGCATATAGCCGGCTACCATTCCGTCGAGTAACCTATCCCTTGAGAAGAACTGTCCCCCTCGACAATGGCCACCACTCTCCCCATCCCCCTCCCTCACTCTGAGATGGGAGCTCTTTCCAGTTTACCCCCGGAAGTCCTCCACATGATTCTCGCCCGACTCGATCTACCCACCCTTACCGACTTCTAACGGGGAAACCAAACTGCAATGGCCCTCATACGCCGCCTGCCAATTCCTCTACAACGCCCTCCGCACACAGACTTGTAACTACTGCCGGCAGTTTGCCGGCTACCTCTACCTCCTCGCAACTTGCCGCGTCTGTCGCTCCTGTTTCTCCACAAAAAACTCCCTACCTCCCTCTCTCACATTCCCAGGCCTGTTCCGGACTCTCCTTAGCGGATGGACACCTCCAAAACGTACCATCCGTGCAATATTTGCCGGGATGTTAATCTGCGTCGAAAATTCAAGTGCCCCGAGTGCATCAAACTGTTTGATCCTGATGCCCTTGGCCGCGATGTTGTCTTCATGCATGAACCAGAATCACTGCGCCATAGCAGATTTTGGTTAGCGTACAGCGTGATTATGGAGAGGTGACGGGCCCTCTCGCGCCATGCGGCGGATCGGGTTGCCGCCACCACACCAACCAGGGCCCGCTATGCGTCTTCTTTAGATCACAGGGAACAAAAGACTGACAATCATCAGTATTTAAGTTATGGCTTCTGATAGAGATTGTTGAACGAAGTGAGGCGTTTCGAAACATGTGGCCCTGATATCGCTGGACCACGGAACTGCATGTGCTTGTTAGCTGTGCAGAGAGGATAAATAGAGTATACTTCAAATCCTGATCTATCACGAACATGTTTTAAGTATTTCCAAACAAAGTTGCTGCAATTTTAGAAGTATAGATGCAGTACTAAGTACATCATATGCTGCTCCGAGGATGACTACCTCTCCAGTGATATGATGTTGTTAGTAAGTGCTCCTTTAATTCTAATTATGCTCCCCAAACGTATAATAAAACGAGACATGAATATTTACATCTGAAAGTCCAGTTTTTTGAAGCAGTTAAAGAGAATTAGCTATTCTTATGCGTCGTAGGTGTTTTAGGCATGAGCCATGCCGGCCACCAGTTTTGAACAGCAGTGGAGACAGAGGCACAGAAGACTGCGAGAAGCACCCTTATGCTCAGGAGTTCAATAAGCTTTTGCAGTCCAGAAATAGAGTTGTGAAAGATTCTCAGAACCTCCCATTTACCTGATGGTTGAATAAGTTCTTGGGGAACGACAACCATAATACCTTCTTCTCCAGTAAAGCGCAATCGCACGGCTCTGTTGATCCTCCTGTCAAAACTTCCAGCATCATCGTCAGAAGTAAACTCGTAGATAATATCGTCGACGTTATGCGCGTCAGAAGACATTTCAATTTGCTGCCCGACCCTTTCAGCGACCTTTGCTGCCCAACAATTTTGGATGGCCCTTTTGTTTGGAAACTTGACGATGATGCACCCGGTAGAAAGCGCAGTTGCATTTACTGCACCGTGGAAAAATACAAGTATCTCTTGAAGCTCTTCAAAATCCAATATTCGGTGGCAGCTCAACCTGCTGAGAGTAATGCCATTGTCGATAAGAGTGGAGTCGAGAACGTGATGCGATGTTGGAAATGGAGCAAGAACTTTGAATTCCCTCCCTGCGGCTTCTGTCCCATCATACTGGACTGAATGGAGGGAATTGGAGGTAACCAAGGAAGGCTTGTCGGTGGTTTCGCAGACAAAAAAGACCTTTCTTTCTTTTAGTGACTGGTTATAGGTTCGAACCAACGATTCAATTTCCCGCTGGACATATGTTGATTTCTCCCCAAGCATTTGCAACCCTGGATCTATGATATCAGACGACAGTGCTGTAGGGTTTAACATAATATATCAGAAATGGAATCTCAGCTAAGACAGCATGTAAAGGACCAGAGCTATTGATACTCACCTGCGACGGGCCGAATAACCGGCAGAACCAGCTGTTTCTGCTCGGAATCCCTGATACGCTGTTCCCCACGCGGTGACATTTCTTTAGATTATAATTTCAAAGTATATTATGATACTTGAAGTAGTGGCTGTGTTTCAGATATCAGCATTTGATGGAGGCTGCTTTCAATTTCACCAGAGTCGCAAGTCGGGAATTCTATGCTTGAAAATGTGGGGAATTTGTTGCATTTTTAAGAGCGAGAATCTAAAATTCTTTTTCACCGACTAGTAAATCTGCGTTCTAAGCCATATGAGGTTGATTGATGTCATTATATTTTATCAAATAGTTTATTTATCTTCGTTCCTTGGTTGCGGTTTGTGAATTGTTTCCAAGTACAGTTGTTCCTTGAAGGTTTATCTTGCTGGGTGAAGGAATGAACCCAAGGGCTAAGCTGGGACACTGGACTCCAGCTAGAGATTCGAAAATACCTACCTCTAGATATGCTTTTAGCCTGTAAAATCATTAGTTGCGGATCATGGGGGTGAAATGAAAGAAATTTAAGGTGTTTTTTCAAGGTGGTCAAGAGACAATGACGTCAATTGCGGCCGGCTTCCGCCTGAGGATTGCCGAGAACTTTAATTTTTGACACCCATTGCCGAAGGCGACGTCGCTTATCGAACAGTCGATTATGAATAAACTTCATTTTGGAGTTTAGAGACGATTACGATAGCTTGACCGTTTTAGAGTTTAATGTCAGACAAGTGCTTTATGAGCCACAATACACCAACATGATAAATATATTCTACGTAGTCTGGGAGATAAGCCCAGTGGAGAGAATAGTATGATTTTCCTGTTCACTAGCCTGCTAGGGCTGTTTATGTCTTTCTTCGAAGCTGCAATACCCGTACTTCTCAGTCATTGCTGCCTGGGAAGCGGGTTGGTGGGATTTGATGAAACGTGGAGTGAATCCAAATGAAGAGCGAACAGCGTCTGCCATGAGATGCCCAAACCTGTCTTCTAATGGCTCAGAAAGTAAATATATGCGATACCGTTGACCATTTGTCCTTTCCTGTAGAATAACTTGGTGAGACTACCAGATTTCGCTGCAATACCTGAGTTGAATTCGGAATGGCTGGAGTTCATCCGGAGCGAGCCAGCTATCCAGGAGCCGGAAACCCTCAGTTGACCTGGAGACTGAGCGGCGGTTGCGCTCTAGGCAGATATTAGATAGAAATGGTGCCTATCTGTCGCAATATGAACCTAGGTTGGCGCAAGCTGTTGCCAGAGATTCTACTGTGACCGCTGGAGATGGAGTAAGTATTCCAATCAGGATATACGATGGCAATCAGTCAGCGAACCGCCCGGTGGTAATATTCTGTCATCGTGGTGGGCTGACAGGCTGGGATCTCGATACCAGAAGATTGTATGTTTTTCTATCGCCTCCTAACATTTATATCTGTGCTGTTGTTTGAATGAAGAAGCTAATTCTGGAAATATCTGTATTTGTCACATATAAGTACCATGAAGACGCATGGCAATTAACTGTGCCACAGTCGTTATCAGTGTTGCATATCGGCTCGCTCCTGAAAATTCATATCCGATACCGATTAATGATGCATGGGACAGCTTCTTGAACATCGCGAACAACAATCCCACGACTCTCTTACCAAAGAACACCGGATCCACCAATTTTTATTATTGCGGGCACTCCATCTGGCAGACATCTAGCTGCCATAGTGTCTCAGTTGGCAACAGCGCATCTCTAAAGACATTGGATATCCCAACTTTGGCAGTATGCGGTGTCGTTCTCCGGAATCCGGCCACCGTTTACGGTGCAGAGAAACAGTACATACCGCCTCGGTTTAGGGATATCCATCAATCGTGGGTGCTAGAATTGGATCACCCGCGTCTCTTCAGAGAGGAGATGAAGAAAGTCCACGGTAAGAATTTACTTCACTCTTCTGTTTTAATGAATAAATTAGCAACAGCTAATTAACATATTCCTCGCTACCGAAGACCTCTATGGTGTTCCTGATTCCGAAAAGTGGATCCTCTTGCCCATCCACTATGGCGTGACCTGACCAGTCTACCGCAAACCTTTATTCAGATTTGCGGGATCGATATATTCAGAGATGATGTAGTTTGCTATGCCGCTGGTTTGGATGATGCGGGAGTTGACGTTCAATCGAAGATGTACGAAGTACTTATCAAGCATCAAGTAACATTTCGTCTTGTACTGGGACGTGAAATGTGCTAATCCTGCTAATCCGTGTGAAGGATCTCCCGCATTTGTTTTGGCTGCAGGCGCCGCAGTTGGAGATATCGCGGAAGGTAGAACAGGACTGTGTTGATGGGATCAACTGGATAATCAGCAAAAGGCAGACGAAAACTCCAAACTAACACTCTTTTATGCAACGTGGGGAATAATGAATGGATGTATGTATGTATGTATAAATGTATAGACATGAACTAATTAGCATAGAGATGTGTTGAACACCTGCAGCGCTGTTGTTCAGGAGGCAAATTGGGGACGGTGTGTCCACTCATTTAGTTTGCAAGTTGCCTGTTATTCTACAACTGGCTAGCTTCGCATATGGATTCACCAATGAAAAAAGCTGTTCTTGATATTATTAACACTGTGGGGGTTGATATTTAAAACTCTAGGATAAAAAAGCTTATCATTGGAGGGAGCTGTGGGAATCGATCGTTAACGCTGATGGGATTGGAAGAACGCCAAATGGTTATGCAGTTACGACGTCTTGAAGTTTGAAGTTAAATAGTTAATTGCAAAATGGGCCATTACGGGGTTTATTTTATTTTATTTTATTTTATTTTTCAGTCGTGAATGAAATGAACTTAAGCCGTATCTCAACTGATTACCTGCTCTATCAATGCTTCCGCTTGATAAGGTGGCAAATTATATTTCATCATCATATTGGTTGATGATTTATGTTCAACATTTTCTAACTCCTAGCGTTGATTTCGAGTTACCCACCATGGGGTTAGAGGAGGGGAAGTGGATTTTTCACCGTTGCCAATATGAATGATTCGACATCCCCGTGGGTAGTGCTGAAGAAAATACATAAGGGCGAACACGTTCCGTTGAATAGAGAAAGCGCTTGATACTGAAAAGGATGAGGATAACTTGCGAACAATTTGATTGTTCTATCATGGACAACAAAACTTTCGACGTGCGCATCCATACATGTGCCTGAAGATCTATCACTGCGCAAAGTCTGCTTTCGACTAAGGACTATTTGGGATGTATAACTACTGACCATGAGAATAACATAATCATGCAGAAGGCTTATGTGCACTATCATTTCGCAACTCTGCCGGCGCACTGCCATTCATCTTAAAGTATCCCGGCTGCAGCTTCTGAAGAACCTGCTCGGGATCATCGTACAACGACACCTCCCTCAGCCGCTGAACAATTTCAGGCCCATAACTAGAGATCACGTCCTGAAACTGGCTGGCATAGTTCATAAAAAGATAGTCGACATGGAGGCCGGATTCTTTGGCTTCTTCCCTGATCGTCTCTAACATGATGGAGAAGGCCTGATAGATTGTCATGTCGTCAGTCTCGTTAGACCAGGATGCGGAGAGGAGGAGAACGGCATACGGTCCGCCTTCGGCTGGAAGCCCAAATGTATTACCCTTCATTCGCGACAGCATCGATTCGGTGATGGTTTGGAAAATGCAGTCGGCTTTTATGTTCCTGATATGTTTGAGTGACTGAGTGGTCGCAAGAAATGTGTCCACGACAAATTCCGCAAGCTCAAAGTCCAATCGAAAAGTGTATGTCCAGTGGGTATTTCGAAGCCCTGATGGGGTTTCATTTGCCAATCTTTTTGAGATCTCGGACATGTATTGAACCAACGAACTCTCAAATAGAGAAGGTATGGCTTTCATCTCGTCAAATATCGGCGGATACGGGATTCCATCCGCATTTTCAAGGCCAATGCTAATTGTCTCAGTGTCATTAGTGACGGAAAAGGTTGTATAACGGTTACTGCTGGCTGGGTCTTTGGTTGAGTTCCTCGCAATGTTCACATATGCAGCGAGAACGTCTTGTGTTTTATCCATGTCGAATACGTGTAGTCCCTGCCACATTTGCTTTTGAGGGTATACGTTTACAGTGAACCTGGTTACGATTGCAAAGTTGTTTCCTCCTCCACGCAGTGCGAAGAACATCCCCGGCTGTTTAGCGTCGATATTGAGAATTCCACCATGGGCACCCACAATCTGGAAGTAACCGATGGAGGTTATTGAGTTGACCATGTCCAACATGAAAACGAACCAGGTGCTGGATGGTTATAAGCTAACCTCATAGTTTCTAACATTGTCGCAAGCCCATCCATATAGATTGGACAGAGAAGAAATACCGCCTAAAAAAGCATCGTCAGCTTATGATTCAAATTTGAAGGAACACCTATCAGTTACGGACACTTACCTCCAAGTATCTGGCCACCGACGCCTTCACCTGCGGTACTTCCACCAATCGCGGTGAGATTTTGTACTTCCAGCTTTTTATAGACATCATACCACGTATTCCCTGTACCCAACACCGCCGTCTTCTTATCCGGAGATATTGTGATTTCGTTGATCGAACGCAGATCAAGAGTCATTCCATCCTGGATATTGGCAGCCCCTGGGAACGCAGAATATCCCCCACTCCTGACAGCAAATGTGCAGTTGACCTCCGTATTTACGAACGTGGCGAACGACACTTGCTTGGTGATTTGTGGCCGGAAAATACACGTTGGCTGAAATTTCGACTGCTGCTGTGACCAAAAGCTCGCCTGGAACTCACTGTATGTCCTGTTTCCTGGAAATGCAACTGTGCCTGGGTATACCTTGGAAAGGTAAGAACAGGCAAATATACACCGGCGGGGGACGGTATCATTTCTGCTAAATTTAGGAACAATCGGTAGCTTTTGAAACGATGTATCTTGATAAGCTAAGGGGGAGGCAGAGTCGATATCTAGTAGCTCGAATGCTGCCACTAAGCGCCCCAGCAGAATCGAAACCAGCGCAAGATTGTAGCTTAACCACATCGCTAGGAATGAACCTGGCAATATCTAGCTGGCTTAGTATAGGGGATTGAATTATTTCAGTGGACAAAAGCATAAACCGCAAGTTTAAGTTATTGGTGTAAAATGTCGGGAGCAGATTTGGGGGGAAAATAACACGACTTCTCCCTCGTCTCGTTGCCCCCGACTACAACAACGCATGGAAATGATTGAACATAACTAATGCTAGCCCCGGAAGGAAAATGCTGAGATAAATCCAACTGCCAGAAAGGGGTAGAAGTTGGTTCCCAAACAGTTCTATATTATCACTTCGGGGCTGCTTTGAATGCAAGTTATAAAAAGTATTTGCCGCGCTTATTTTTTCAATGCAGGGTTGAATTCCACTCAACATTATATCTATTTGGCTCATCTTATCAATCAGAGCAGAGCATCGAAAAGGAAATAATAACATGACAAAATGGATGGGGTTAAGACGGGAGTTGGCCATTGGAAAAATTATCGCCAAACTTTCAACCCAGATGAATGGCTGGATCTAGACTTGAGGATATTTAAAAAAAAAAATAAAATAAAATAAATAAATAAATAAATAAATAAATAAATAAATAAATAAATAAATAAATAAATAAATAAATAAATAAATAAATAAATAGAAACTCAAACTTCCGTGATGCAGGCGAACAGGAAACTCCAAAGGTCATGTCTGGTTCGATTTCTGGGAAGTTCTATTTCCTCCTTTATTTTAAGATGTCAGTTGTGGCTGTGCCCTTTGCGGAGTGTTAGAGACAGGCTGACTATAACTGAATGTTACCTTAAATTCAGCTTCCTTGCCGGTGCTAAAATTAAATCTCTCAACCCATCGAACGTCCGCTACGATGTTTATATTAGGGTTGGAGTAGTTGGTCATAAAGGTTGGATATATTATAATTATAATACAATTTTAAGAGTTTACCCGTGTCGACAGAGACCGCACTTGCAGTTGGTTGTGTCGGAAATGCGGTCTAGAATAAGTATATGACTGACACTTTTAAGGGAAAAGTTTATTGAAAAAAAAAAAAAAAAAAAAAAAAAAAAACTTATCGCTAGTTAGTTCCTAAATGAAAATACCTATAAGCGGGACAAATGAGAGAATAGCAGATTTGTAGGGTAATAGAAAGGGCTCTAAAATTTACTTTATTTGGCAACCATCCCGTCAGAGGAGCACGGACGTTGCTAGGATGCCAATGACCAGGCGGCATGCAACCAGTCGCGGAATTTCTGAGGATTGACATTAACTAGGGAATGCAGGTTAGGGGCCCCAAAGTCATAACAACCAGCTGTTGTTGCTAACAGGTGGTGAAGGCTCCATTGCTCCAAGATGTTGCTAGAAGCTTTCGCATGTGCCAGAGAAGTTTCAAGGGATTCGTCGGTAAGGAGAGTTTTTCAAATTGAACACCTGAAATTTTCATGAATGAGTTTCCACCTGCATTGCATGAGAACGAAGCCAGGTATACCGTATAACATATTAAATCTGAGACAGAGAGAGCGAACAACAAGGGTAAAAGGGTTAAAGAAATAAGAAAATCTCACCACGCACGTTTTCCACTACGTTCACAACATCACTTAAAGCCATACGCTCACCATAGACTCGAAACTCCGTCGGCCACTGCCGCAAGTCCAGCGCTGCAACAATATATATACCTCGCCAAATCCTGCGCTGACGTCATACACAGGCACACAGAGTCCCCCATCACATTGAAATACGGAATTTCAGTCGTCATAGTACGTATATTCATAAGGTAATCCCCTTCAGCGTCTATACGTGTGCTCTTGCCAATTTGGAAGGAAGCCATACCGCCCGGAGCAAAACGTTCGTAGAATATCCCACAAGCAAAAACGGCATACTCCATGCCGTACTTAGCATACCCTTGCAAGCGGGCAAGACTTCTCCTGTTTCCTCGGTCCAGGATGTCAGCTGCTGGGCGCGTAGATTGACTCCCCTCAAATTCTGATGGAACAAAGCGCCTGACGTGGAGTTGGGCAGCGGCATCAATTAGAGCTATTTCGGGCTGCCCTGATATGGTGGATATCACGGTGTCAATGCCGGTTAAGGCGTATTGAAGATCGTTATTGTCGCCGTAATCAACCTTTATAACTTGCCAACCTTTCGCGGTGAGGCCCGGGTTGTCCTGGAAATGTGACAGTCAGTGATTAAAGTGGGGCTGCAGGAGCTGTGATGTAGGAGTGGGTGGAGATTCTCGAGAACTATAAGATGTACATACATTTCGCGAGAGGAAAATAAACTGGTGACTAGTTAGTGTGGAGATGTAATAGGCAATGTATTGGGCAAGCCCACTAGTCCCGGCGATAGCGATTTTGATCATCGTCAAACTATGTGTGAAATTGGATGGCCCCAAAGTTCCGGGGATGTGGGATCAGGATTAGAAATAGGTAGCGGAAAGGAGGCATGCTACCAGCTGAGCCAACGCATGCATTTAATTTTCAATGGTTTTCAAAACAGGAAAAGGGCCGATAAATCTGCTGGCAGTGACTAGGCTTTAAACTTCAAGTCGACGTCGTGGCCTAGGTGTCCACGATAGGAGAGGAAGAAATGAGGACTTTGAAGAGAAATATATGAACTTAACCTGGGACATGTAGTGTGAAAGCAGGATTTCTCAAGAGCTTAACGTAGGTAGGAAGAAGAAGAAAAGGCTGTATTCTTCCGAAAAATATAGCAGAGAAGTATTTATAAAGACTTCTAGCCAAACAGCTAGGAGGATAAGCTGGCTGTATTTGGCCGACCGTGATATTCAGCTGGTAGCACAGCATGAACCCTAAAGTTCACATTCACAGTGTAAAGATATGAAGAGCGTATGGAATTGTAACCATTCGAAAATGGTTGGCTTCATAATTGCTTACCTCGTGGATTCTGTTGCTCTGCATGAACCAGTTCATGCCAATGCAGCATAAAAGAGTATATAGAAAGTATGTGAATTGCCTGCTAGCTGTAACAGAAAGTGAAAATGCAAGTACAAAGTTCAGATCAATAAATAGAGGGACGTTTTGGGTGCTTTGTAGCGGAAAACTTCCTGCAAGTATAACTTGAAAGTGAAGATGAAGATGGCTGCTGATCGACGAAGCCATGGGTGGGCCCGAAAGATGCACAACCAGTACGATGCCATCAGAATCCTTATTTGAGGCAAGCCCACTAGGACGCGTATGGCATAGGGCTTAGGTTACAGAACTTCAGTGAATATGGTCGGAGAATTATCAGGTAGACGAGATGAATGAGCCTGGAATGAAGCAGAAATCTGCAGGCACCCAGAGGAACGAAGGCGGGGCATCGAGTGATGAAAGTAGATAGCACTCAAGAAGCCAAAGGAACAACCATCCATGGGTTGTCCAGGAAATTGTCGCAGAGGGCTTACAGGCTGATATAACCGATCAGCCTCGGGGAGATGGAATACTTTCCTTCTCATAGCATAGGTGAAAGACGTATAGGCTCAGGGTGACAAGAAAACCCGCTGGACAGCGGGACTAGGCAGTGGAATGAGTTTCCCAGGCTCCAACAGTTGCTCCCCTATCGGGGACTTAGTAGAACGACTCCGGATAGATGGCGAAGTGAATGGCCTTCGAATCATCGTTTCGTACAGTCAAGCAATGGTCCATTCATGGAAACCACCTTAGATATCAAGATACTAATTCCATTTTCGCATTCAGAGTTGACAGGAAACGACTCCCAAAAAAGATTAGAAGAAGGACTCGGAAGGTCAGAGGTCAGAGGTCAGGGGATGCATTGTCCACGTGTGTTCGCGTATCTCTTGGCATCGCGGCAAACGCGTCTACATTTACCGAGATTACGCAGGGGATCTTCCATCGAAGAAAATGAAATGAAAAGACGGGACGTTGGGTTCATTAATTACCTCTTTGTCTTGGGTGATAATTAAAGAGAGTTCCTCTGATCGAAATTGTTCCATGGCTCATTTCTGTCTCTGTGAAGAATCATTCCGCTTCCCTTGGCGTACCACTGGACGGAAATGTCTGGTATCAGGAACAAAACCGCGTCAATCAACCAAAATAAAACGTTGCGATCGTTGTCATTGCACGACTTCGCATCGAGAATAAAAATATAAGTTGACTTGGAGAATCAGGAATGTTTTTTGGCGGTTGATATTTACTTCCCCCACTAGTAAACTACGGAAAGCTAAGCGACAAGCAGGACATAAATACCAACAGCCAAGGCAAACGAATCCACCTCACCCGACCTGGATGACCGTGCACCTCCGCGTCACAGCGCGACGCGAGCAAATATCACTCCTCGTCGTCCTCTTCTCCTCCCGCCGTGCAATCTCATTGTGACTTCTCCATGCAGTAGATTCTCCGTATCAAATTCGACACAATTGTCTCCAAACCCCTCGCCACCCATCATGGACAATCCCCAGCAATCATCGCCGCCAGAGGGTGCCAAGTCGTCTACGATGCCATCTGGAGACGCTACGAATAATAACTACCCTTTCCTGGTCCATTCTCAGAAGACATTGACACAGAATTTGCCTCCCAGGGTAAACAACAAAGCTCTGGCTCGGCAAAAACGTAGACGCACCAGGTACTTCACTACTCTCCAACACTCTGTTCTACGTCGACCGTGGTTCACGGCATTGTGTCTGCTATCTATGCTCCTCTCTTCAAGACCTTACAACATTCATATGCCATTTGTGGTTGCTAATTCGCATATTAGTCCTGATGACCAAAAAATATTAGAAGCGGAATATCATCGGAACCCGAAACCAGACAGGGCAAAGAGAGCGGAGATTGTCAACAGAGTTACATTGGGCGAGAAGGAAGTTCAGGTACGATTTAAGTGAAATATCTATGTATTCTGAATCAAGGTCTAACGCCATCTTTGATGAAGATATGGTTTCAAAATCGTCGACAGAATGATAGACGCAGATCCACACCCCTCCACCCAGAAGACTTCAGACCGTCCAAATGCTCTAGCTCGGACCAGGACGCGAATAATGACAACAGCACCGCGACTTCTGGCTGCCCCTCTACTCAATTATCTAGACCTAGCCAGGAGACTGCTAATCAGCTCGGTAACGTGCCACGCGAATGGATATCACCACAAAGCTCATTTGGGTCTGGAACGGGAAGTGATTGCGGAGGAATTCTTGATTCTTCTCAAATGAGAGCGTCGCAGATCACCAATATGTCTCAACGCGGGGAATTAAACGATCAAGTAGTCAGTCCGGAAGAGCAACCAGGCATATATAAAGAAGGCCCAGTCATACCAACCAATGAGCCATGCCATATCCCCTCCGCCAACCGCAAGCGGTCCAGATCTGAACCCGAGGCCTCAAACGCCAACTCAAAGAGCGAATACAGCCCACCCACTTCAAACACGTTTAAACCACCGTCACTACGCATATCGTTATCCTTTGACGGGGAAGCTGTTGTACGCAAGGAAGGAGAAATCACACCATCACCACAAAAGCCGATGGATTCAATACGCATTTCTATGTCTGCGGACGGTGAGGCACTAATCAGAGGTGCAAACGAGGAATCTCCCACGAAGGGTCACTCGTCTCTATTGAATTTCACCCGACCTGCTTTGGGAGGACTGCGGAGGAGCATCAGCGCTTTCCCCATTGGATCACTAAGGACAACCAATGACCAACAAGATCCCAAACCATTTGGGAGATCTCGCGACTCCCGTAACTGGGAACTTCATTGTGATACAGATGCCAGAACTGCGTTGTTAGGATCGAAAAATAGTCTTTCGTCTCTTGCATCTCGAACAGGAAAATTAGCTCGTCGAAAATCCGATCTGGGACAGCCCAAAGTTTTAATGCAGCGGACAAATCTCCCAAACACATTGCCACTGTCAGGAGAACCACGAGGGAAGCGGAAAAAGTTGTCACGTGCGATGTCATCCGTAGCTTGTTTAGAATCCGGTTACAAATCATTACCTTCAAAGACAGGAGATGGATCTCTAGAATACCATTTCGGCGATTCTGACAAGGAAAATTGGATTCCAGCTACACAAATATCTGCCTCCAGGCGCTCTCCTAGCAGCCAGAGGTCTCGTCGTGGGCTGCTTCAAAACCCCAGAGCCAACAATGAAAATGGTAGTAGTCAATCAGTCAACGGATCTAACAAAATGCAAACGAGCTATCGGGGCCAGCATCCAAATAGCACCCGTGGAGGGGAAGGGGGTGGAATTGAAAAGCTTTGCAGAGTACCTGACGACGTATCTCAGCTGATATCTGGTCCCAACCAAGATGAAGATTTGGACTGCATCCAAGGATTGCTGTCTTTGAGCCAGGGTGCATGGAAGTAGCTGACCGTGTTGGTCAACTGGCAATATGAACTATATTTTTGCTATATATTTTGAAAACTGTCATTGGCGTTCTTGGGGAGGCATGGCTTATTCGTGTAAAATAACAGCCATGCCTTATATGTGTCATTTTTATTTCATGAAACCCTGGTTTAATAAATCAATGTTGTTATTATATGTTTAAATTGTTTCTTTGTCCTCACAGTAACGCCACAACGATCCGATAACTAGCTAGTTACCTGATCGGAAAAAAAGATGACTCAACATCTCAACCAATTCGAGCGCTCACAATTTACCAAACTTTTGCACGTCGCTTTTTTCTTTTTGCATGAAAAAAAAAGGAAGATAAAATAAGGAAGAAAAAAAATAAAATTCCACTATCAGCAGATATTGCAGTGAAAAGAGCCCTTATTGACCCTTCTCACGTCAATCAATAAATTTGCGTGGCTGTGGATTATTTCCAGCCTATCACCTGCATCCCGCATTAAGTCAGCTTCTTGAACCGGCTTCCGCCGGCCTTACGACTCTCTTGCTGTGAGGAGCACGATTGCCAATCCAACTGCGATTTTCAGCAAATGTTCATATTTTGATTATGCACGTTTCCGCCTGTTTCTACTTTTTATGGGTATCCCCGCTCGTTCTTATCATTTGATACTTTGGTTTCCTCAGCTTGTGGGTATTTCTGGATTACTCTTTGCTTTCAATAATTTTGCTTGTTATAATTTGCCGCCCAGTTTTGTATGTTCCTGGTCCTCTGATGGGTGCAGCTACTTTTTGACAGGTGGGAGATGTTAGCAATAATCAGTTCCCATTGGTGCTGTGGAGAAGCAGAGCAATTCCAGATGCCACGCTTTAGCCAACCAGGTCATCTCCTTGTTTTACAGATGTGCACAGCCAGCAAAATAAATACTTCGCATATGCTCGTCTTTTGTTCTTGAGTTTTTTGGTTGCAATACCTCCGTCATTTTGGTTTCAGTCGTCAATATTGAACACCTAGAAACACGGGAGGAACGCAGACGTTCCCGTCCTTCTGTGGTTTCTATATCATCGCTGTCATTATCAGCTGCCTCCACAGTTTTTGCAACCAGGTCTATGATAATGGAATGCAGAGCTAACGGTCTATCGAAATCTACCAAGTGGCTCCAGATCTCCCCGCTCACATTCGACTTGCCTCTGTGTCCACGTTTGCATACTACGACCGGTCTATTTCAACATAAAGAGGGTTTCACAAGCCTCTCTACAATGCAGAGGGCCCCGCATGTGGGAATAGTCGGGGCAGGCGTAGCGGGCTTGAGGTGTGCAGATATTCTTATAAACCGCGGCTTTCGAGTAACTATTCTTGAAGCCAGAGACCGAATTGGTGGTCGTGTATGATCTGATTTTATTCATCTTTTGACAGCCCTTTCACTCTGATATTTCCAAAGGTAGTAATAATTTGATATATCGCTGACTTACTCTCCAATATGCTAGATCTGTCAAAGTGATGTTGGCGGGTTTGAGGTGGATGTGTAAGTGCAACTTCGGGTTTTATTTATCTTAGCGCAAGTTATAAAGCTAATATCTGTTCTCAGGGGACCAAACTGGATACATGGGACCCAAAACAATCCCATTGCTGATCTCAGCAACAGTACAAAAACCATTACCCATGCCTGGGATGGTTTGCCCCATGTTATTGATACTACTGGAGAGCCCCTAGACCATAACATTGGAACAAAACTTTCAGAATTTATATGGAAGATTATAGAAGATGCGTATGATTACAGCCGTGTCAATAAAGACAGTATCTCAGCCAACGAAAGTCTCTTTGACTTTATCAAGGAACGGCTGGAAGAAACTGAGTTTAGTCAGTATGAAAAGGAAAAATGCATTGAACTGTCCAAGCTATGGGGTTCATACATCGGGTCCCCAATAGACAGGCAGAGTTTAAGATTTTTCTTCCTCGAAGAGTGTTTAGAAGGGAGTACGCTGTTCTCCGTTCTTCTGTATCCTCTTTTTTTTCCCCACAAATTGATTAATTTGCTAACGCTTTTCCTTCTAGCCAATCTTTTTGTGGCAGACACGTATAAAAAAATCGTGAACGCAGTCGCTGCGCCTGCGCTCGAACGTGCTGAGATCCATTTCAATGACCCCGTGGTTAAAATCGAAGCAGAACAGCGAGTTTCTGAGACTAAACACCAAGTCCGGGCTGTAACTTTGACCGGGTCACAATATACCTTTGATGAACTTGTCACCACCTTTCCCTTGGGCTGGTTGAAACAAAACAAGTCCGTTTTTCAACCAGCACTACCAGCTCGTCTCTCTCTAGCCATTGACAATATTTCATACGGCCAGCTAGAAAAAGTCTATGTACATTTCCCCTCCGCTTATTGGGAACTTAAACCCAACGCAACGCCCATCACTAGTGCAAAACACTCCTTACCGGCCCTCCAGCAAAACTCTCAAGCCCAGCCCCCTAAGATATCTCCATTTACCGAATTTCTCTCCCCCACCTACGTCAATCACCCAGATTCCCCTTTTTGGAACCAAGAATGCGTCTCTCTTTCTGCACTCCCTGCCCCCTACGCCCATGCCACCCTTCTATTCTACCTATACGGCCCTTCCGCCAACTGCCTCATCTCCCAAATATCCCCCCTATCCCCAACCTCAAAGGAATACCACGATATCCTCAACAACTTCTTCCAACCATTCTACTCCCGTCTACCAGGCTATGACGCCTCGTCGCCTAATTGCCGCCCAACTGCCATCCTGGCCACGCAGTGGCAAACCGACCCCTGGTCGGGCAACGGCAGCTACTCGAATTTCCAGGTCGGGCTCGTGGAAGGGGATCGCGATATTGAAATTATGCGCGAGGGAATGGGTGTTGAACGGGGTGTATGGTTTGCAGGCGAGCATACAGCGCCGTTTGTCGGGTTGGGGACGACTTCTGGTGCCTATTGGAGCGGGGAGGCGGTTGCGGGGAGGATTTGTGAGTTTCTGGCTGGAGCGGGTGGGGAGGTGTGACCTTTCTGATCTGATTTGCTTGTGAGGGGGTATAGAAAGGGTTATCTAGGGCTTAAGTTTTGGTTATTAGATGCTTTCGGGGAGTGTGAGAAAACGACGCATATACCGTATGTCCCTTTGTTGTTGTTGTTTCTGGTTTCCTTGCTATGTTCATGGGGTGCTGAGCTGGGGCGGCATGGCCGCGGATTGATAACTGTGGAAATTTTAAGATTTATACCTAGCAGTAATCTCACTATTTTAGACTAGCTACTGAGGTTAGGGCCATGTCATCTCCTACGGATATATCCTTACTATTCATTGCTATCTATTATCCAAGCAACAAGCCATAGTTGCCGGAGACGTTGAGAGACGCATTTAATTTTGCAAACACCCATTTCGAAATTGCCTATAGATGTCAGCATCCCACAGGTCGAGGACTGCAGAAAAATCTCAGGTGCTAAGAGAAACGGTGATCTCAAGAACTTCCCAGAAGATCCACTCAATTTCATTAAGCAATGGCCAGTGCGTATAGGTGCGCCAGTCAGTTGAAGAACGGCATAATGTCATATACATATATATATATATATACCATACTTTAGCTTCACATATCCTTTTGCATGCAGAAATGTAAAATAGCAGTCGAAAATATATGAAACTGGTGCAAACACATGCACTGATGCATGCATGTAATCAAGGGTGGACATGAGAAAATGGAAACTTGAAACACCGTCCCTGACAGCTTGGGTTCCGAATCCGGCTGAGGTTGGGCTTATGGCGGGTGTTATGTTGAGAGTGAAAGTCGGATAATTGAGAAGTTTGACAAAGATATGAAAGATGAGATGGAAACTGGGTCAAAGAAGAGCCATCCTACGGATACACCACCATACAATTCTTGAATATATTCTCTATTCACCAATGAGAAAGTACAAGGATGATTCTTTATTCGTCAGGAAATAAAGAATCGGGTTAACTAATAGTTGCTAAAAAGGAGAGACTCGAACAACAAAGGGTAGAATGGGAAAAGAAGAAAAGAGTGGAAAGAAACAAGAGCGAATAGGGTATTGCAAGCCTTGCTCGACCAGCGCCAAACTGCTCATGACGTAAAAAAATTGACTGAAAATGGGACAAGGCAGTAAGTATTGTTACAAACACGCCAATAACGGGACAGAATCCGGAGGGGGGGAAGAGAGTGTTGGAGAAAGGAGACAGGACACACACAATTGATAGGTCGCGTGGCATGTAGGTGTGGAGCGTATGTGCATCTTCCTCATCACCACTTCAATCCTCCCAGATAGTTTCAAGATCCAGGTCTTGCCTTCCTTCCGCTCCGCAAACGCTCCAGCGCTTTCTCTTATCTGCTCTACCACCACCAAAAGAACCTAACCCGAATCGCGGATTACCCACCGGACTAGATGGGCCGGAAACTTCGATTGCGCTCCGTCTCCGATTGAAATCTTTGTTGTTGGCAGCGGCTGCAGCGGCTTTATCGGCAGCAGCTTTCAATTTCGCGATCCGATCGGCTTCGATGGCTGCAACTTCTGCATCAGGGGCATCCGGGATGTTTTCGAGGGAGGATATGCTGGGACTTCTCGAGCGAATGGTTGATGGTGTAGACGACAATGAGGAGGTAGAGGAAAAGGAGAAAGGGTATGACTCGTTGAACTTCGCGGGGAAAACTAGCGGAGATGATTGCGCAGAACTGGGGCTACTGCCGCTGCCGGGATGGAGGGGTGAGGAAGGTCGTCGTCGACCACTGCGGGGAAAAGTGTTATGAATTCCGGGAGACAATGGCGAGGTTGGTGGCACATTCAATTGAATCCTTGTTGATCGAGGAGTAGTTTGGAGCTCCGGATGCTCTGCTATCGTTTCCGACACGTTCAATGTGCCAATGGTTGGAGGGAAACTCTCTTCGACTGACAGGCGAAGGAAACTTTGCCGTCGTACGAACGAGTCTTGAGGACTCGAAGGGCGTCCTGGACTCCCGCTGAAGCCGTATCGCCCACGCGAATCGGGTCCCGGGGAGGAGTGTGCACGAGCCATGCATGGAGCACCTGGGGAGCTCGCGAGAGAACGTGAGCGAAGGTGTATTCCACCCAGCGAAGAATACGGCTTCGGGAAAATATTTAGGGTTGGAGAAAGGGGTGTGAGAATTGATAAGTCTGTTGATTTTACTATCGTAGGAGTAGTGCCATCATTCAAGGAGGGTGTGTCCGTTGTTGCACTTTTTGTTGAAGGAGGCGTGAAATTTCCGTTTGTCGTCGAGTGTTCCTTTGCATATTCGTCTGTGTATTCAGGAGGGCTGGGAGGAAGCGTGATGTCCTCTGGAGCCAACAGGGAGGAAGCCATGATGCTGTTACAAAAGCCGTAGAGAAGGAATATCCGTTTTAGGAGGCGTATGGATATAAGGTTGCAGAACACGGATGCATGCTTCGAGTGAGGAAAGAAAAGAGTGAATGGCAAGTTGCTGGGGATGATAAGTTGCACAGCGGTGTAGTGCTCCGGAGATGCCTAACAAAGACGATTCCCAGCAGTATTCCGGCCTGCAGTTTCAAGTCGAGGTTGTTGATATTGCACCGAGCCGAGCACTCAGGGGTAGGGAGTCGACGAAGGGGGGGGGGGGAGGAGACCGAAAGGGGCGTGAAGCGGCAAATTACCCTGATCTCCGGGAAAGGGGGGGGGGGGGAAGGCAAATGGTAACCAACCAAAATAAATTGCAGGACTATCCCGTCCAGTGGCCAGCCATGAGTGCGAGAGATGGCAGACGCACACAGACAACCAGCGGACCGGCGTTGAAGAAATGGAGCAGAGTTCAAGAAGGGGTAACAGAAAGAGGAAGAAAAAAAGTTTGTCTCGTAACAAGGGCCTTAATCAAAGGTTTCGTTGCCAGCAGCGTTGGAGCCTTAGTAATAAGGTTGGCGGCTGAGATACGCGGTCTGGGCGGATACAAGGTTTTGGGGGCTGAGCATTCAGGTATTTACGCGTACGGTACGCCGCTGGGGGGTGCGTGGGAGCTTGCGGCCATTGGCTGGGGCTGACTGAATGTGCCGGATGCAGTACGTATCGGTATGGTACTGGGGCGCGACGGGAACGGTAGGAATCATGACGCTGACACACACCTTCAGGCCCCAGGAACGGCCTAGGAACGGCCTTGTCTCGTGACTGCGGACGGTGTTGTCGATCTCGAGTCGTCTGCGGAGAAGATCTTGATATCTTGGTATCTTGGTATCTTGATATCTTGATGATTGCGATGTGGCTTGATGCGGAGTGCTAAGATCTTCTGATGTTTTTCCCTTCCCTTCTGTCTGTCTGTTCGTTCGTTCGTTCGCGCCACGTCTGCTGTGCCTCTTCAGCTTGCAATCCATGGATAGTTATTTTGTTTATTCATCTTCCCAAACCTTCCTCTCCGCATATTTTTTGTCCTGGCATTTTATTTCTAAAACAACTCCTGGTTGGTCGAATCGTTTCCTCCACCCTATCGCTATCCCCCTCGTCCAATGAACAAACTATATCAATTATCCCACGGCTCCTTGTGCCAAATCGTCTTCTGGACACTCATCCTCGTCACTTGCGCCCTACAGACGGTGCATGTGGGCTGCGTCCCCGCTGCCAACATCGCCTCTGACTGGGGGATACGGTATTCCGATCCAGAAACTTAAATATTGTACATTTCTTACAGTTTAAAATGAGTGAGGAAAAATACCAAATAAACTGCTCAACCTGTGGCAAAATATGTAAATGAAATTAACTTCATGTGACTCTTTGCTTTTTGTCAGATTCAAAACAAAAATTAATATACTGCAGTCAGGTAAAGGGTGAATATTTTTCATTTTTCATTTTTTTTTTCCCCTTTGAAAGGAAAGGGGAATGAAACTTTGTACAAATTAATTAGCCGAAAAGGAGAGTTAACCGTGACGACTGCAAATTTCCGATTTGTTACAAGGAAGAATGAATATGAAACTTTCATGTGAATAACTAATAACTGCTGAGGAGTTTCAGGGGGAATCCACATGTTCTATTTTTGTTGCTATTATCTTTATCCCCAATTTCCCATAAGCTCAAACATCACCTTGGCAAAAGGATTGGCAAACCAAAAGTTCCCACCATGCCCGGGATCGCGGCTAACGACATATTTACCCGCACTGAGGTCCGCAGCTAGTTTGTGGTGGGAAAAAAAAAAAAAAAAAAATCAGCTGCTGCCGGTCTGTTTAACTAACTTGGTTTCATTTTCGGTAAAATTGAAGCGCGTTTCCATATAAATGGGTCAGCCATCTGCCGAAATTACCCATTGACAATAAGAGATTAGTATATTTTCAATTCACGTCTACGGTCAAGCTACCCGGCATGAGCAATAAGCGGGAACAAGAAGAGCCAACGGCTCAATATGACCCAGCTGGGTTTTGAACTCGTTTGCGTAGGCCTCGGAGATAAAGTTGACCTGCTGGAAGATTGATCTTAATTATGATCGCCGCCAGGCAGACCAGGAATTCTAAGGAGTTGTGATAGAGGTATATTGATTGAGCCGATGGAGTGGAACATGAGCTAACACTTCCATGGGGCGCAGGGATATGAAATAATTGCGCTCATTATTCACAAGTTTCCCACAATAACGCCCCTATAGTTACACCCCACTCTCCGGGCGCTTATTGAGTCAACCCTGCGGGAGTGGCGGGTACAAGTTTTGGCCACTCGAGTTAACCAGTCAATGAAAGTATCCAGTGATCTTCACACACTAATCTGTCAGAGAACTGTACGCATGAAAGCAGAAGCAGAGAGGGAAAGGTTGGAAGTCGCTAATATTTGCTCCAGAAGAGGATATGTAAGAATATCTCACAGAAACTACTGGATGATAGAAAGACACAAATTGGTCGTAGCATTATCAGTAGAGGGGTTTACAATTTCCCCCCTCCCCCACTCTGCTATGAAATGGACTGTCTCTCTGCAGAAAACGAGCAGATCAAAACTCATCCTGAATTTCTAGTTCAAGGTAACCGTTACGCAATCTGACCGCTTCACAGATGGTTGATTCCTAGTTACACCAATTCATGGTAAAAAGGCCAAGGTGTGAAATTTTTCTTCAGTTTGGTTGACTGCTAATTTCGCCAAGTTTGGTCGCATCGCCAACTATGTTAAAGGGGAAACTAGCGCTGACCCTTGCTTTTGGGTACTTTGTGTCATTAAAAGAGACTCTTTCTTCCTCAAAGGTTAACACTGGGGTTGCGACGGTCCGTATGAACGTCTGGTGGTCATGTGACGTAGTATGTCGGAGCCATCCGATGAGTCGGGCGTTGCGTTTATTGGTTAAGGCGGAACGGTGCAATTCAGCCAAATGATTGGATTCATTTGCCAATCTAATAAATTCATCTCTCTTCTCCTTGGCTTGGTTTCGAGCATTCTGGTACACGGGTGTTCCTTGTCGAAGCGTTTCCGGATCACTGGTCATCGACCAGCCATTGGGTTGGGTCATCATGATATATCAAGAGCCAGTGTCTAGATCTTCTGATCTGACCAGATTAGTGGTATACATTTTGAGTTGACCCGTGATAAATAGATGTTAGGGCCTAGGCATTGTTATCATAGTTTGGCTCCTTTGTTAGCATAATCGAAGACGGTACATGTCCCGAGCTCCCAGTACGCCATCATGGCAAGCTTGGTGCAGAGCCACCGCTAAAGATCTATCCGGGCCTTTTGCCTCCAGGACGAAATTTGGGATCATCGGAAGATCATCTTGAGTTGATGGATTAATATGATTGTTTAAATCATGGAGAATTTGGCGATTGAGCTGCTCAGGACGGGCACCATAGAAATGATCTGTATTAGCCAAAGATCCATCTGTGAGAGGTGCAAGTTTACCAAATGGATAGTCCCCTCCAACACATTTAGGGTCGTCAACATCACCATCAAGACAGAGAACCACTGAAATTTAACCGGGTTCTCCTTAGATGCATGTGCATCTTGCTCCCTGAATTCTCCAAAACAGTTTTTGAAAACTCTGAAGGTGAAAGTGAAACTGGTGTTTGTAACAGAATTTCATGGATCTCAGTCCAGTTATCCGGTTTCGATGACTTCCGACCATCCCGATACCTATACTCCAGTGGATATATTTGGAGGTCAACGAGATTCTGCTGAAAATTTTAACTATGTCTGGTAGTATTTGTGGTTTTCGTGTTTTTTTTGGTGTCTGGGGTCTTAGAGGGCGGAGAAGGCCCTGCACGTCGCTTTACACGGGAAGCTCTGCCTGAACTCATTTGATTAAGGAAAGTCTCGGGGTTCGGGTACTAAATTTATCAGCATGGATGTGGTGTGCATGGCGTTACGATTGCTTTCATACAATATTTCTAAAACTCTAACAGGTCAGGCCCACCAAGCCTAGAAAACCTCCTTATCTGAGCTAAAATGGTCAGACGAACGGTTGCAAGGGAAGTCAGAGGAGAACTGACAAGCTTTACCCCGATTCCTCCACTGTGTAGAGGCTGGTGGGTAAAGCTTTTGTGACGGGCTTGACCCTAGGTTTCTTCGGTCCAACTCCCTTGACGCGCTCCTGGTTAACCAAATCTTTGACAAATTATCGCAAGAACATGAAATTGGCCAATTATTTTTGTCAATCTTCTGTCTTTTCAAACACTGGACTGTATGAAGAGTATGCTCAGAATGCTAGCACTTGCGTGATACTTTGGAGACCACCGATGAATACCATGCGGGTATTGAGGTTCTTGAGATGCTGGAATTAAGAGGGGAGCAGCAGTTGCGTTCTCGTAACAAACGCAGGGTGGGCGTGTGGCCGCCTAAAAACGTTGCCATGACTCAAGAAGCTTTGTTGAAGGGTTATATGAGTCTAGCGCTAGGACCGACATTGGTCCAAATACAGCCTCAACAATGCGCCCCGCAAATAGAGTAACTAGAATAAGTTAGGAATGCTGCAGCTAAAACACAGGAAAGTTCCTTGATATTGCTGGGTTTGTATTGGCAGAATCATACAGCAACCACCAAGACCAACCCTGCATGATTGGTGGTTGGGTGGGAATAAGCCCAGATGAGTAGCTAACTGCGGAGTATTATTCCTGTTGTTTTGGCTCAACAATGGGAAAGTTAATGGCTAATTTTACCTAATCATTTCAATATTTAACGTTATTTAGCGGTAACTAACTAACTAGACGCGAACGAGCCGTAACTCTATCCAGCCCTATCCAACTTTGTAATGACCAAATTAGAGACTGATCCAACATGCGATAAGCCACGTTCATGACATGAGCTCAAATTATTCATATGGATCATGCCCGGGTTTGCAGCCCTGCATTTAAAGCATGCTCTTCAAATCCATATTCCTGTTAGACAATTACTCCATCCCTCTCTCAATTCTCGCCCAAGCCAATTCAATCTCCACGTTCTCGCAACCAAATATGGTCGTACCCCACCGTCGCAAACCCTTTCCCATGCGTCGCATACATCAAAAATTCAGCATAAGACGCCCTCCCTGAAATTTAGTGAGCGGAGAGACAATATTTCAACTCTACCTACTGTCGATCGAGCTGCGCAGATGGCTGCACTAGCAAAACCATCTTTGGCTGCTCAGGACCCATCAATTGATTCCATTGAACCAACCATGTCCAGCCCATTGCCCCCAAATGCGCCAATTCATACTGAAATCCCTGTTTCCAAACCGAAATGCCTATTAACAGATACCCGCAAGAACTCTACCGCTGGAATCTTTGATCCAGAGGTCAATGTTGACGTCCTCGCTGACAAAGAGGAGGTCAAAAAAGCGCTATCGCGGCCTCCTCCAATAAATAGCGGCTATCTACCACTACCATGGAAAGGCCGATTGGGATATGTTAGTAACTACTGTTAAGCACTCAAAGCAGAGAACCTATCCCATGCCTCTCCTCATCGCGCTGAACAAAACCCTAGGCCTGCTTAAACACCTATCTGCGCACCTCTAATCCCCCCATATTCTGCGCACGCACCTGTCGCATCTCCTCAATTCTCGAAAACCGCCACCCTCTCCAGGATGCCTCGCAGCCTCCCCACCGGACGAAAAACAGGCCTGACCTGACCCAGCCGCCCGATGTGGAGCGCGGAATAGCATACGTACAAGCCCTTGGTCTCGCGAATGCGCGGGATATTGTAAAGATTCTACATTGGAATGAGCGCTACGGCATAAAATTCATGCGCCTTTCGAGTGAGATGTTTCCGTTCGCGAGCCATGCGGAGCATGGATATAGCCTGGAACCGTTTGCGGCGGATGTGTTGGCGGAAGTTGGGAGGGTTGCAGCAGAGTTCAAGCACCGGTTGACTGTTCATCCAGGACAGGTATGTGATGAAATTTTCCTTTCAGATTATCTTGACTTTTGGAATTGTACTAATTGTCTTGATTTGACTATTAAACAGTATACGCAATTAGCTTCACCGCGCTCGAGTGTGATAGAGAACTCTGTCCGGGATCTCGAATACCATGCTGAGATGTTGCGATTACTGAAATTACCACCACAACAGGATCGCGATGCCGTCATGATTTTACACATGGGCGGCGTCTTTGGCGATAAGCAGGCTACGCTTGATCGTTTTCGGCAAAACTATAAGACGCTATCAACAGATATTAAGAACCGCCTTGTTCTGGAAAACGACGATGTGAGCTGGACCGTCCATGACCTACTACCTATCTGCGAGGAGTTGAATATTCCCCTCGTGCTCGATTATCACCATCACAATATCAATTTTGACGCGGACAAGATCCGGGAGGGAACGTTGGGTATCATGAGTCTCTACAGGTGCATATCGGCTACGTGGTCCAGGAAAGGCATCACACAGAAAATGCATTATTCAGAACCGACTCCGGGGGCGCTTACGAAAGCGCAACGCCGCAAACATAACTCCCGTGTGCAGATGCTACCGCCTTGTGACCCTACCATGGACTTGATGATTGAAGCTAAGGATAAGGAGCAGGCTGTCTTTGAGCTTATGAGAATATACAAGCTCCCGGGCTTTGAGAAGATTAATGATATCATCCCTTTCACGCGATCGGATGATAATAAAGTTAAGCGCGGTGGCAATGGGAATGGGAAGAAGAAGGCGATGCGGAAGAAGGCATCTTCCACGCAGCAAAAATCCAGTGTTGAATTGGATAATGAAGAAGAAGAAGAAGAAGAAGAAGAAGAAGAAGAAGAAGAAGAAGAAGAAGAAGAAGAAGATGATGATGAAATATTGACAACTATCCCGGAGGAGGAGGTTGGCATGGGCGGACCAGAAGGTCGCGTGTACTGGCCTCCCGGCATGGAGCAGTGGTTATATCCAGAAAAATGCACAACTTCTCTCGGGATTGCAGAGGCAATCGTGACGAAGAGCAGCGGAAGCCCCGTGCTAACTACGGCCTCTGCGCCACCACGGAAAAGATGGAGATCGGCTAAGGATACTGATACCCCATATGCGAAGGCTGCTGTGGAACAGCCAGCTGCGGCGAATCGACGGAGGGCTAAGGAGACTAGTATCAAATCCTCTGGCGGTGAAGAGGGGACTGCCGCTCCTCTCTCTGCTGCGGAAACGCAGACTACTCGTTCGCTGAGGACGAGGAGGAAGAAGGTCGACTAATGCGGAGGATGTGTCTTCATGGCAAGCTTGAAATGGCAAATGACTTTTACATTTTTATCAAGGAATTATTGTGTAATATAAATTTTAGCTAGTTAGCTATATGTTAGGGGGTCATGGCAAGCCTTGTAAAGCACACAAGCAAGGCGTTATTACACGGGCTCTACGGATGTACAGATGATTATCAGGCCGTTAACATTGTCAATACAAATGAAAAAAGTATAATTCCAGAATATTCAAATAGATCCTCTTATCATCTGATTACTATTTTGACTCTTATATGTACTACAAATAATGCATATCCTCATTTGCCATTTTGCTGTCGGCTTGGCGGCTTGACTTCATAAATATCGGGTGACCTACGTAGTTACTAATGCTCTTTTTATCAACAAAGCCCAAGTTCCAGCACACGGCGAAACAATAACAGGCAGAAATGCCCACAAGAAGATTTTCGAACATATTGACTGACTGATTGTGCTGCATCATACCTTTCCTCTCATTTTTATCATGTGATCGCTCTGTTGTTTCTTCTCCAAAGCCACTGGGTTCTACGACTGACGATCGATCTCAGACACATTGCCAACATCGACAACTTAGAGTACATTTACATACATCCCATAACCAAGCTCTTTCACCTCTACCTGTTACTCGAAACTTCCCTCGTTCTGGCTCCTCCATCTTTCCTCCGTTTGCGGTTTCATACGGCCAAGCCTGGCCTGAGACTCCGTACCACATTCTCTTTTCTCCGATATCTCATCCCACATACCCGCAATCGTATTTGGACCAGATTCCTAGACCTTCGACACGACGTATTTCCGTCCTTTCGTCAGCGAGCCCATCTTCGCGTCTATCGGGCGATTGCTAATAGGCGACAGCTTAAGCACAGACACAAGCATCACAACGACCCATCCTATAGTCCTACCACTGCTAGGACATCGGGAAATAAAAGGCAGCCTGGGCTACTCTCGTTTCTGCTCTCAAAATCGAGGAAGGGAACTGGACCGGGACATAGAAGGAGAGGAGCAACGACGGACCGTGCCTGTGCCCATATTGTTTTTGATTACCATAGACACAGTCGCATTCTGGGTGCCATTAGCCGGCATTTGAGGAATGTCGAGAGAGGTGACCGGATGATGACACCACAGTCTGGGCCTTCAGGCCCGTACCGGGATGATCCTTCAAGTGAAGCTGGTTCCGGATATGGATATGGATATGGACAAGAGGGTGGTGGTCGAGAGCGTGGAGCTCGCAGGAAGAAAATTTACGGCTACTTGAAGGCAGCGAATGAGCTTCGCCAGTCCTATTCGGCACATTGGACACAGTGGAATCAGGATTATGACGACGATATGCGGGACGTGCCCCGTGGATTTCCGGATGTCGAGACGATAAGATATGCAGATGAGCAAATGATTGTGTTTCCTAGTTATGGACGAAGGCATGTGAGAAAAGTTCCGGAGGTTGATTATAGGGATTTGGGTCAGGAGTCATCGTTGTGGACGGACCCTGACGATCTGCAGTCGACTGGGAATATGGAGTATTGGAGACGGGAGTGGGAGGAATATGAGATGGATAATGCGATTGTGGATGTCGATGTGAGAGGATGGATATTTGCGCCTCATCGGGGACCAATGAATAGGAGGAATCGTATCTTGATCTCCCTAGCTAGACGGTTGAGTGGGATACCGGCTCCCAATATTTCTACTCTGGAGAGCAAGCCAACGCACACATCCCTGACTGAGGAAGCTTTGGTCGAAAAACAGGAACAATCGATCATTAATAGGACTCAGAGGGACACGGATCCGGAATGGCGCGCCGGTTCTGGACGGGATGCCGCACCTTCTAGAGCTGAAGTGGAACAAAATTCATATTACAACACCAATGAAGAAATAGCCGCCGCAAATGCGCAACTAATGGAACGGCTACAACCCTTTTTGAACAACCCCATCAACAATGTGCCGATTACGGTCTTCTTTTATAATGAAAAAAACAGCCAGTCACGGACAGTTTGTACTAATGATGGCGGACACTTCTCAGTTCGTGCAGCCCTTGACTTCGTCCCCACTCATACTAGGGTGCTGGCTTCCGAAAACCTATCCGCTACGGAGGAGGTGAGAATCATCGAACCAACAGGAATTAGTTTGATTAGCGACATCGATGATACTATAAAGCATTCCGGAATCACAAGCGGGGCGAAGGAGATCTTCAGGAATACCTTTGTACGCAATCTTGGAGATCTTACCGTACATGGTGTGAATGAGTGGTATTCAAAATTAGCAGATATGGATGTGAGGATACATTATGTTTCGAATTCCCCATGGCAGTTATATCCCTTGCTTAAGAGCTTTTTCAGTTTGGCCGGTCTTCCCCCGGGATCGTTTCACTTGAAACAATACTCGGGAATGCTGCAAGGCATATTTGAGCCTACCACAGAGAAGAAAAGGCCAACGCTCGAAAAGATCATGCTTGATTTTCCGGAGCGCCGGTTCATCCTTGTAGGCGACAGCGGAGAGGCGGATCTAGAATTATATACCGAGTTAGTGCTCGCAAACCCGGGGAGAATACTGGGGGTATTCATTCGAGACGTAACGATACCACCGACAAGCAAATTCTTTGATAAATCGTTTACTCATGTTGAAAATCCTCTATCCCGAAATCTCACCTCAGATCCTCCTCCCCTTCCGGAACGCTCAAGTGAGCCTGAGACCCAACGCCCAAATTTACCTCCCCGAAACTATCTTGAACGAAAAGAACAGGCGAAGGATGAAACTAGCTCAGCAATGAGTGATCTCATTGGTCTAAGGATTGGAGATGAACCTGCTCCAATAAACAAAACTGAGCTGGCCAAAACCCCTTCCAATAATCGACAGGCACCCCCCATTCGACCTTCCAAACCAGCAGCTCTTCGGAGCGGAGCCGTCGAAGCGGATGGAGATAAGAAAGACTCGCCATCATCCAGTGTCCGACGAAAGCCCGTTCCGCCCCTCCCAGAAAAGCCGCGAAGTTTATCATCTTCACAATCCCAAGGACACCCAGAAACTTCGTCTGCTCCTATCTGCTCCACTGATACATCTCAGGCTACCAGACCAGCTCTGCCAAGTCGCTCTTCAACCAGACAATCGCTGAACAATCAACAATCCGCTGAAAACGGGGAGAGCTACGCCGCTATTGTCCAGAATAAGATTACAAACATATACAACCAGCTCCCATCTTCACGGTCATATTGGGCCAACGAGAACCCTCCCGCCACGTATCCGTCCACAGAACAGGCACCACCTTCTCGTCCAGCTATGAAACAACCGCCGCCACCGCTCCCTCCACCCCGTCGCAGCACAAACAGCGCCTCTTCAAGCCAATCCACGCTGCTGACCCAAACCACCCAACCCCAACCTCAATCTCACTCCAAAGCGTCCACAGCGCAGGACCAACGCTATGGTAACATATCCCTCTCCCACTCCCCATCCCCCTCCTCCCAATCACCCACCCCACCCCCACCTTCCCGCAAAGGGACAGACACACCTCCACGCCCACTACCGTCGTCATACTTATACGCCTCCCCCTCGACATCACCCACTCCGGCCCCCACGGCCCCAACAGCAGCAACACTGCGAAATAAGCGAGAGGAAATCTGGAGGCGGCGATGGGCGAGGGCGAAGGATATTCTGGATCGGCAAGGGGTTGTGTTGATGAGTTGGAGGGTGGGTGAGGATGTTAAGGATGTTTGTACGAAGTTGGTTGAGAGGGCGGGGAGGGAAAGGAGGAATGGTAAGTAGGTAGGTTGGTTTGTATTGTTTAGGTTGGATGGGATGGGGTGGGATGGGATGGTGTATTTACGATATCCGTTACATTTTTCGATGATATTCGTATTGGCAGGAGGAGTGTGCAGCGGAGAGTAATGGGATCTTTTTGTTAAGAAATTCCCGGCAATGGCAGGAGAGGAATAATGGTAATTTTTTCATGTTTCTGTAGCAGTATTTTACGTCAGTCGGCCTGCCAAGATACATAGATACATAGATTCCTGAAGATCAAAGGAATGAATAGACTTATTTTCCGTACGATTCAAATATCAATCTTCTCCCCTTTGTGTCCAGATCTATCTTGATTTGGTTCATTGATCCCTAGTCCTCTATACCCTAAATACAACCCCCAATGCCTGTGATATATATGAACATCCACTTCCGGAAATACCACGCCGATATCACCCTCATTTCCATTTGCAAACATAAAATCACATTAAATAAGACTACAATAAGTTAAAAGTAAAAAAGCAAACTACAAATGAGGTGCAACCCCACCGATCAACTGAAGCACGTTGTCTTGTCTGATACCTTCTTTTCGTTCCCTTTTCCGGGTAAAATGACAAAGTTATCTGATGCGTGGAAACAATTCCGGATTTTAAGAAGAAACGAGGAGCCAGGAGCTTGGAATTTATGAAGTGTGAAGTTGTATCGGGAGGAGGGGGATATGGGGTTATTAGAGGCGACCATAATTAAAAGTGCATAACGACGTGGAGCAGACGGTACATGCAAACGTACAAACGTGCACACGTGCGCGCATGAAACAGAATGTAGAATATATGAAAACATGAAATCACTTTTTTCCTCCCTTTGCTTTTAGAATTTTGACTGGTATGAGCGAGGGGGTAGGGAAATAGAAAAGGTTAGAAAAAGGGAAATAGAAGAAATAAATGAAAGAGAACGGACATGCTAAGGATTAAACAATATTTTTTGTTTCTTTCTTTTTGACATTTTTTCTTCTTTTGCCTTTTTTTTTTTTTTTTTTTTTTTTTTTTAAGGGGAAAGGGGAATTAAAGTCGGGGTAACGACACGGAGGAGGGTGGGAGATAATTAAACATTAAGAATAAATCGGAAGAAGCAATTGGAAAAATCGCAGACTTGGGAAATTAGGAACGGCAAGCAAGAAACGACAATTGATGAACAGAACAAATTCCATTTCTTTTCGCGGTGTGTATCCTCGAAAATACCGTATCATCATGAGCGCAGTGGAACAGTGATTTTTCGTAGTAATACAAGTGGGTTTATTCTTCTCTTAAAAGCAAGAAACAAAAGACAAAAAAACAAAAGTATAAAGTCGGAGGAAGGAATTGAGGCGAAAGCGGTCAGCATGAAGATGCGCGTCTCTGAGAATGATGTTCCCCCTACATAATAAATTGAATCTTGTTGGATTAGGGGACAACAATCGAATCTAAGTCGGGGTATAATGTATCAATTTGTATACTCAGAGACTCAGAGACGCATATCATAGCCTCAGAACCTCAAAACCCTAAGTCGGGCTTTTAGGAAGTCTCAATTTCAGCATCATTCTTAACCTCGGTAGCTTCTTGATGAAGCACAATAGGGGAACTATCAGCTGTGTTGGACATAGGCCCAGGTGCTGTAGTAAGCTCAGGTGCAGATGTAGGCGCATACTCAGGTCTAATCATGCCCATGCGACTAGCAAAGGTCTCTGTGGGCTTCCATTTGCCACTGACTCTGGGGTTACTCTCTTCGAACATGCGATCGACTTGCTCGAGCGATAGACCCTTGGTCTCGTAGACGAAGAAATAAGAGAAGAGCATGGAGAGAGTGCAGGTTGTACCCCAGATGAAGAAAACTTTCGAACCCAAGTTGGCCTTTTCGGCGTCAACGAGGTAAGGGGTTACGAGGGCCAGGATCTGCGGGTTGTTGGGTTAGTGGTTCGTGTGGATATGTCATATGCTCAGGCATTCGTAGGGTAGTTGTTAATATCATGAATGTAGCGGGACGACTTACGTAGTTCCAGAGCCAGTTAGAGGCGGTGGACAGAGCAACGCCTCGTGCACGGATTGGTAAGGGGAAGATCTCGCCAATCAGCACCCAAGCGCCCGGTCCCCAGGTCGAGGCAAATCCCAGTATATAGAGACAGACGAATACGATGAGACACGTGGAGGCTACGTTTGATCCAGGGAGAGCAGTGCCGACAGAAGCAATGATGAATTCACAAAGGAGCATGGCAAAGGCGCCCCAGATGAGAAGGTTGCGGCGACCGAAGCGCTCGATGGTGTAGAAGGAGATAGGAGTGGATGCGACGTTGACGACGTTGGTGATGATAGAGATGAGAAAGGGGTTTTGCAGGCCGCTTTGTTGGAAGAAGGTAGTTCCTAGTATGTAGTTAGTTTTATGAGTTTCATTTCCTGGGTTCAATTGGGTTAAAGGGTGGTACCGTAGTCTGGAAGTTGGGAATTAGGTCAGCATTTTCTGGCGATATTTATGTTGAAGACAGAAAGGTTATCAGCACTCACAGAAAATAAAGTTGACTCCAGTTAGCTGTTGGAACATTTGCAATGCAGTGCCCAGGATTACGCGACGAAGATTTCCACTTGGACGAAGACCTCCTCTGAAGCAATCAAGCCAGCTGGTGCTGCTGATTTTGGACTCATATTCATAGTTGGCAGCAATCTCAGCAAGTTCAGTTTTAACATACTCCGATTCAACAGGCAGGTTACGGATACGGGAGAGGGAAGCAGCAGCATGTTCGTACTTCTTTTGCTTGACGAAGTAACGAGGAGATTCAGGAAGGAAGCCAAGGCCGACACCAAGAATGAGGGCCCAGATGAGCTGTATTCCAATAGGGATGCGGTAGGATGCTGGGGTGTTGAGATTCTCCGTTGCCTTGTCGATGACTGCGGCGATCAAAAGGCCTATGGTGATGGCCCACTGATAGATAGAGACCATGGCACCGCGGAACCGCTTGGGAGCGATTTCAGAAACATACAGAATGACAACGGAAGAGATGGCACCAACGCCAAGTCCAGCGACCAGACGGCCACCGACGAGATCATTAACTTTGGTTGCGCCAACTTGGATCGCGACACCGACGCCAAACAATAAGCAGGCCATCATAATGGTTAAACGGCGGCCAATGCGCTCAGCGATAGAACCGGAAGCAACCGCACCGATGAAAGTTCCCAGGGAGAGGATGGACACTATCAGAGACTTTTGCCAGGTTGCAATGTTGTATCCAGACTTGTCGACGTCCAGGGGAACAGGGCGCCCAAAGGACTTCTTGAAATAGTCCATGCCCAGGACTCCGTTGACATAACCAGAGTCATATCCAAAGAGGATACCTCCAAAGGACGCAAAGGCACAGAGAATGTATGCCCTAGCGGTAACAGGAGCCTCGACGCGGTCCACGTCATCGGTCCCAAACATCGTGTTTGACGGCATGTTTGATTGAAAGCTGGGACACGAAGTCAGTAACGATTGATAAATGGAATTTGGATATCTTTTAATCCGACGGATGAGAACAAAGAGGGAGCAGAGGTTGCACGTAAATTTTAAGACGAATAGCATAGAAGAGGGATATAGCGGGGCATTGAAGGGAGAAGAGGCACATTTGGGGTAAATATCTTTAAAAAGGCTTACCTTCGGGTTGGTCCTTGAGAAGCAGTAGATTTGATAACACGAAAGTATATTTCGTAATGAGATGTGAGTAGAGTGAGATATTTGTAGCGCGAGAGGACAACTGTGGGAATTCGTGGGATTGTGAAGTCGTGAAGCTGTGAGGTTGTAAAGGAAAAAGGAGATTGGGAGGTTGAGAAGTCGTTGTTAATGGACAATAACACCTATAGGTGTAGCAACCAGCAGCGGGAATATTCATTGTGTCATTTCAGACTTTGGGAATATTTAACTCTTAACTCAATATGATTCTGAGTTGCCTTAAATCTCTGGAGGAGCGAATAAGAGCATCAAGAGACTTAACTCGATTTTCCATCCATGGAATGCAAACAAGGTCTCCTCAGACAATGTGGTCGAACGCCCGTCTGCTAAATTCTAGTGGTAGAAGTGGTCGTAGGTATTCAATGTCCACTGAGAGGAATTGGATAATTCCGCGCCAGTTCCAAGGTGCATCGTAGTTTGTAGATGTAGTATTGAATTCCCTTTGCACAATCTGCCTTATGAGGATGCATTTAGGCTTTTCGCAGCAACCAGGGTTCAGTCTCGAACGGCAATACACACTATCTCCACCCGCAGAAATCTGTCAAATGAAGGTTTCAACAGAGGCAATACCAGATTGATGACGCTGGTACCGTAGACAGAACAGTAATTAATTGCATATGTCTAACGGAAATAGGAGTCATACGCAGTGGTTGTCTAGTTCTTGAGGAGACCTCGAGAAAGGGTTCTCACAGACCAGTTCTCTTCTCTTTTCACAAAGCACTCCAGCCAAGAAGAGCAACAAAGAAAATGTGTACAAGAATTGTACAGTTTCATTAACTGCCACTGGCATCATAGAAGTCCCAGGAGCATCCTAAAAGGGGGAGAGTGTAAAAGCAAAAATTTGATAACTCCCCCCCATTGGCCTCTCCAAGCAGGTACCTAGAGCTATGCAGGCCAGGTATTTCATATATCTCTCTGGAAATGCTATCACCGCTAAACTTAAGTTTGAAACCGGTTTATAGCTGGAAAAACCCGCGGTGCTAGAAAACATAAGAGAAGTCTAAAATGACTCTTTCATAAGTAGAGAACATGGGCAACCAGGTATACAGAGTTTCTTCCGCAACAACTCTGAAAAGAGCAAGCAGGAAACATGAAATAAAATAGGTAAAATAAGAAAAAAAAAAAAAAAAAAAAAAGGGGGGGGTAGCAACCCCCAGTCATTTCAAAATCAGCGTTCATCAAACCACACCCGTGAGAAGGAATATCGGCCATTCGTAGCAAACCCCGCATATGCAGGTCTCTCGTTCGAAGAGCTTCGACGCATTCAATATGCCATGACGTCCATTTAAGCTTCCTTACCTAAACCATTAGCGGTTTAGCCTCCGCCGATCTCCAGATTTCGATCCAAGGTTTTAGCCCGTGTTTAAATTTAAAGCACCGGACTAACTCGCGGCTTAGCAAAACGAAATCTCGTTCTGGTGTCCGCCGTTTAATTAGATCCTGCCGAGGTTGTGGTTCTTATTTTGCGAAAATTTGGCTGACGGTATTTGGGAGAACTGTGTTTTAAAACATCCCGTATTTGTATGACAATACGACGACTGTTTTTGAAGTTCGTGTCATTTTTGTGGGTACCAAGTAAAAGCTACAATATTCTGCGACTCGGTACAAGAGACATGAAACGACCTTCGCGACCATTGTAGTCTTTTTAGTCTTTCCTTTGGAATCTCCTTTCCTTTCCTTTTTTTTTTTTTTTTTTTTTTTTTCTTTCTTTCTTTCTTTTTTCTTTTTCTTTTCTTTCCCTTCCTCCAGTCAATAAATCATACAATCTGTAAGAAAGGTAAAAAGCTATGTAAATTATCCGGCATAACCCGGCACCATCCGAGGCCAATTCAGCAAAATGCGCTAGACCTGATTAAGAATATATCACGTGACTAGATGTTCTTACTACCGGCTGTCCCCGAGACCTAGAGACCCTAACACAGTGAAACAACCACTCATCTTTTCACATATTGTTAAATCTCAGCCACCCATCCATTCCTCTCTCCAAGAAACCCACTAGCTTTGGAGTAATGGATCCAAGGAGAAAAGGGTAATTAACTAGACATAAACCAAGTAACGAGATATTTTTTTTCTTTTTTTCTTTTTTTTTTTCTTTTTTTTCTTTTTTTTTTTTTTTTTTTGGCTTGACTCATCCTATATCCATCATTCATGTCATTAATATACAGGAAGAAAGCCCAGCTAATAAAGATAGCAAGAAAGAAAACAATATATTCAAATACTTTTTCCCTTTGTCATTTATTATGTGTTATAAGTGTTTCTTTTTCCAATGTCACTTTTTCCAATCCAAAACAGGGGCACAAAAAGCCAACTCTCACATAGTCAAATCCACATGGCAGGTAGATGTCCAAGGCATATGTATAAAATTCCCCCCCCATTTTCCAAATTCTTGTATCTCTTCAGCCTTTTCGCCCCTGGAACTCTTTATTTTTATTTTTATTTTTATTTTTTTGGCAATTGGTGTCTTGATACCGACCCACCGACCAAACCTAGATTATCCCCGATATATCAGAAAATTGCCTTAACACGTCATATGAGATATATCTAAAAGTTTAAGAGAAAATCCCTACTTACCGTTCCGATACCTCCCCGACTGCATACGAAATGCGTGCTTTATCACCACTTCCAAGCTTCCTCTGTGCTTATCCTTCTTCGAGTCCCCGGAAATCCCTCCCTGTCGATCTCGATTTCTTCCAGAGCCTAGTTGTATCCGTCGTCCATTTGAGGCTGAATATCACTCATATGTACTCCTCTTAGCTGAGCCTCTCGTTCTTGCTGTGACTGATGATCGTCATTCAGATGCGCGAAAACTCTCCTTAAAAAACTATCCGCAGATTCCGTCCCGTCCTCGGTCCACGGGGGCACCAGGGGTTCGGACGTCTTGTGATCCCCATCCTGATTCGAATGTTTGCCTCCGATCTGCGATTGGTGTGGTCCTGAACGTTTCCCAGAACTTGTGGCTGCTCTTGAGGATTCTGCGTTTGTCTGTTGGACGTTGGGATCATGGGAAACCCTGTCCTTCTCTCTTCGCTTCTCTCGTGGTTTGGTTAAGATTAAGGCTGCTTCGGTTTCTCTGCGGTTTCCACCGACATTTGGGGGAATATCGCTATTGACCTGTTGTGGTTTCAATGTTTCAGCGAGCGGTTGCACCATTTCGAAATCGTCAACCATGCGCATGAGTTCGTCGTTCGCAAAATTCGCGAAATCTGTTCCAAGAAAGTGATCCAGCTTCTGGACATTAGGGACATCTGGAGCAGTATGCGGAGGCTGAGGGTGCATATTATCCTCTGGACGGACAGCTCCATTGTTCCCAAAGGTCCCGGGACCTATATCCAGACCAAGATCCGCTCCAGTATTGGTATGTGCGATATTCGAATTAGTAGCGGACGGAAAAAGAAGACTTAGAATATCTACCGGTTCGTTTTGGAAAGCAGCCGTCTTAGGACTTGGAGGAAGGCCTGCGGCCGTTCCATGAGAAGGACCCCCACCCCCCGTGCCCGTTGCTGTCGGTCTTGGTAACAGAGGCCGCCGTTTGGAATGCCCATCGTTCTTGGGATCGAAAACCCCAGCACCCGAAGGCCCACTAGGGGCCCGAACATCAGATGGTGCAGGTTGGGTGTGATTATGCGTGCCCATACCTGCACCCATTTGGTTAGGGAATATCCCTTGGTTGATATGCGGCGGGTCGAGGTTCGAGACGTTAAAGTCGAAGCTCGAAACACCTTGTGTAGTCCGGAGCCCACTCCCCAGTGGAGGATGCGGTACGTTTGGCTGTTGCATGTCATTTACCATTGGATGAGCTGCCATGCCCATACTGGTGTTGGCAACATACGGGTGTACAACCGGCTGTAAACAGAACTGTTGATTTGTGGCTGGCGGGTTTTGAGCCATGTACAGGTATGGAGGCTCTACTCCCATTTTGTTATTTTCAACCTCCACTGGTGCCGCGTTCGGGTTATAATGCTCTGCTTTTGGCTGTTGCATTTTATTGGCCGCCGGAGAAAAAGCTGCCATGCCCATGCCCATGTCCATTCCCATGCCGTTAGGGACACTAAGTTGACCTCTAGGTGGCTGGAAACCAAAACGTGGATCCGGGGGTGGCATATTTTGAGCCGTGGACGGATATGGATTCTGATGAGGATGGCCTACACCCTTCTGAGGGTCCCCAGAACCATTCATCGTCCAATTCAACGGGTTCTGATTAGGGCGTAATGCATTGTCTTCAAGCTGAATAGGAATATTAACACTGTCGTTAACAGGGTGGTGCGGAGCGGGGGGATATGGAGGCCCTCCCCTCATTCGATGAGCCGTATCACTCACCATCCCATTCATTGCACCTCTGTGATGGCGTCCTGGGGCGCGAGGCTTTGGATCTGGTGGCATATTCACACCATTGTGATGGTGGTGGTGGTGTGGACCAGCGGGTTGCCAGGGTGCTTCGATGTTCTGATGATGGCCAGGGCCATTCACCATTGTATCCGTGTTGGGAACTTGCTCATTCACATGTTGCAATCCCCTTGACTCTGGACTCGGTGACATGCTTAGGCCATGGGGACCTGTACGGGGAGGAGGCATGACTATTGAAAGCCCATTTCCCATCTGAGCATGCTCGGGGCCTTCAGTCACTGTCCTCATGCTAGCATGTCCTGTCTTAACCTGCAGCATCATCCTAGTTGACTGTGGAGATCGACGCATATTTTCTCCATCATTAACAGGATGTGGAAATTTCCCTCTTATATGACGATGCTCGGCACCGCTGATCACCATGCCTGGGTTAAGATGTTGTGTATTGGCATGTTGCGTACTATTTGGTCCAGGATGTGATGGCATATTGATGCCACTCTGGATGTCGTGAGGAGCAGGGGTTTGCAGATGTCCTACACCCATCTGGTGCTGAGGGCCATTATGGTTTATCACCGCACCCAGGCCAGGGTGTTCAGCATTGAGATGTTGCACTCCACTTGGACCCGTGAGCGATGGCATACCCACGCCCACGTACGGTGGATGCTGCACACGCTGCTGTGGCATGGGAGCGGGATGTGGTACGTTTGGCTGGCCCAATGGGACAGGAAACTGTGGAGGCGCATCTGGTCTCATTCCGTGAGGTCGTTGAAGCGTACCGGTCAAGTTTAGAATCGGGGGGTATCTTGGTCGGATTGGATTTTGCGAGTTAAAAGGGACAACTTGGTCATGATGCTGCGCAACGTCCCGACCCTGGTGCATATAAGGAATCGCATAGTTTGGAGCGGGCACAGGCGGCTGAGGGATCATGTTGTTGCTATGGTGGTCGATATGCTGCATGCTAGGTCCAAATCCATCTGAGCGTTTCAAGTTATCGATGGACTTCTCGAGAACCTTTGGATTGATGCCTTGACAACCTTTGATACCTTGATGCACGTGAGGATGTGCATAGCTTGATCCTGTAGCTGGCATCTGGTGTATCATGATGTTGGATCGATGTCCGATATTTTGCGTATCACGACCGGATCCATTTCGACTGTTGGAATCGTAGGTAGATCTCTTGGGAGTTTTCTGACTGATATCTTTTGAGACTCTGTTATCCCGATGCAGGGTATTCAGGGCTCTCTGATGACCATGTGGAGCAATCTTGTGGCGACCTGGAGGAACTACTGGCCGGTGTTGTGATGCGTGGACCACATCGTTAGAATTGTTGGCTTGCAAATTTTTGGAGGGTGAATGCGATTTCCCCGACTTCTTGGTGACTGGCATGGTTGCGTTGGAGTGTAGGATGAATTGGATTCAAAAGGGGTGTATATTGTTGGAAGGGAAGCGGAGAGCGGAAGATAGTGCGGCGAGATGGTTGTCACAAAGGGATTTTTGGACCGATGAGTTTGTAACGGCCCTTCTTGGTATAGGCTGGAAAGAGGATGGTGAAACTCGCTCTATTTCTTTTTATTTCTTTCGAGGATTTGTTGTGTGAAATAGTATAAAAAGGGGGAGCTGGGTTTTGTCGATATGAAGCGATTCGGTGAGTGTTGTAACGACGTGCAGTTGTTTCCGATGCAACAACGAATAAATAGCTAATGTTTATAGGACTAAGAAAGGCTGGGATATGCTTTCAAGTGATATGAATGTTGTCAAAAATGGCACACTCTCCGGGAGCATATGTATCAGAAGTAAATGCGATGAGGTCTGGGTGAAATGGGACAGCTTTATTCGAGAGAGTCGAGATGTTTACGATGATGCGAGGAACAAGAGGAGAAGATGCAGGGTGTAAAAGGAAGAGCGATAGAGAGCTGCAGCAGCTGTCGCAGGCACAGGAGCAGGCCCATGACGGAGAAATAACCTTTCTGCAGCGCCCCACGGCACACAGAAACACAGATTGATCTCTCACCCATTGACACAGAGCAGTTGTCCCGGGGGAGCCAATCTTCATTCAACAGCATTAAGAAGACTATTACCGTAACTCAATGATGGCGAACGAACCTTTCAGACGGCTACGGCGAATCTATCCCCAGGATTGAATGAGGTCATAAGAAGGTTCTGCATTTCTCAGTGCCTTCTTTTTGCTTTTCTTTTGTTAATCTTATTTTATTATTATTATTATTATTTTGGAGTAATTTAGGCAGGGCCGATTTCCCATGGAGCAGGAAATCTTACAAACGTCCTAAATATCCACATTATCTGTTTACGTTGCATGGCACCTGTGTACTCACCGTTTCTGATGGGTCCTTCCACCACAGAATGTTTGGGTGGCATCATTAATACCCAATTTTTTTTTTTTTTTTTTTTTTTTTTTTTTGGTTCTCTTGCGAAGAACTTTCAACAACCAAAACAGCATACTTCTCAGGAATTATATGTGAGGTACAGAGGAACGGTGAGCGATATATGCGCATAAAATGACGTCCTTACAAGACCACAGAGCATCAATTGCTTCTAGATATAGTCATTCACCCTCATCAGTGTCTTCCGTCTAGCGCGCCAGTTGTCGCGCGGTAAACATTTGACGTATGCCAAGCTTTCCGGGGTAGCTGTTAGTTAACTAACTATTCTTGCTTATATAATCACGCAACCTTAAAAGCCACCGCGTTTAATAGATTTCTGCCAATTAAGGCGGCATTTACTGATTTTGTTGTTTACGAAACAACTCATCCAGGCCCTAGGAGGGATATTAAGCAAAGGGTGAATCCTCAGCGATATTCTACTATATAGCGTTTTCTGGCCGAATAGAAATCCCAGAGTAAATTCAAATAATTACGTACGTATGAATGATTAGGTTCAGAACCGAGGTCTGACGACATAACAATGAATGTATGGCAAAAGGAGAATCGATTCAGCGGATCCACGCCACAGATATGACGTTTATAGAACCCAACCTTACCCCTGTCCAGATAATTTTTAACGGTACGCGAGTCCTCTGATAATTTGGGACGTGGCGCTCCTTGAACCGATATGTCTTTTACAAGACTAGTTACACCAGGACCGTTCTGTCCTGTTTTCTCTTCGATTTCTGTCTCTGGGACATTCCTCCTACTAAGCGTAATCCAAAACATAGCGACTAATCCACCGAACTTAGCGCGTACACCAAGCTTCACCTCCACCGTCATCCCTCGTTAGACGCTGTAGCGAACCTTATCAAGCAGGTTGCGACAAAGACAAATGACTACCGAGGAGTTTCTCGCCTGGATAGATGGATATCTTTTCCACCACAGAGACACCTCCATCCCCAGTATCCTCTATTAGTGTGGGGTTGGGTTGCCAACGACAGAGAGGCACGGTATATACAAATCTTCAGGTGTCATCAGCGATCCACTCAACCCTTTCTAAATAGAGTCTACCAAGTAGCTGAGTATTAAATAATTACAATTAAATTACTGTTAAACAATAGTCAAGAGTTTTGTTTGATATCTATTCTAGCAAAGCTTATTCATCTTAATTCCTCGTTCCCATTACTTACAACTCCCTCCCACATGTCTTTAAGAAAGTGGATATCATATTACGTCTTCCCTAAGCACAGCGGCTCCTCCATTCAAATCCAAGACATGACATTGAAAAGTTTGCTAACACGAAAATATCCAGGCCTAGTCCCAGCCCATCCCAAAAACAAAATTCAGTGCCAACTCCACTCCATTCCATTCCAATATATTTGCAATACACAATTGATCCCAAAAACCAAACTTCAACTGCATTAACGCCACAACCTTTTCTTTCAAAGCAGACTCTCATATTTATCAAGTCCCTGTTTCTGTTGATTATTTCGGGGTTGCATAGCCGGTAGTGTCGACTGCCACTGCTGGCTCGGGTTTGGTTTTGGTTGACTAAACGCAGCAGAAAGGGAAGCGGATGACGAGGTTTGTTGTGATTGGATATTTGACGGTAGTGGCGGAGGGGGAGAGATGGGGAATGGAGAAAATGGCGTGGTCGTCTGTGACATGTGCCCAAACGATGAGGCTGATGGTGCTGTTGTGGTGGATGAGGTTTGGTAAGTTGAACTTGCGGAATATTGATTCATTACTGAGCTGGGTTGTGGGTTTGTCGCGGGTTTCCCAGATGGTGACAGTATGGGCCAACGTGAAGCTTGAGAAGGTTGCGAAGGTTGCAAGGAGGGAAATGTAGGTATTGTGGACACTTGCTGTTGTAGATTCCTAGGTTCGAGCGTAGGAAAGGAGTTAATGCTCATATCAGGAGTAATCGACCGTTGGCTAGGTCCCGAATTATGACCCACAGTGCCTGTAAGATTGGTGGTCGACCATGAAAACTTAGGGGTATTATCAGTCTTAGCCGGCAGATTAGTTGGATTGGATGTTGCCGTGCCCCAGTCATTCCAGGAAGCGTTACTAGAACTGGATGCCGTCCCTTTGCCAAGGACCAGACGTTCAAATTCTGATTTTGAGTTTTCAACTTCAGTTCCGCCGTTCAATACGCCAGTCGTTCCAAAAATATAGGAATTGCTATTCCTGGCATCTCCGAACTCGTTTGACGAGGAGAGTGATTGCAATTTTTTCGTTTGTTGCTGCTCGACCTTTGAGGAAAGGGATTTAATCAAATCCATGAAACGGCCAAATTGCTGAATATTGAGAAGCGGGCCAAGGCTGAAATTCCATAAGATCGGAATGACCTCCAGGGCAATGAATTCAGTTTCAGCAATCTGACCGACCTGCCGAAACACATTTAAGGCTGCCATCATGACCGCAGGTTCTTTGGTTTTAATGGCTTTTAACAACGGAACAACCTTCTCCTGGACCGTGTATTTGTCAAGAATCGACACTGTACTGGATTTGGTTGGTTGAATTTTGTTTGGAACTTCTGCAAAATCATCATCCAAAGTCGAACCTGAAATTTCCTCCTTTGCCACTCCGCCGCATAAAATAGTTAACGATTCTAAGCCTCGAACTTTGATAGCAAGGCTGCTGGTTCTGCTGAAAACTGAAGCAATCGGGGGGAAAACGTCATTCTTTACGGTAGAAAAGTCCAGAATAGGTAACATCACCGGAAGACACCGCATTGAGACATCTACTAATGAATGTGTGGAGGATTCTAAGCCTAGTCGAACCAAAGGCAGTGCATCTAGTGAAAAAAAATCGTAAGTGAACCGGTATAAATCAAAGTCAGTATTTAGCTTACATACCTTCTTTAAAACTCCGTCCCAAGCAGTTTTTAGCAATTAGATCCATGTTTTCCAGAACAACCATAAGACTAGCATCTCTGCTGTTGTCGCGTTCCTGCGGAAGGCCTTTAGCTCCGGTTTGGAGAAAGACAGGCTTGAGGTGGGGAAGAAGTTTCTCAGGAACGACCCGCGGGCCGGAAGGAATAATTCTGATAATTTTAAAGACATTTGACAGGATCAGTGGCAATAACTCTTTATCCTTGCTTTCTTCCAAGAGGGCACCAAGAACTTTTCTTTCGAGAACTGAAGGTGGGAAATCAGGTAAAATACGACCTAGTCCTTTCATGAATTGGGATTTCTCGTTAAGTGATTTTGTAGGTAAAGATTCCAAAAAGCGAATGGTAGATACAAGGATATTATCGAAATACTGAGATTGCTGGAACTCCTTTGCATTCATTCGTTGCGTCGCTCTCCTGGTAATAAGCCTGGGCAAAACATATGACGCTAGATCCCTAGGGATTGGACGAGAGGAAAGAAACCCATTGTTTTGTGAAGGTATTGTTGATGGTGAACCCAGCAACTTTTTGTATGTCGAAGTGTTGCCGTGCGTCTTAAGAGGAGAGATGTGAGGGGAATTGTAAAGTGAAATGATGAGAAGACCAAGAGAAAAGAGATCTGCAGACGTAGTGATATTCGAATCAATTACGAAATCGGGGGAGGTATAATCTAGGTCAAGTTGAACATATGACGGTAGTCTGGGATCCTCGTGTAAGACTTCAGATAGTGCAAGCGGAGGCAGTGACGATTGTGATCCCGAGTCAGCAGGGCCAGCAAAAGCAAGGCCAGAGATTTTCCAGTCAGATTTCGCATTGACATAGATGGCTTCGGGAGTCAGGTTGCCGTGGACGAACCCAGCAGATTCATGTAAGAACTCCAGGCCTTTTGCAATTTGCAATAAGCCCTTCTGTATTTCGATCTCATCAATCTCAATACCCTTTCCAGCCTGATTGACATCAGACTCCCCAGTAATACATTGACCGGTTCGCCGGCCCCCACCGGAAGACGTCTCCCGGTCATCCATCTCCCGTAAAAGCCCTGCTAAAGAGGCGGTGACAGGCTCCGTAGCAAACATCAAACCGCCGTTTCGAGTCTCCTCCACTGGTTCCAAGACTTGAAGAATGGAAGGATGCCTTAGCCGGGTTAGGCTACTAGCCTCTCGTTTCAACCGTTCGACAACTTCATCATGTATCTTTTTCAGAGATGATGAGTTTGACCGGGAAGCGAGGCCGACTCCCCGCACATCCAGTGATTTCCGATCAAAAACGAAAATGGAAGCTTCATTTCCGGTACTCTTTTTCTTACCGTCATACACCTTCCAGGGGCCCGACGTAAATGTTGGATGAGGGGAAAGCTGATAATTGGCCGCTATATTTGAGCTAAAACTCTTCAAAGCTGATGAAAACATAGCGATTCCAGAAAATCTTCGCAGATCGGGATAATGGTAGAGATGTTTGATCGGGTTGAAACAGAATGCCTATGGAATGATGAGATCCGATTCCTATCAAAACACTCCTGATCAAACGCCATCCGCCACGCTGCACCCGGACCCATAAACCCAGTTACGCTCCTAATAGTAGTTCACAAGGAACGCAGCCCTTAAACGCTAACCTGCATCTGAGATATTTTGCTGAGGTCGTTGTCCGTGACATTCAACTGATGTCTATTACGACAGCAATCAGAATGAGGATAGTGTCTGGTTTCAATCCAGGATTCCAGCTTCCACGTTCCGCAAACCGATCCTCATCACGTGGGAATCAGGGTAGCGTAGACGGATTAACCATTGCTCCGATGGCGAGATTGGCTTCTGGGCGCCGAGGCTTATCTTCTATTTCTATATATGAATTGAGCAACGATTTTGGGTGTTTTACACATCATCGAAATTTCCAGTCTGCAGGGCTATATTATTATTATTACTATTATTATATACTAAAGAAATTTAATCAGTGTCAGTACAATAGTTGAATTCAATTTTCTCTGTTCAAAACTCTCTTATGATATATATATCTCAAGAGGGGCGCTGCTATGGAAACCCTTCACCATTCCAACGGCGAATACATCACGTGTCCACAACGAACATCACACGCTCGGTATCCTCATGGGTTTTCAGTTTTTCCTCCCTTTGCAGAAAAGCGACCGATGGAATTTTTCCTGAGACAATTTACACAAGATCATGACAGACCTAAGAGCATTCTTCTAGATCATTCTTCATGGTACAGTTGAATCAGGACATAATCTTCCAGTCTCTTCTCAAATGATTACCGGGGGGTTCATGCTGAGAGGATTGGGATCGAGGGAGTGAATAGTCAAGTGCTACTGCTTTTTCCTGTCTTTTGAATATCCTTTTCTCTGAAAGGCACGAACGTTGGCTTGTGTTTGTTCAGTGAAAGAGGTGGTTAGTATATCACTTGCCAAGTCGATATAACTCAGCTGGCTTGACTGGCGACCGTCATCCAGTATGGATACTGGTTCGGCATTAGATTGTTGAGAGAAGTGAAGTTCCGACTAAGATACATCAAAATCAACGTCGGGAGGGATACGATCAATCGCAGAACATATTCTTTTTAGATGAGTTGGCATCCATATATCATAGACATTCCGTTTGAATTTATATGCCGCCCATCTCTCTTTACCATGTTTAAATAACTCAACAACACCTCTCAGTGCAGAGTCATGCTATAGGCATTCTGTCGGTCTGCGATATCAAGCGCCACCCAGCCGCATTTTATCTCGCATGTTAGAAACGGAAAATGCATTAGTCTCTGTCTCCATAAAAAGAGAAGTATAATCTTAGTCACCTATAAAAGGCTTAAGCTTTTCAAGTTGATCATCTGTGAATGCGGACCGCCTGAATCCCACATAGGAATCAAGTTGTGGACGGGGCCACAGAAAGGGATGCTGTTGTTCCAGCCTTGATTAACACTTTCGTCCAAGCACTCAGGGTGTGTGGCCCCATACGTAGCTAGAATGGCTGCAGATAGGACAATCAATAATCTAATATCCCGAATTACTCTTGCTTCTTTCCCACGTTGGATCTTCTCGCAGGTCGTGTCGAATAAGCCATCTCGAAATAATGAATTCTCAGTGACTTTCGGGGCCATAGCAAGCGATGATTTGATAAGAGTGCTTCTTTCGTCCGTAATTCTGCCGCGTACCTCTTTCATCAAGCTGCCTTTTTATTCAAGAATGGTTTGATAATGCGGATATCCGTATAGAGCACTCTTTTCGTCTCTTGGCATTTGATCACTGAGTGTGGAGGAGCTGGTGACAGAGCCAGATTCCTATTGCTCGCAGCAAAAAGAAGATGTCGACTTCTTCCTTGCAAGCAGAAATTCCATGTTGCCCCTCCTGTCTGAATTTTTTTTTTTTTTTTTTTTTTGGGCCAATAACCTCGCTGAATCCAATAGTCGATTGGATTAATGTCGTTCTCGCAGACGCGGTTTGGTATCTCTTGGCCCGGTGTTACTTCAACAGCAGAGCTTTCAACAGCGGCAGTTGCAAGAGTCATTCGCAGTCGCTTTTCTGGAGATACGTGCCGGGAAGGAGGAGCGGATCTTCGGGTTCTCGCAATCGTTTCCGTTTTCGATCTTTAGCTTGCAGAGGTGCGGTTGGATCCTGTGGTATCTCGACTCTAAATTAGTTTCCTAGCACAATGGGAGGAAAGGTAACGTACCCTTCTTGTTCCGGGAATATCACTATTAGAAGAGGAATATGAGTGTTTTGGTTTGGCGTTTCTATCATTAGATATGGGCTTCCTTTGACTCTCTCCCAAGCGTGCGCTCCAGCGGACAGGACCTCGTGGTTGTCCTTTTCTGACCCTTTGCGGCCGCTTTCCTATCATGAAGTGTCACCCAAGGAAAGCTGATAAGAAGGCTGATAATGAAGCATGGATAGCTCACTTTCTTCTTGAGTTTTCAGCGTCAGAGGCTGTGGTCCTATCTTTATGCATGATTTTGCTTGGCGCCCGGAATTATTGACGTTTGACATTCGTTGGCATGGGCCCATGTTGGTTGGACGAGAAACGGGCAAGAGATTTATGTTGCCGCCGAAGACTGTCTTCTTTGCTTGCTGGAAGACGGCACGATAGCACCAACTAGCGTTGGATATTGTTGGTTGGATACTGCGGCTGCGCTAATCGCCCCTCATATATGACTATTTCAGCTAGCTAGCTCATCATACAACAACGTTGTTCACCATGGGGGGTTGAGGCTTTCTGGTTGGATGGAATAAGCTGCGAATAGCATGATGTTTAAAATTAATTACATTTCCATATATTATTTACGCATGCCTAGATGTTCTTGTGATACTTTGATTAATCTCAGATCAAATAATAAAGATTTGAAAAATTAAAATAAAAACCAAAAATGGGGAAAAAAAGTTTTTCTTAAACTATTTATGATATCCTTCCAGGCTCGGCAAAACAATACATTTTGCTGAGAAATCGCCAATAAAATTTGGGAGGTAATAATTAACTTGTCTAGTTTCTTTCATAAATACTCAAACTTAATGTAAGGTTAAAATTTGCTCAGCAGACTTTCAAATCGAAAAATTTTGACTATTTCACTGGACGGGCCATGACCTGTTGACGGATAATATCCGTGTTCGTTGATGCCACATGTGGGCTAACTAAATCACGTGTGGCAGGGGTGGAGCATCAACAACCGGCCAAACCCAGCCAACATATAGAACTTGGGCTAGGTTTTTTATAACGTTATCCTCTATGAGATTGGCTGCGGGCTTCTCCCTTCAACCTTGTCACAGTTCACACATAGGTAACTTCGCTATACGGTTTAGTGAAATTACTACACGAGCAAGTATCATTGCCCTTTGCAACCTCCAACAAACACTTGTGACTCGCTCTTGATAGGTGCCGTTTGCCCTCCAATTCCGCCGCAGCTTCCAATTGATTACCTCAAGGAACCATGACAGCTTCTCTATTGACAATCCGCAGGGGCGTTACGGCCCTCAGCGGCTGCAGCTCTGCATGGAGACATCTCATTCCCTCCCAGAGATGTTACAGTTCGATGATTGGAAGCCGAAGTGATGGATTGCCAGGAATTGATTTCTCAAAGCTATCTATTACGAAAACAACGAGCCCTAAGGAATTGCTCCCCCCCGAAAAGCTGGTTTTTGGATCGTCATTTACAGGCAAGTGGTTCGCAGCCATTGGAAACTCGATATTATATCACATACTAATTTCGTTTTAAAACCCCTCACCCCGACTATAGACCATATGCTTGTGGTGAAATGGAACACAAAGGATGGTTGGCTTGCGCCAAGCATTATTCCATACCAGAACCTAAGTCTGAGTCCGGCCACCTCTGTTTTCCATTATGCGTTTGAGTGTTTTGAAGGAATGAAGGCATACAAAGACAAGGCTGGCGGTATCCGGTTATTCAGGCCGGACAAGAATATGGAACGGTTAAACAAGTCGTCGAAGCGTATTGCGCTTCCAACGGTTGATGGCGATGTGGTCATCAAGCTGATTAGCGAACTGGTTAAACTAGACAGCAGATTTATTCCTCAGTAAGATATATTACCTTTTTGGGACTGGGTACAGACAGGCGTGTAGTGTTTACTGATTGGGATATTCTTTCCCCAGAGCTCGTGGTTACTCGTTGTACCTGAGACCCACAATGATCGGGACCCAGGAGTCGCTAGGTGTCACTGCTCCAAACTCTGCCATGTTCTTTGTCATCGCGAGCCCTGTTGGCCCCTATTTCCCGACAGGATTCAAAGCAATTTCCCTTGAAGCAACAAATTATGCGGTTCGCGCATGGCCTGGTGGGGTTGGTGACAAGAAGCTGGGCGCGAACTATGCCCCATGCATTGTTCCGCAACTGGAAGCTTCCAGGAAAGGCTTTCAGCAGATTCTTTGGTTATTTGGAGAAGAGTATATCACCGAAGTTGGGGCTATGAATCTTTTCGTCGCGATGAAGAACAAAGAAACCGGGCAGAATGAGCTCGTAACAGCTCCCCTGGATGGCACCATCTTGGAAGGTGTTACTAGAGATTCCGTTCTCACTCTTGCCCGGGAAAGACTAGTCCCCAGAGGTTGGATGGTATCGGAGCGTAAGTTGAAAATGTCGGAAATTGCCCAAGCCTCTGATGAGGGCAGAATGATCGAAGTTTTCGGAGCGGGCACTGCAGCCATTGTTAGTCCAGTTCGCAATATTAGCTGGAAAGGACAGATGGTAGATTGTGGCTTGAAGCAAAACGAAGAAGCCGGAAAAGTGGCCCTTGAGATGAAGAATTGGATAGAACGGATTCAGTATGGAGACGACGAACATAGCTGGAGGTAAGCTGGAAACGATGACATCCCTTTCTGCTCTCTAGCTGGCTGACTAACTGGCCCTCCTTTTTAGTGTCAAAATTTAGTATTACTTTGTCAACATTCCCTGGGTTATACTACATATTTTGCTTGATCCCCTCTTGCCACACCTGGTGCAGGTATATTTTATCAAGAATTTGTTATCCATTTTTTTGTTCTCTGTATTTTAGAGCTCCCAGTTCTTTAGACATAGAATATACGCTCAAGTGTTTTGATATTATCTAGATACTCACGTTTTCTATCTATCCCATCTTTGCCACCTATATGCAAGCTCATGGCCATACGCAAGATTCAACCCAATGAATACGTTAGTTACAGTTTCCGACTTTGCCCGTTCTTCTTTTCGAGGGTATTCGTGGTTTGTTGCTTCATAACTTTCATCACCGTTAAACAATTACCATAGTGTGAAAGGGACCACCGCGTATATCCTAAAAGTCCCCAGAATCCATCCGTGTGGACTGGGATTTGTTTCACCAGAATGGTTTCTCTCCTCAACCCCAAACCATAAATCCATAGGCCTACATGGAATGTGAGGGAGCCTTTAAATAACAAACGACCCCCTGACTAGTGCGGGAGGGAGTTAGAAAATGGATACTTTGTAAGGCTTCCTGATTCATTATATCTTGAGGGAAGAATATTGCTAATATCTCTTGTCTCCTTAATTTTACTGAAATTTATTTCATCCATCTGCCTATGGTTAACGAGGGGGCGATGGGGATAAGGGGGCTGGCGGCGAAGTTGAGTCGAGATTCAACAAAAATGACATATGCACAACCCTCCCGGAAACAATTACTACCGTTCACCAGTCAAATGCGCACCCTCATTTTATCTTCCCTTGTTTGTATCCCGGTTCCCCTACCAATGTCCCTCGTCCTGCTAGGTCTCATGGCCCATCCTAGCGTTCCCATATCAACGCTTTCATTTCAAGCTGCGACCTTCCTAGGTACCTATCCTTGAACCCTGCCCAGCATATTAATAACCTCGGTTGTGTTGCTGATTTATTTTTAGTTTTTGAAAAGTGACAGCTGTTTCCAGCTTCTGCGCAGGACTCAACCCTCCACATTATGCCGTTCAACAAGAAACGTTTGGCCCTTCCAGTGATTCGTTAGGGTGTAAAGTTTGCGGTTGATGCCCTTCCACTCGAGCATTACCTTGGCGCAAAGTCTGTCAATTCCAATCTTCTGACGCCTACAGGGAATGTTTTCCAAGCTCGTAGAGCATTGCAGATATCCCGTTGTATGTCCAGATGATCTTGCCACTCGTTCTCCCCGCACACTTTAGAATGCTTACAGCTGTGATTCCTTGCTTTGCCTGCTACCTGGCAAAATTCACTGTTCCCTACATGGGTAAAAAGGTTGATATGCAGTATCCCAAGGGGCCTATTGAAAGACCTCACTAGGGTGTCACGACAGCTCAAAATCTCAGAAATCCCAGATATGCAACAGGACTCAAATAAAGTCCAAAATCATGGGAGAGACAACGCACATCGCAGGACTTTTCAACTTTTGATGCTGCGTAAAAACCTAGAATATCAGGAGACGCCCCACCCTCAGCGAATAGGCTAGAGACCTCTTGGTCCGTTTAGAAACGGGGGTGCATGGGTTCCCAGCTTTGTCTCCAGCAACGACGAAAAAGAAAATTTACCCTCTGTATCAACATCGCCCGTTTCTCTCGGTACGAAAGCAATAAACAAAGCGGATGGATAACAAGCTAAGGTCGTCAATCCACGGCTGCTCTTAGGGTCTTCAATTACGCCATTCGCGGTTATCACGGTGAGCGGCTAACTATTAATAGGTCAGAGCACGCAAGCCATCGAAAATCCATGATATCTGCCAAGTTCCTTATGTGTAATAGCGCCGGAGAGTTTTATCGGGACGTCAGGCATGTGCCTTTAGTGCGCTTTGGGAAATACCACCTAGAAAGATCAACAGAGTTGAAGGTTCAGGGGTCCGTGGTATTTCGACGTGTTGAATTGTTATTAAACGGTTCTCAGAGACATTCCGGTGAGTTGGTGTTGGAGGTTGCTGCACGTATGAAATTTCAAGTTCAGGTTTGATGCGTACAGGTAACTATATTTGTGGTAATGTTTGGACTCCATACGTTAATTTCCGAAGAAGCAGTTGGATAGCGTATATTTAGGATGATCGTTACGAACTCGCAACAGGAACATTGAAACCCGAGACCCTTAAAAGACCTTGGCATAGACCAGGAGTTGTTTATTTTTTATATAACTTTGAATCCTTGATTCATTTGGTTCTTGCATCCGCTCACTACAAAAGTAATCTGCAATGACAGAGGCTTGAAAGAATAATCCAGCAATGGGGTTCTCCACTAACCACTTAACTAGGGCATTGAATACCGACCATAAATAATGTCCAGTTCAACCATTTGGGGCTGTTCTTCTTAACGAATGTTCTGAAATAATAATAGGGCTGAACGTAACCCAACCAGAGCCACTACTAACGCGAAACTATCACAGCCATGACGCTATCTAAGTGACTTCCCAACCCACGGGATTTCGGCCAATAGCATCCTTTACGTGGCAATGACAGAGACGTCTGTTTTGTTACCGTTGAGATCTTTAGGGACGAAACGGTAACTTTGGTTGGGAGTATTGTGGCTGCCGCCTTTGTTGCAAGAGAATCCCCTCCGCTGATACCGTTGATCCCAGTAAGTACCCACCCAAAAGGTCGGAGATAAATTTAAATGATCTCAAGCGTGTGTTCAGAGGACTGAACACCACAATTATTCGCCCGTACCTTTTCATGCTGTCGTCTAACACCGGAGATAATTGTCTAGTATCGCACTCAACAGCAACTCTATCCCAATAAACTTATTCACAACCTCCCTAAGGCCAACCAGTGTTCTAAGATCAGAGAGAATGAATTGGATGCCCTTGACAATTACCCTTTGAGGCCATTCTCGTTCGTGGTGGAAGATGCGGACATAACGTGCCAATCTCTTGGCTCGCAGAAACGCAATCAGCCACTCAACTCGTGCCAATTTGAGTGCTGACGGATGAGATTCTTCTTTATTCCGCCCAAAGCCACTACAAGTCGGAAGCTAGAGCCTCAGACCCGGGAATAGGCCATGCTCTATAGCTAGGAGCCGGCCAACCGCCATCATTGGGCAGAACTTTAAAATCCGTTGACCTATTTAGGGCCATATCTCATGAACGGTTTCCTCAGTGGACAATTATTCTTGTTATTTTCTCTCTTTCGAAGTACTGAAACAGACTGGATGGTTGAACTGACTCCCTTAGGCTGGCAAACTAATGTATCCACCAGGTTTCTTTCCTTGCACGCTAAGTGACCACCAAGAATATGTCTCCGATCCAAACTGCAACAAATAATGCCACAATATGGACACAAGACAGGGATATGTGCTTGCCCCCCCTCCCCCATCAGGCAGTGTTTAATCTGGCGCAGAAGGTTACGATGAGATGACAATACGTGCCTGTTCATATGGAAAGATCATGGCCTGGAATCCAAGAGGACGGAAATACTCACAGTAACGGGAGGAAAGGGGGAACAATGCAGTGAGGGGAAACAAAAAGGAAGAACAAAAGCGAAGGCCTGACACCGAAAAGCGTGGATACAGAAAAAAGAAGAAATATGCGGGCTTCTTTAGCATAATTTCGGCGACCTCAGCACCCCGCAGACCAACGAAGAATTTTTTTTTCTTAACTTGAAGTGTTTTCCTTTAAGAATCTTGCCTTTGAAAATCTTGCCTTTGAATGACGATCTGCCAATGCTCTAGCCTCCAGTCCATCAGGAGTCAGGGCAAGCAATTGCCACTATTCGGCATTTAATTTGTCCCTGTTAGATTTTGGAATATTCAGAGGAGAAAGATCCATCTTGGAGGCCCTGGAGACAGTGTTTCTGTGACATCGCATGGTCAGTGGCTTGCTAGCTGCGTCCACAACTTCTCGGGATTTGGGATGGGTATCTCCGGGTCTTTCAAGAATAAACTTCTAACTACCGGCGTTAGCAAGTGAACTAGTTAAACTAGTGACGAACTTAGGAATTCGATGATTCTTCTCTCTCAAGTTCCAACCAAAGGAATATCTCGTGGCTAGATCTATGCGGGGAAGTCAGGAGGCGGGGGGTGAAATAAAGTACTGTAAGCTCCAAAACCTCGTGCTCCGTACAAGACATATTTATACGTGATCAGTGGCTGACATCAGTATAATCAGGAATCAAATGGGAAAAGCTAAGGGTGAGCGACAAAAAAAACAACACCGAAAAGTACGGAGTGTATTGGCCCTTTTTAATATTTCTGCGTGTTCCCCCGTCGAAGGCTTGATATGTCCAGTTGCATACCGAGTAATGGCGGAGTTGAATTTCTCAAAGGTCTGTTCCATTATATCGCCGAAACTGGTCCGGGACAGAGTTGTAACATTCTTTTACATGTACATCGCATAGTGCTGGATAGGCACGCCCAGGGAGCCAATCAACCCTCTCTCTTCTTCTTGGCAGCAGCGCATGGATACGGCTTTGCTTGTTTGTCTCCGAATTCAGACGGCTGGGAAAAACTAAACCAATGTCAACAAAATAAGGCACCCACAGAGTTCTAAATTATTTTATTCGTTGAAAGGTATTCGTGAAACAAAAAGAAATCTACATCTTTCCACGCAAGATCGGGTGTCTGGACTTTAAGGAGAAGGTCCAGACAGAAAAATAACGCCGTTACATGTTTTAAACACAAACTCCCCCTCCGGGTTTCCCCTCAGCCCGTACCCTTTGATCGTGATAAATCAATTTTTACAAAATGATACACCCAAGATAAAAAAACAAATAAACAATACATGTGTATGTAGATATGTACATGCAATACAGCCGTTTGGATAACACCGCAGGCGCTAATAACAAGGAGAGAATCCGTCATTAGACAATAGTAAATTGTTTTTGAAGTGCCCAGCATAAAGTTACTATGGTTCCTGCCATACCACTAGATGATGTAGGCCCATTCGTGATGCCGAGTCGTATGCTTTCCTCTCTCCTCTTGTATGGTTGAAAAAAAGGATGGGATGAAGGTGTTATGGAGGACTGAGTCCCTTGAATATTCATTCATTGAGTTGCTGGGAGAGGCAGAGTTCGATCGACTGTCTGTATCCGATTGCAAAAGAGGGGGCGTCTTTTATTTTGGAAACCAAAAAAAAAAAAAAAATGAGCTTCTTTCGTTTTTATTTTCGTTTACTTTTTTTCTCGCATTTTGGGAAAAAAAGAAGAGTCCCAACTCTGGGCACTAGTTCCGACTTACAGGGGAGTTTGGATCTTGATAAGGAGACGTTGTGACTGGAATGTCGAATCCAGCCATGGAAGCATAATTCATACCGAAAGGCGTGAGAAGATCCTCCTCCGAATATACCAATTCCTGGGAAGGAGGTGCGTGCGAAGATAGCGGTTGGACATAATAACTTGGTGGAGGGAGCCCGTTTGGGACAGGAATTGAATGGTATGCCGATTCTTGAGGATAGTGAGAGTAGCTGTAGCTTTGGGAACAAGATTGATACTGGGATGAGAAGGCAAGCGGAGGAGAAGCGGATAGTTGCCTGGTCGATTGATCTGAGAACATTCCGACGCGCTCCTCGACTTGGTAAGAAATTGGCTCAGGGAGCACCAGCTTTGCTGGTGTGTTGCGTACATTTCTAGCTTTTGCTTTATCAGCTGCAGCCGGTCGGCCGGCGGGAGACTTGGTTTTCTTGGGTTTTGATTGAGTTGGGAGACTGAGTTCTCGATGTGATTGCTCGGGAGAAGCGGAGGAGGACGTGGCTCTTCGTTCCAAATCCTCAAGACGTCTTTTTAGCTTCTTGCCTTTTTAATAGGTTAGCTACGTAGATCTTCTTCCGCCCTTGTTAGAAGCTGGGCTTACGGTAGTTTCTTTGAGCAATTCTATTTTGAATGCGCCGTCGCTCGGCCAAATCAGATATCTTTGTCCAATCTTCGTTGGGGTGAGCACTGGCACTGAATGCACTGCTGGTTCCATGGCTAGATGTGAACCGGGGCGACGGTGTGGGTTGAGGATGGTTGTAGGGATACCCCGTACGATTCATCACGGTTGCAAGAGAAGACATATGTTTCAAGGGGTGATTTGGGTCGAGATAAAAGATGTTAAAGGGCATAAACAATAAAAAAGGATTTGCCAAAAAAGGAGTCGACTTAACACGTAGTTATGTACTGTATAGTTATCATGTCTACTCAAGTAACTTTGAAAAAACGGGAATCGAAGGTGGGGAGGGGAGATATTTATCAATTCATCGCCGCTTCGAAAGTCGCATGCCTAGCTGATCATCCACAGCTCTCAACCCATGTCAACCGTTGTGAACAAGGGGTCCTCGTGCCTAGGGTACGGCTGTAGTATGGTTGGCAACAACCCTGCGTGTCCATATGTAATTTTTGTGGCGTGCAAACCAGAGTTTCGAATTTGCGACCAGGGCTTAGTTTAGCGTCGTAATGGTTGATACCACCCTTAACAGTATGCTATTAGTAGCATATAGCAAGCACATCAAAACCATACGAGATTGCCCAGGACAAGAGATGAACATCCTTAACACACCGAGAATCAGGAGCCCGGAAAAGTGGCCTCGTCCGATTGATTTCCGGACTCTCTGTATTCTGAGCCTCCACAGGAGACATCATATCTGCTCTGCCTCCGTAGCGGGACATCTAGCAAGTATATCTCTTGAAGGGCCTTCATTGCTGGAGTTTGGGGTGTGGATAACGTGGCACACCCACATCCAGGGCCGCTATTACTGGGAATAACCAAGATGCCCGTCCGCCTGCTCAAAGGGCGGCATGGAGATAACATCAAATGCCAGTAACATCTGTTTTTGGGCATCTCAGTTGCTGTGCTAACAATAATATTTGCCCGGCTATCCTTGCAGCTCACCAGCATTTCCCAACACCATTTTATTGATTGTATAACGTTTTGCCAATTGAAAGGTCCTGTGCTGGAATTCGTAGATGGCAAGTTCACCTGTCCCCAAATTTATGATATGGAAATTACCGCGAAGCAGCGGTGGTGTCCGGCATGGTGCTCACGCAGGGCTGGTTGTTTGGCGTTCGACATCATATCATCAGGTACCTCAGGAACCTCGTTAGAAACTTCCATTATTCGGTTCATGGAACACGAACCCCAGTCACCCATGCCCATATTGCTACCGTACCCAGAATGCTCTAGGACTAAGTAGAGTACTAAGTCGAATGAATACCGCTCAAGAGACTGGCGGTGCCGGAGGCAGGATTCCCAACGCGCTAAGCGAACTGCCGTTTGTCCCAGTCGAATCAAAGAGAGACGGTTGCCAGGTTCGGCTACTTAGACGCGTTCAAAAATAGCATATTTCCTCTAAATTTAGCGGTTTAGCTGCTGAATTAGCCGCGATGGTTGGGTCTTGTCTTCAATGACAAGCCACACGGGTCCGGCTCGGTTTTGTTGCGAACGTCGCGCCTGTGGCAGTCAGCACTAGAGCTGAAGCCGAGAGTCGTGGTCTAATATTAGTTCTCCAAGTTTCAACATTCAAACATCAGGTTGCATCTTGTTACCTGATTGCAATCAATCAAGCGGTTTTCTATTTTTGGGCTTGCTTTCCCGAGAGCTGTTCTGTCATTCCGTTTATATATCGCTCTCGAATAGAAGGGGTCTTAATTGCCTGGGATCCAACAGGCAAGATGCGGCAAAGTTGATGCCACTAACATGATTGTCGTTTTGGGGATGCGGGTTCAGAGATTGTGAATTCGAACATGGACCGACATACAAAAATTAAACCATTTTCCCACTTGCAACGGCCAATTTGGGCTATTTCGATTTATATCGCCTGGAAACTGCGGATTCTCGTCTTTCCGACCCAATGAATGTGGGAGGGAGGGCCTGAAAGAAGGGAATTAAAACCCCCATAATTGACGACATTTTAGATCAATATAATAGTGACAATTATGTTGAATTTGTGTTTCTACACCCTATACGCCCACGGTCATACCGAAGACAATAAAGACTTCTCGAAATGGTCGAAAGCCATGCCATGTATATGGTCATGTCGCATTATCTCCCTTACCAGGCCCAAAGCTAAGTAGCGGAATTGCCCCGGAGAGTAATTCCGGACGGGGTGCCCGAGCCTTGGATATCAGATCTCCTATCCACCCACCTAGGTGAGTAGTAAGTTTTGATCTGAAGGCTACCAGAACGTTTCGAATGGTGGCCAGGGGTAAATGAACATTGCACGCTTATCCCAAATTCCCAACCCCGCTGTCCCTGTTGACTTTGGTTAGCAGCAACTGCGCCTTTGGTCGTCATGCGGGCGGTAGTCTCTAATTAGATCTTGGAAATTAAACAAGATTACCCTGTTGTCATTGCGTCTGTCATGTAGTGGCACACTTGTCAAAAAGCAGCATTGGGATCAACTAGCTACAGACATGCGTCCCCAGGATAACCAACTATTCTATGTGCGTACGCTGAAGCATATAACCAAACAACCTCAGCCACAGCTCCCTTTCGTTACATTGACGTTGACGAACGAAGACGAAGACGAAGACGATGGGCGATGTACGCAATGAAGAAGGAGGAGGACTCAGCTCCAATCGTCATGGCGCACGTCGTGTAGTCTAAATTTGATTTATACTAATTTGATAGACTTATTCGAAGTGAAGGCAACCCCCTGAACGCCCGCTCACTTGGGGTCCCTGCAAGAGCCCGGTAGGGCTGATCACTCGGCAGGTCGCGGACTCACCTCCAGACTCCATATTTCTCGGCGCCTTTCGCAGTTAAAATTACGGGTACTTTATGCTAATGATAGCACCGGCCGATGCATGTACGGTAGTTCTCAAATGAGGTTAACTATAGCTGCTAGGGCGTGGAATAATAATCACCCTGGGTTGGGTACGCCATTTTAAGACGCTTGTTACGTGCAGACATCACATAGATAACTACTGTAGTTGTGCAGTTGCAGACTATGATGGCCCGCAGTTCGGGTAGTTATCTGAAATATGACTGTTGAAATTCGGCTTAGGGCTCGCCTAAAAAATAGCTGGATGTTAGCTTGAGTTAAACATAACGTTGCAATCGTCAAAGAAGATCAAACATCCCTCGTATTGAATTAAAGTCAGCTCTCATAGACAATTGAGAGTGGGTTGGTTCCACGGACCCAACCTTGGAATCAGACTTTTTTTAGCATACATTCATCAACCTCGCTGATTAACAATCAGGAAGAGGCCTTTCAAATTGCAGGTAGGTTATCAAAACACCCGTTCATGAATGAAAGGAATTCCATTCCCTGAAGCAAGTTCTTTCGATAGAGGGAACTTCTCTGGAAGGTGTCTATCTGTGGATCTTCCTAACCAGTTACCTAATATTGTTCGAGCCGTCCAAACAGTTTCCTATGACAGCGTCCTCGGCTTGATTTACTTCGGGTCACCTGGAAGAGCTTGCATTTTCTTATAGGCCAAATTTGTATGTATGCCTGGATGGTATATCAACTGGGTCGTGTGCTGGATAGGAATTCTAGATTGATGTTGTTACAATAAAATTTTCGGATTTTGGAAATTCCACTACACCACCTCGTGTGCATTTCTTGAGCAGTTAGCAGAGGCGGCGACAGAAATATTTTATAGAAGTTTAACAACCGATTGAAGAGACAATGTAGAAGAAGAGACAATAATGAAGAAGGCCTTGTCGAAAAGATAAAATAGCTGCTGAAATATTAGAGAGTTGTAAAGGGGGGAATTAAGTTACATACTTCGCATTAACTCTGTACCCGTGTTCTTGCCGATCTACAAGATGGAAAGAAATATAGAACAAATATGTAAATATTTATTGTCAATCTCTTGCTTTTATTCTCTTGCATTTTTAGACTCCCATATCTGATGCCAGTTAAAAAGGAAAAGAAAAGAAAATCTCGAACAAGGTAAAATATAAAATAGTAAAGGACAATCGACAAGTAGAAATCCTTAGATACAAGTACTGGTGGACGTAGCAATCAACATGGCTTTGGTGCGTTTGGGATAAGGTGACAGGATGCATTTATCAGAATAGGGATTGGGTGAGATTTACTAGATACAAATATCTTCTTCTCTTGAAATAAACAAAGCAAAATGTGGGAAAGGAATAAGGGAGATAATAATAAACGAGAAACAGGAATGAAAGATGCCATGAGAAGAAAAAGACATAGAAATGAAAGAGAAGAAAAGCTGTCAAGAAAGAAACAGAGTAGGAATAAAAGGGAAAAGCAAGGAGATTTCAGCATTACTGCGTTATCCATTTCCATCTCAAAAAAACAAAATAAATAAATAAAATAAAAAATAAAATAAAATAAGAGGAGGGGGGGGGAGGGGGGAAAATAAAAAATGCGGGGCACAAATAGGCAAAGATGTATGCAGGAAAAAACAAACAAACCCCGTTCATCCACCTTGTCCCATACCGTTAGTATTCGTTAGATCAGGGTTATGTTGTCTCCGTCTCCATATTGGGGCCTTCTTTCGCCTGTTGATAGCAGCCTGTTGCTGCGATTCCGCGACTTCCATATCCAGATCTCCATCATCATCCCCGCCTCCCTCCAGATGAGTGAGGTGGTAGACAGCGGTCTCATCGAGTTCATTGATATTATCTGGTTTCATCCGCAGCCACTTCATACGCGGTCCCGACTTAGCACGCTCGGACACTCTGAAGCCATAAATGCGAGGTTCGTATATTTTGCCTGAACCGAGACCTGGTGCAAGGTTCGATGTCATGATGCCATTGATCTGGGTTGGTTGCGTTGGGGGCGGTTGGGAGATTGACGATGTTGGCGTCGGGGATGCGATGGAGGGATGCCGTGAGTTTGTGGCCATAGTTGTAGTCGAATTGCTGGTTGGAGACGTGGTACTTTCGTTTTGAGCGGCGACATCGAGTTCGGGGAATGTCATGAAAAAGAGACAGCCGAAAGTTGTGCCGAAAAATGCACCATCAACGTGCTGGAATCTGCTGTTTGGTGGAGTGTATATATCCTGGCAACTTGGACAAAAGAGCTTTACGGTGTCGACTCCCGGCGTGTCGGTAACACCGACGGGGAGGACCTTGCACCCATTGCAGTAAACACGAGGACATACACCAAAATGTTGCAGCTCGTACTTTTCTAGCATTTGTTGGATACCAGGCCTCGAGGTAATATATCGCTGGTGTATCAATCCATAGAGCAGCTCAGCAGAGCTCTCAATAACACTCAGATCACTAGCAACACGCGAATGTCTTCGGTCGCCCGCCTTCCGATAACCTGGGGGCCTATCATCTCCTAAAACGGCGTCTTCGTCCTCATCGTCATCCTCATCCTCCTCGTCATCCTCCTCATCCTCAGGCTCCACGTCTAATATCAATTCCAGCGCCTCTTTGTACCAGGGCACCTGGGACTGCAAACCAGTCAAATTAAAGTCATCCTCAATGAAATCTTCCGAGACTTCTGCAAAAAACTCGTGGCCCATCAGTGAGCAGTAAGCTGCAATCCAGGTATCCGGAGACCCGTCGGAGGACGACATGGCGAAGGAGCTGAAGGTTGATCTGGACGGCGTGGAGGAAGAAACTTGGCTCAAGTCCAGCCGTTCCAGGCCTTCAGCCAGTGATGAAGGCGAAATCTTCGACACGATGACCCCAAGCTTTGCGAATCTCTAGCGTCGGAATTGCGAGGGGAAGAGGAATCGAATCGGGTCTGGGGATGCAGACGAAGGTTGGGAGTCGACCTCACTCAAGACGACGGGAACATACCTTATGCCTGATGTAACGAATTGATCCTTAGTATGTAGGTTTCGTATCCTGCGCGGTGTCTTTTGGTATGAGGAAGGGGCCTCTTTGTGTTTCCTTCGCAAACCAGCCGAGAGCTATGTACTTGACTCCGTTCAATCATCAAATAGAGGGGTACTATTTAAGATGCGGTGCGGGACGAGTCGTTTGGCCAAGGACGGAATAGTTGTGCAATTACGTTAGTCCTCAGGGTTCCCCCCAAAGCGACAAAGAAAGTTCTGGTGTGTTGAAGCAAAGATCCTGTGTTGCGGCAGGCACATGTGGTTTTGTATGATAGGAATGCTAGAGTGGTGTGTGGGAGTGTGCAGTCTGGTCATGCAGATAGGCCTGATATGCAGATTGCTGGGGTCCCCGAGGAGCAGATGGCGCGGCTGGGGAGAGAAGAACTGCGGACACGGTACTCTGCAAAATACCAACAGGGAGAATTACCTCGGGTTACTAACAGTTGTCAGCCTTTTCTTCCAATATTCTTATTTCTGCCTGCGTTTGCAAATGCTTTCAACTGAGGCGCAAAAGCACATGATCGCAAGCCAGGTCACGTGAAATATATTCTGTAAATACTGGTTAGTCAGCATTAATCTGGCTCCGTTGATTGTAGTTAGGGTGAGTCAAACGCTTAAATCTTTAAACAGATTATTCGGATTTTAATCTGAATTTCTTTCACTCAACCACTCATTAAATTAAAGTAATTATAGAATTATTGCTCTTTTATAGTATATTATGTTTACTGTATTGTAATAAAGTTCATAAATATGATATATATTATAAAGTAAAAATATTAAAAATTTGAACAATTAATTATTTATTATTTCAATAGGTTTTTTTTTAAGTTTTTCTTCTAGTTAAATCTTTTTTATAAAATTTCACAGTTTATATATCTCTTGTAGTTTTACCTTTTTTTTTTTTTTTTTTTTTTTCTCAATGTATAATCAATATATTTTAATATTAATTATTTTAAAATTGTAAATCTTGATAATTTCAGTGATTTTTATTTTTATGTTAGAAGAAAACTTTTCAAAATTTTATGTTACAGTAATTTTGATAATTTTATACTTTTTTTATTGAGTATTATAATAAGTAGTTAAATTTGATAGTGAGATTAAATAAAGTATAAAACATAGTTAGATAATGTAATGGATCATCTTTTCATGCAGATCAACCTTCTTATAACTTCTCTTCATTCAAATATATTCAAATTCACCAAATTATTAAATATGCCCACAAAACTAAAAGATCAAGCTTCTAATCAAGAAGGAAGGTTCTCTTTAGCCATTGAGGCCTATAAAACAAGCAAAATTTCATATATTATAACTGCTGTCAAAACATACGATGTTTCACCCTCAATCTACGCGATTGAATCAAGGGAGTTAAAACACATTCAAATGCTCAACTTTCTTAGAGAAAGCTGACCTTCATAAAGTAAGAATCTCTAGTCCAATGGATAATATCCATGGATGAGAGAGGTCAGCCTCCTCGAATTGAAAATGTATGAAATATGACGGATTTACTACTTTCTACCTGAGTAGAATTTACTGTGGGAGAAAAATTGTTCAAAGATTCATTACACATCAGAAGGAACCAAATACTAGATCCCAAGCAAATACAATTAGAGTGAGCTTTATGTGAAGATCCTAAAATTGTATGAGAGTGAAAATGGCTGGACCGCAGATAAGCTGAGTATAATTTGACTCAAGAAAATCTTTGAGAAGCACCCCAGAGCTCATACAATTGGCAGATATAGACTAGTAGAGAGGGTTTGACCGTTTAAAAAGAGGTAAATTGCATATAAGGATTCAATGAAAAGGAGGAGGAATTAGCAATCTGATCTACAATTATGAAAGCATGTAGTACCTCAGAATAGTGTATACAAGGTCTTGAACATGTTGCTCATACACACTCTCAGTATAGAAAATAGTTTATACTGCAATTAGGAGCTTTTCCTATACCATTATTGTGAAATTTGATTGTAAAGCTATTAGATGGTGGAGGAGCTGACGGGAAGGTGGTGGATTATGTTATAGCTGTCATTGTGTTAAGACTCAATGGATGACAAGAAGGCTGTACAGAGCGTCCCACATAAACTCAAACCATAGGTATCTCCTACTACATATATCAGCATATATATGTACAATCCATTAAGGTGCCGGTGAAAAAATAGATCCCAGCAAGGAAAAAAATAAAGGAAAAATGAACAATCTAAAACACATCTCGCATAATCCGTGCAAACTCCGCTTCACTGCCAAGAATCGAACCCAGTCCCTCCGCATTGGAAAGCTCACTATGGGCATTGACAATCTCCCCATTCATGCTATCCCCGGTGCCATTAGCGTGAGTTAGGAAGCCACCATACCCTCCCACAGCTTCGAACAAGTTGGTCAGCTCGTTACTCATCTGAATCCCGTCCTGCGGGCTGCTGCTCAGTTCACCGCTCGGGTTGATGTCACGGTGGTAAATCGACATCACATCCATGGGATGGCCCGCTAGCCCCGCCATGGCAACAGCAGCAGTTGAATGTGGGTCATTCAGATCCGGCGGGGCGGGACGATTGATGAGACCCAGTTTCTCCCCAATGCCCCGAAGCCCCTTGATCATTTTCCACAGGCGTTTTGAAACGTAGGACTTGGCACTGAACCCTTTGACCAGGTCCAGAGCCATGTAGAACTCGTCGCGGACCTGTCGATTGAACTCAGCAGGCGCGTGTGACACGGCCAAAAGGAGGACTGCCAGCGCGGAAACCAGGAAATAGTTGAAGAGCATCTGTTGGGTGCGGTAGATATCGGATGTCTGATTGAGGTGGGTAAGGACGCGGACGGTGTCTTTTGCAATGTCGACGACGGTGTGGGCATATGCCATATTCTCAAGGATGCTAGATGTGGAATGTAGGACGGGCCGGTAAATCAGGATTCGCATGTGATTGCCCCGTATATATAGTAAGACTCGCAATCGTCGAACCTCTCTGTCGACACCGTCATTACTCACGGGAGATTCAGAAGAATGGAACCTCAGGTTTTCGGGAACATTCTTCAGCCATTGCAGAACTTGGTAATCAAGGAAGCCAATCACTTCTCTTTTGGCGGTCGACGTGCCTATGGAGCCCAAGCCAGAATACCATATCTTAGAGCTGATACGACAATACGCCACCATCGCCTTCAGGTACGGGACAGAGTCATCCTGTTAATTTTATTCACGGCCACTGTTAGTTGACGGACATTGAATCCATATAGGTAAATGCCAGGGAGAGATTTCTCACGGGTTCTGGTAGAGAGGAATCAATATCCTCGTCCTGAATGACAAATGGCAGTCCCATGCCAAAGCTCCAACGTCGATCCAAGCTGTATACTGACCAAAACATCTTAACAAGAGAAGACACATCCTCTTCGCTTGGGAGTATTTTAAGCATGCCATCTCGTCTATGCAGTCCGAGCTCAAGGCACATGCGGGTGGCATAGCCAATATATCGATATGCCATAATATCATCATCGGTATGAAAATAGTAGGTTCCCTAGAATAAGGTTAGCTAACATGTTCTATTGAATGATTGTACAGTCCCGATAGCATCATCATAAGCATCATACCATGAGAGTAAAAAGCTGGATTGTTTTTATATCGGCGGGTTCCCACAATCTACTTTCGATCCTATGTTTAGTAGTAGTGAAAAACCGATTTCCTAGTGTGCTCTGGCCGTCACCTTCGAGGACCAACGTAATTGCCAGGACCATCTTCAGGATGCAAGTGTCATCGTCGATCAATAAATCAGGCCCCGGTTTAAAGCACTTCGCAAAGCCCGTCCGAGATGCTGCATCCAGAAAGGTAAAGAGCAGGTTTGTGTGAATGATCACCTTCTGAATATCCAGCACGGGATACATGATTCCAACTTCCCGTTCGTAAATATGACATAGCCTAATGGCCTCTTCACGTTTTATTACCCACAGGGGATCCTTATTCGGATGGGCCAGAAGCTGTGGGATAGGGGGTAGTGTTTGCTGCTGTTGGGTTGGGGAAGCAGCCGGCGTCGCATCTTGACTAGCAAACAGCTCATGATTGCTATCTTCAGCTGGAGTAATGCCCATCGTTTGGAGACTTGACTTGGCAACGTGGAGGTTAAATGTGGTGCTCGTGGGCCCATGAAAGCGAGGATAGCTCGATCGAGGCCGTGATGAGTTTTGATTCTGAGAATCATAGCTTGGCTGGGATATGGAGCGTGAAGCTTCTCGACAATATGCACTGGTCTCAATGGCTGAAGTCTCGGTCTTGTGGTAGAGATCATTTATACTTGCAAATAATGTGTTCACTTGATCTTGCAGCGTCTCGATATGCTCTTTCATGGAACGAAATTCTCTGGTAGAACGTATGCCGCATCAATTAGCAAAACAGCTCGCAACAAGTTGGCTACCGGGGCATAATATTAATAGTGACAGTGGCTTTTTAAAAGCTAGTAGAACTACGGAGTCTATTATCCTACTCTGAATCTTTGATGCTACGAGTGCAGCAGTTGGGGGCGTAGAGACCTAAATGAGAATAGAACGTGAGCCTGCGGGCCTACCCATGTGTAGGTGTACCAGCGATTGACGATGCGGTCAGTGCCAGAGCCAGAAAGCTTACTTACATTCCAAGGAGAGATGACCGCAGCGCTGGCAGGGCACTTGGCCATTGCACTTGATTTTCCGTCTTTTGCATTCATTGCTGTATTATTATCAAAGGTGTTAACTAGATGCGACCACCAGAATGACAGCTTTGCCGGAATCAATGGCAGCGGATAGTATGAGCTACGACTAACCAGGCCAGCGAGATGTAGCGATTCCGCTTTGTCCGGGTCTGGATTCCGCTGTTGGGTTCCACTTTTCGTTTAGCAGCATCGCCACCGTTGTTACTGCTGCTGCCACTGGTCGCGGGGGGGCCGTCTGCAAGAGCGTCGGCAACGGGAGACATCGAAGTCATCGTGTGAGGAGCGCAACAACGGCCTGCCAATGTCACATGGGAAATGGTTATGGTGGCAGCGGCAATAGGTGATAGTAAATACCTTGTTGAAACTCTGTTTCCTGGAGGGGGAGAGAAGTTGTGGGGTAGCTAACTGGAGACCGTTGGGTGGAATAGCCGGCGACAGACAAGTTATTTAACTAAATATTGTTAGACCAGTGAGATAAATTAACTTACTACTAACTAACTAACAATAACAATTTCGCAGTTTGCGGCTCGTGATGTTTTGGGGCTAACTACTCCGTATAATAAAAGACAATGAAGAGGCCCTTTTCAACTTCAGCTACAGTTAGAGCCAAGGTAAACCCATCACGCTTCATCCCACTCAGTACTCTCTCCAGCAGTGATATCGCCGCATTCCGTGCTTCATATTTCCAACCACAGCTGCCCGTCATCCTCCCACGAGGCCAGTTTAGCCAGCTCCCCGCAATCCAAAAATGGTTCTCAATTGATTACCCTTCTCATGGCGGCACCAACGCGCCGTCCTCGGTTCGGAGCCTCAATTACACCTACCTAGGAAGACATAGTAACTGCTCCGTTCCCCTCGAATTGACCTCTTCCTCTCCAGACAGCCCAGATACCCCACAATTCCAGCGTTTTTATGCCCCTCTAGACCTGTTTCTCAAATGGACCAAAACAACAACTGGGAGCAATCCCTCCAACAGTCGCCTTTATCTCGCCCAATGCCAACTCCTAGACCTACCCCAGGATCTCCACTCTGACTTCCCAACCCCACTTTTCGTCTCTGAAGCTGGAAGGGGGGATATATACGATACTAATATCTGGATGGGCATCCCACCAACATACACACCGTTCCACAGAGACCCCAACCCCAATCTATTCGTGCAGATGGCTGGGCGGAAAGCTGTCAGACTGTATTCACCAGACACGGGGCTGGCGGTGTTCCAGCGGGTGAAAGCAATGGTTTTGTGGCGGCAGAGCCAGGACGAAAATGCAATTATTGCAGATAGAGTGGTTGCGGATCATGCAAAATTTCGCGGCGAGGAGATGATGCAAGGGCTGGAGAAGACATTGCTTGAAGCCGAGGTTTGGGGGAGTAGTGCGGAAAGGGAACCAAATGAAGCGGATGGTGGGGGCGCGAGCGGCAGCGAGAGTGGGATTTCCAGAGAAGTTGAAGACGAAGCTACTAAAACGCACGGATTCGAAGCTCATCTTGATGCTGGGGATGGGATGTTTATCCCAATGGGGTGGTGGCATAGTATCAAGGGAGTTGGTGAGGGCATTACGGCTTCAGTAAGATTTTCCTACCTTCCTCTCTGTTAACCATATCCGTCCCGCCCAAATATATAAGTCAGTTATTAAAAGTTTCCAGAATTCTGACTTACCAATGGAATAGGTCAATTGGTGGTTTCGATGACCGCCGCTAAGCATCCCTTTCCACTTGAACCGCACATGCACACTACATATCATCCACGCACCTACACCGTGGTTAAATACATAATTGATAAGAAAACCTATCGCGAGCAATGTCGCTTTTGGAAAGTAAATCATCAGAAAATGTTTGTTCATCATTCATTCACCCAACACCCACCCAACTGCAGGTACCAGATTCTCTAATAACTGCTAGATACCACCCAATAATGTTCGCTCGTGTACATAGACATCAATAATAAGAAGGCTAAAGCATTGGCCTTCGCATAAATTAATAAAGCACTACAAATCCAACCGTGTTCTGAATGATGAAGATAATAGAAGAACTCGATGGAAATAAAAGGGTTGGGTGGCCTGCGTTTAGATATTATTCTATATGCATACGACATGGAGTCTGCTGGAAACTGCGAAGGCCCCTAGTCTGCGTCAATATCTTAAGAGAGAAGACAAAAAGAACCGTAACAAGGGCATTGCATGTTGGATTGTATCGATACAGGTGGCGATAAGAGCCGGTTACTCGAAAAACTTGTTAAAGTATTTATCAACAGAATTTCTGTTTCAGGGAAGCGATCATCAGCTCATGCACGGTAACCTAAAAATCTACCTTGAACCTATCCTTAAACCGCAAAGCTGTGTTTGAAATTTGGGATGAACCATACAACGTCACCCCTGATTGTATTCTCCCGCTTTTCTTTGTTTTCGAGGGGGAAAAAAAAAGGAGAGAGAGAGAGAGAACTCACTTTGGTGGTGTAGGAACGAATTTCCTCGTATACTCATCGATCTCTGCGACATCCGTGAATAAATCCACCTCATGCGGTTTCAACCATTTAGACTTCTTGATCAACTTCCACCCCAAGAACAACACCGGGCACACGCCGATCATCGTGTACGAGAAAAGAAAAGTCGGCATACTCCAGTTCCCCGGCAAAAACACGGTGTACCCTCCCACAAACGCCATAATCAATGTTCCCGCACAGGCATAATATGCAAGATACGGCTGCCAGTAGCCCTTGTATGGGAGGGAGTCGCGCGACACACCCTGCGCGTGAAGCGCCTTCATGAACCTGGTGTACGTAAAGGCGATTGAGAAAAAGTTGAGCAACTGTGACGCAGTAACGAGTGAGACGAACCAGTTCAGCACGATAGCGGCGTTGTTGGACACTTGCAGGAACGACAATAGGGAAATCAGCAAGACGAGCCCGACGCAATATATCGGCACACCATGTTTGTTGCATTTGGTAAAGATTCGTGGTGCTTTCCCCTCAAGCGCAAGTCCGAACAAGCTGCGGCTAGCGCAGTAGACGTACGAATTGCCTGCGCTAAACGCCGCTCCCAGTATCATTGCGTTGACGATGTGCGGGAGGACTTTGATCTCTAATCGATCCATGGCAACGACGTAGGGTGATGCTGCAGCTCCTGGCAATCCTTGTTGGAAAGCAGCTTTCATTTTCGGATCATTGAAGGGGACGACGATGCCTACGGCTAAACTGCCCAAGACGAAGAAGGCGGTTAATCTGTAGAACACGGCGTTGAAGGCGCGGGGGAGGACATGGCGGGGATTTTCAGTTTCTCCGGCAGCCATTGAGACGTAATCTGGACCGGCTATTGTGAAGGAGGCCTAGAGGGTCGTGAGTTATGGGTGTTTTGGAGATGAGGGGATTCAGAGGATTAGAAGCAAAAGGGGGTTTATTACCTGGATCATACATTGCAGGAATCCTAAAAACCGGCCTAGGTCTCCCTTCTTATATGTTTCAGCGAAGGCGCCAGGTTGGCGCCAGTATCGAAATCCATATCGATCTCCAAGTGGATTTCCACCAAGCATGGTGATGAAGGTGAAAATGATGAGACCGATGATGAGAAGCGCTTTACCCAGTGCTAACCAGAATTCGGATTCGCCGTACCATTGGACGGCAAACAAATTGATGGTTCTACATTTCCGACCCGAACGAAATGTTATTATACAGTATTTTAACCGTAGTTTCTCCGATAAGGCATTGGAGTACTTACCCGTATAACACCAGTACAATAGCAATAATTCCAGCCGCAGGGACGACATCACTCCAGTAGTGGATGATGACATTACAAGCCACGATCTCGAAAGGAACCATTGCAGCTTCGAAGACGAAAAAGTTGTATCCAGTGGCCACGCCGAAAGCTTCATCAACATAACGGCCAGCAAATCGAATAAATGGGGAAGATATAGGAAGATATGTGACCATTTCTGCCATGCCTAATTTTTTTTTTTTTTTTTTTTTTTTCCAAGCAATTAAGTCAAAATGATTTCCCTCAATCTAGAATACTCCTAATCAAACGCGAGAGCAGAGAGGGTAAAGAGAACATGAATCAGAGTTATCAGCTGCAAATCCGGGATGGGAGAGGATGGCAATCATTTGGGCCCCGACAGGTTTTTTGAAGTGTCGCACTGGAGTATATCCTCAGGGATAGTATATGGGGGGAAATGGCGCATTGGGCAGATTCAAGGAACAGCATATTCCCCAGGCAAAAATTGTCATTCTCTCCCCTGATCGGAGGTGCTGTATGAGGGCTGAAAAACTTCAGGAGATCCGGAAGAACTTACATATCGTAACAGCTAGTATGAACGAAGACCTATTTGGAGAAATGGGATATGAGATTCATATTTGCAACCGATATCGAAAATATCGAAAAGTGGAAGTAAAACACAAGGTGAGAACTTTCGCTGCAGGCCATGCTGCTGGAGAAGCAGAGAAGAAAAGCATGACTATATATATAATATCGAATTGTTCGAATCTCGCTCCAGAGAGACAGGGACAAACTCTTCTACCTTGGTAATGCTGGTTTCTCTCCAAGCTTCGCCGTACATGTTGAGTCGCTTCATCCTTTATTTCCACCCTTACCTGGATAATCTGATTTCGACTTGACTTTCTATTCCATCTCCTCCCCTTTTGCCCCTCCCTTGTTTTCTTCTCAGTTACACTTTGACGGGGCGGGGGAGAATAGGAAGAATTGCGATACAACATTTACAAAGGGACATTTATCAGTCATGGGCGGCGAGAAAGTCTGTCAGACTTACCACAGAGTAAATGCAAGGAACAAACTTGCAGGGCCGCCAGCCATCAACCCTCGTCCAATCTGCACGTACAACGCGGTTCCAATTGTTCCTCCAATCCCAATCAGCTGGATGTGTCGCGGCTTCAGCTTGCGATGTGTTTGATCCACCCAGAATTTTATGGACCCCTCACGGATAGAAGAGTCATCATTTTTCCTAGGGGAAACCGGTTCAAGGAAATCGGTGTATGGACGTTTGCGAATTTCTCCGGACGGGAACTTTTCAGGATCTGATCGTTTGGGCACAGGTTGCGCGGGGATTTGGGTTTCGATTGAGGTCGTGACTGCGTCCTCAGGCGGACCCATTCTGAACTGCGGCGGGGGCTCGATCAATTCGTCCTCCTGGAGGTGGTAAGATAAGACCGGGAGATATGTAAAAAGTCTAGGGGTGGGGTTGGGGAATGTAGATCTTTAAAAGTTGGATATCTCCTTTCAGGCCATCTCTCTTCGAATCCTGTCGCATGAAATGAGAGCACTCTATTGGCGCGACGGAAATCAGTGGAAGTGGAAGAACGGGGAGTAAGAAGGGGAGAGAAGAAGGGGAGAGATAGGGAAGCGAGATTTAAATAATAATAATAATAATAATAATAATAATAATAATAATAGAAGAGAGAGAGAGAGAGAGAGAGAGAGAATACTAGCTAGAGCAAGGGCATTGCCGGTGGAGCGGACCAGCGGGGGGTTGATCGACGACTGGACAAGGCTAAGCTCAGATTCGAGGATCCTTCCCAACGGATTGGAAGCGGCGAACAGCGAACGGCGAACGGCGAACAAGCAAGGGTAACTAACTGGTTAGGAGGCGCTCCCAGGTAAGGATATGTTTACCATCCAAAACCTCAGTTGCCCGTAGACTTCCTGGCAGTCCCGCAGATCCTCTCCCAGATGCTCAAGATATATTTTTCTCCAGGCAGGAAAAAGGACTTTGCATGTCTGGGATGTCTCATAGCCGTGCCCATTAGTCATTGCTTGCGAGTTTATCTTGAGTCGTCAGCAGCTAACTGTTGCTCCCGAGACACAGCAACTTCTCAGTTCAAGAGTCTCGGGGTGGCAACGCGGGTGGCTGGCAGCAGGTATACTTTAGCCCGGCCCTAGGTAGCTAGCTTTGGGCTTAGCCAAACCCAAACACGGTGTGGTCGTTTGCGCCATCCTGGAGAAGTAGAAGCTCCCGTTAAAAGGCCTAAACCAACCTTGCCGTCTCGTCTCAAGGGACCCGGGGACGGCTTACGGTCAAAGGCCGCCAACATCAACATCCCGTCACATCAGAAACGATCACTACTACCAAAAACCTCCACGAAAGCGCTTTCCATGATTTGTTCCAAGTATTGAAGGGTGTGTCGTTTCTTCCTTTCCCCCTCCACACAATGAGCAACGTAGGAGGTACCGGGCCGATTGTGGTCGATTGATCGTCTTCAGGTGGCAGCTGTTGTAACTGCCCGTCGTTTAATTGTTCTCAGTCCAATAACAGCTCGTGAAGTGGGTGATCAACTGTTGTTCTCTCCATCCAATTGGCCAACAGCCCTGTCTTTTCGGAGTTGTGCCACGGCCGCTCCATATCTGCTCTGCCATATCCACTTGAAGAGGTGCCACGATTGGCAGAATAGCTATTTAGATAGGTACGCCATTGGAACAAGCCCGAGATAAAAGGCAGCCGCTGGTCGGCACCCATGAACAACAAAAAGGAAATTTTTGTGCTATCTAGAGGCTGGCCAGGAAGCAGTCATTCAACAACCCGGTTCATTGCTCAGCCGCCGTGTTTCCCCTCCCAATTGCATATAATTACTAACCCTAATGGACGAAAGAGGCATTCCGGGTAGGGTTGTTTATTATACTTTACATCCAAGCTTTTAGCCCATTCGCTGTCCATCCCAGTAAGATCTAAATCGGCATAAGCGCTGATATTTTCCAAGCTTTGTTCTTCTGTTGTTTCCTGTGTCGTGCTGAATGCTAGATATCGCGTCAGCGATTGCCGAACATTTCCGGATATACAATGTGTCTCTGAGCCTGTGATCCATCTGTCACACCGATGATTAAACAAATCAGATAGGAAGCTTTCCGCAACATCAATACTTCATCCCATGCAAGAAATAGCGGCAATGAGGGATTACAAGGCTTGTTCTGCGAGCGGGAAAGGTAGAATCTATTCTTGGCTTCATAGGCATCACTTAAATATTCGCACGTCATAGCATTAACTAAAAGAAAGACTTTGAGCGGGAAAAAAAAAAAAAAAAGAACTCGGTTTCGGCACCTTGCCGTTAGTTATCCGGTTTCTGGACGTGGTTCAACGGAATTTGAATAGTTAAGACCCCAAACTCTTCCCTCAGATTCAACTCTTTTCATAGTATCTTAATTCATGCAGGCAATTATTTTGTTCGTGAAAAGCAGTTAGGTGGTTCCCGAACTTCAAAACATGTGGGGCGGTGTTTACTTTGGGCATCGAGCCATCCAAGTAACCAGCAGCAGGGATGTTATGCATATATACATTACGTATCTAGATATGAAATTAACCTTCTGACAATTTGTATACTCTCTGCGTTTATTGTGGCGGTTCCGAGACAAGAGTCAAACACCACACTAATAGCTCCTTGTCAACCCTATTTCAAAGTACAGAAGCTAAGATCCGGGACGCAGTTCCTTTTCCAAATCCACAAGGCTTTTAACTAACCAGTGTGAGAACCCATTTGCCTCCATGTAGACTGTATATATTCAGAATACATAGATAGATGTTCCCCCCTTTCTGGCATGGACATCTTCACAAACTCTACCTGCCCACAGTGCGACAGTTGGCTGATGCGGGGGGGCATTAGTTTAACTACCTCGGCGGTTTTGCTTACTTCAAGCACGTGATGAATTTCCCCGCCAGCAATGGAATCTCCGGGGAAACTGAAGTGAATAACTGGAGTAGGATTGTCAAAGCATCAGGAACTCATCCTATACAACCCGAAAGACAATCCATCTGCAATATCTTGCAAAAATATTCTTACATTGCACAGAGCTTTAGATACCATTTCTTGATCTCCCTGTAAGACAAAAAACCCACCCCCACTCCAACCCCCACCCCCACTCCCAAACCAAGCAGTAATTAAACAACCGGGCTCGGAGGCAGGAAAACGGCTACCTGAGCATATAAAACTTTTTGAAACTGCAATGGCGAGCAAAGGGTTTATGTCCAAGGAGGCGACCAGCCTTGATCCGCCAAAGGATGATCTAATTTCACTGGAAGAGCTGGCCAAATCAGATGGTGAGTCAACTTGTCTCAGCTCTGCGGTTTTCCCAGTACATTCACTACCTACACAAAACACCTTTCAGCAAGGCTCGGCTGTTTTCCACCCGAACTTTAGCCTTCTGTGCTTCCATTCCTTCTGTTATCATTATAAATCTATCTATATATATGTTTGTATTTCAATGATATTGGTTATGTGCGGATCTATTAATATCTATCTTCTCAATTAGGAACTGATCCAAACCGTCCCACCCTCGTCGCCATTAAGGGTGTCGTATTCAATGTCTCAGGAAACCCGGCTTACGGACCCGGTAGGAATTACCATGGTATGTCTTTGTAATCTGCTCTTTTACATATGGTTTCTAGAGGATGCTTGTATATATATAAGACAATCTTCCCGACCTTGGACTCTATATAATTAATCTCCTTTTGGCGGCCCAATGCAGTATTCGCCGGTAAGGACGCTTCGAGAGCTTTAGCATCTTCCTCGTTGAAACCGGAAGACTGCAGGCCAGACTGGTACGATTTGCCTGATAAAGAGAAAGGAGTATTAGAGGAGTGGTTTGCGTTCTTCAGCAAGCGGTACAATATCGTGGGGAGAGTCGAGGGGGCTACAAATACCTGAAGGTCGTTCAAGAGGCAGAAATGGGGGAAGAAAAACAGGACGGGCTGGAAAATGGTTCGAGGGGTTATTAACGATGAAATGACTTCCACTGTTAATTTATATGATCTTAATCGGCTGGATCTTGATTCGACTGCGGTTGTGGGAAGGAATAAATAGGATCAGACTGGAACGTACCACGTCATATCTGATACCCACGTTCCCCCTTGTTCCCCATTCACACGGGATGGCTTCTGGTTTATTATACCGCTGTTGTCGCCTGTTTTTTTTTTTTTTTTTTTTTTTTAAACGTCCTCGTTATGTTTCGAGCATCAAAGATGTTAACTGAAAGAGCGAGGAAAACTTGTAAAATTAGTTAGAGGATATTGGGTCGATTTGTGTACAACTCAGGGAAAGTAGTTTATATTGCTCTGTTCTCCTTTTTTTCAAACACCAGGAGATATATAAAGTATATGTGGGAATGAGGGCTATAGCCAATGACAACCGACAGCCCCATCAGCGATGATGGCCATCGTTCAATTCTTCCTATTCCTCCTCAACATTCTATTTTTTGCAATGATCCTGTTTCTTTTGGCTATTTGATTATCCTTCTCGGGTTTGGAATCATTAGGCTTGGATGCCCTTGTCATGTTTTCGTTTCCTTGTCCGTCACTCTCAACCCTCTTTCGCTTTATGCCTTTCAGAGTATTAGAATTGAATCTCGAGGAATCTCGCTGGTATGAAACTTCGTTCCTCGAGGCCCGTTTTTGCTGCTTCTGTCCTTCCTCATCATGATTCCGTGACTTCTCCTCCTTCTCATGTCTCCTCTTGACAACCTGTGCGTTCTCAATGGCAAACTCGACAATGAGTCGTTTCTTTTTCCCGTCTGGGCCTGCAACAGCATGGCCATTCAGCCATCGAAGTCCCATCAATGCCGAGCGGTGAGAGTAGTATTCAATAAATCCATATCCACGACTCCGACCCGCTCCACTCTTTTCGTTAATCTTACTGCCCTCTTTCCCCTCGAAAACGACCTTGGCTTGTCTGATGATTCCTTTACCTTTTGACTTTCGCAGTTTTTCTGCTTCTTTCATATCCTCGTTACTCCGGTGCAGTTCCTCTCTCGACAATGGTTCACGCAGACCACTCTTTACGTCTTTCGCAAAACCGACAACAGCCTCTCTCGCGAGCGCCTTGAGAGCCTTGGAGTCGATGTTTCGAGGTAAGTTACGGACTGATAGACGTGTAAGACTCAGGTGCAACACCGGATTGCTCTTGATGAGCTTCTGTCGTTGCTTAGCGGAAGCTTCTCTCATTGCAATTTCCGAAGAGGTGAGCTGTTTGTAGAGAGCACAATTCGATGGGATGGTTCCTTCAGACAAAAGGAATAATCGTCGTTTGTCTTTGTCTCGAGTCTCCCTGCGAGAGCTTCCTTCAGCTTCTAGTTTAACTGCTTGAGATTTGCTCACTGCGGGAGATAACTGTAGTACGCGACCGTCCATTGTGTATTTCCCTGATGGATCCTTCTTCTCATCTTCGAGAACGGAGTACTTTATAGCAGATGTTTTTGCCTTAGCATCTTCCGCTCGGGGTAAATCTGTCCGTTTCGGCGCATCGCGAAGACAAGAGTTCGCATTTTCTTTGTCCCAAAAGCACACAAAAGCAGTTCCCCTAGGTCTGTCTGTCTCTGGATCGAATACGACCCTGGCATACCTTAAAGGTCCAAATTGAACAAAATGCTCGTAGAGACTTTCATCTGTAGCAGTAAAGGGTAAGTTGCGGATAAAAATTGTTGAAGCGTTCCGGTCATCCTCAACTTCTGCATGCACTTCTTCATCGTCATCTTCATCGTCGTCATCGTCCTCCTCTTCGTCCTCATCATCAACTTCACCCATGGCGACATCGTCGTCCTTGTTCTTAGTCTCCTCGTCATCTTCTCCACTATTATTATCCTCTTTCTCAGTTCCATCGTCCTTAACACCATCCGTATGATTCTGCAACTCATCCCATATATTCTTCTCCGCAGCCCAATCAACTGCCAGAGTTCGCCCGTCAACCTCCTTCCCATTAACGGCCTCTAGTGCCTTCTCCGCGTTTTTTCTACCCCTCAAAACCACGAATCCAAATCCAGAATGTTTATTGCCTTTCTTTGGAATTACTGCATGTTTAACTTTCCCAAAACTTCGAAAAAGGGCCTCCAATTGCTCCGGTTCAGCTATGCTCCATGGCAGATTTCGAATGATGAGTTTTGGAGGTTGGACCAGTGCTCGTTTATTCTCCCTCTCCCGTTTTGGCTTAGAGGTAGAAACGCTTTTCCCTCCCTTTTCATCAACCTTTCGATGACGGGGTTCCGCAACCTCGATCTTTAGTTTCTTGCCGTCAAAAGCGGAGCCGTTAAATTCTTCTAGAGCCCGAGCAACATCTTCACAGTCTGCGAAAGTGACGAATCCGTAGCCTTTCGATTGCTTTGTTTGAGGGTCAAGAACGACGGTAGCATGTTTTAAAGGATATGATTGCGAGAAGTAATCGGTTAAGCTCTCTGTTGTGGCCGATAAAGGGAGGGAGCGCACGAACAGTGTTCGCCGGTTTTTGGCTTTTATTGGGGACAACGCAGCATCACCATCTGGAAGCGCCTCGGTTTGTTGGTTTGTTGCCGGAACTTTTCCATCTTCTTGAAAACTTCCACTGTCTGATAAACGTCTTCTATCTCGTGTATCTGTCATACTGAGAATCAGGGCTGCTTCTGTTGAAAATCCGAAGTTGGAGCAAAATAAACTTCATTGAAAAAATTAAGGGTGGATTTTGATATTTTAACCGCGCGCTTGTCGTTAGTTTTTGGGTTACTTAGCGCCAAGTAAGCAACTTATCTTTCCAATCAAAACAACCACTTTTCAGTGACCAAATCCAGAGAATTAATATATCGATCCATTAAAACCGGGCCGACACAGTCTCTATTTTACCAAATTAGCAACGAAAAACAGGAAGACAAGAGGTGCAAGCAGGCACCGAATTTCCGGAAGTTTCAATATCCTAGCACCCCCGCCGTTTCGTCGTATTATAACTGCTTCACATTTACTTGGTTGCTTTGGTCAAGCTATCAAACAAAATGGATGACGAATTTGGAGATGAACCGGATTTGGTTGCGTTAAATAGGCCAAATCAACCAGATAGAAGCCCAGCGCGTGCTCCCGCGCCAGTGGCAGATCGTATTACAGGGGTCCAGCAGCCCAAGCCCCAAGCACTTCCAAGCAGATCAGGGCCTGCTGCCATTCTAGTATCTGCAAGACAAAGAGGAAACCCCATCCTCAACCATGTTAAACACGTCCCTTGGGAATATGCTGATATTCCCGCGGACTATGTGGTTGGGAACTCAACCTGTATGCTCTTCCTCTCCCTTAAGTACTACCGTCTACACCCCGAGTACATTTATTCTCGAATCAAGGGTCTTGGGGGGAGATATAATTTACGAATTCTTCTCACCATGGTTGATATCCCGAATCATGAAGACAGCCTTAAGGAATTGTCGAAGACGTCACTGGTCAATAATCTGACACTCATCCTGTGCTGGTCCGCTGTTGAAGCAGGGCACTACCTGGAGCTATTCAAGTCTTGCGAGCATGCGCAGCCGACTGCAATACGGACTCAACAATCTCAGTCTTATAATGAGAGCCTGGTTGAGTTTATTACGACTCCCAGAATCATCAACAAATCGGACGCCGCTAGTTTGATATCGACATTTGGTAGCTTAGAGGCCGCGATCAATGCTCAACCAGAGCAAATTAGTGCTGTTCCCGGGTGGGGAGAGAAGAAAGTTAAACAGTGGCACGATGCTGTAACAGGCGAGTTTCGTATACGAAAAACTACGAAACGGAGAGCAGAACCATCCGGGGGTAAAAATAGAAGAGCTCAGATCCCAGACAACGGCTTTACGGAGGAAGAAAGTGCATTTCTCGCTGCTCATAGTGAGGAATATAGGCGTGACGTAACAGGGTCACAGTCCGCAATGCCAAGCAGTCGCTTACACGAAAATAGAAGCGATAGTGTGAATGATACGCAAGTTGAAGTACTTCTCTCAGAAGAGAGAAGAGTAGAGTCGAACCCACGTCGATCAAGTCAGGAAGAGAAACGGTTGGATGATGGTGTCATGGCAGCGCTTGATCGACTTCGAGAAAACGGCAGCTGAAGCCGTGTCTCCGCCGACTTTGTTCCCTATGCTGGTGATTAGAGCACGCCATGTATGCTAGAACGTGTTTACCATCCCAGCGGAATTGCTTGGGTTCGCTACCTGGTTACCGATCTTGAGATGGTAGGGCTATTATGGTCTACGCCGAGGTTTCTTCTGTGAGAAGGAAAGAACAACCACACTACAGCCGGATCAAACTCCATTTTCGAATAGTCATACAGTGGATATGCGGGGTGTTTGGTTTTGGGTTTTCTTTGGTTGGGGGTTGGGTGGGTGGGGGGGAGGGAGGTGAAGGTTTGAATTCTGTGAAGAGGATACCACGTACACACATCCACGATCTCAGTGTATTCTTTGGAGAGCTTCTGCAGAGAAAGGGGATCTAACCTTTGACCAATCTTGACAGGTGGTGGGATGAGATTCTGCCTCTGTACGCAAAATATCTACACGCATAGGTGGCTTTAGAGCGGAGCTTAACATAAACGCCTGGTCACTCTTCTTGCCTGTGAATACAAAACAGCAATAATTAGACCCAAAAGCATTAAAATAGGCTTCCAGTAATTACATACTACTATTATCATTTATTTTCATCCCCTTTCTGTCTCTGCCCATCGGATAAATATATATCAATCATAAGTGATCCCATCTCCACACAGCAAACTTGGAACCGGGGGACTCCCGAGGTCCCCACTCCAGCGTTCGGACTGCCTCCGCCACGTGACCCGCTTCCCCCAAGGTTGGAAATCGATCTTGGGCTTTAGACTGGCCGAAGCAACAACAACCTTTGGAACCCTTATCCTCACATCCCTATGCTGCAACCCTGGACGTCATCCCATCCTTTGTCCGCAGACCCGTCCTAGTGGTGAGTCGTTGTCCCTGCAGCTATCAGTTCCCCCCGTCTCCTGCATGATAATCTGGCCCTCAGCCTGGTCATCCCTCCATTCTCGTTCCCGCAGAATACAGCGTAGTTGTCATTCTTTGCCTGATTCGATTAATACCTTTAGCTGACCGTCAGCGTGGGGCCCTTGAAGATGGCATTATGGGGAAAGCTGCCGCCACGGGGACTGGCAAGGGGAAGCTCTGTGACGCCTCCCCTTTAGACGGCACCAGGAGCAACTCCAGATCCCTTGGCCTTCCAACCCCCGGTGCTTCTACTGCTTCTCAGCCTAGGGCCTCAAATTCTGCTTCTAGATCAGTGCCCAGTAAACCTCAGGAGGGCTCCAAATCTTTTGAATTCGTCTTGGTCACAGATACAGAGTCCCGAAGACAGGTACGGCGCCATGCTATGCGCCAGTATATGCGCCAGCGACGTCTGGAAGGTATAGCACGACTTGAATCATCTCGTGCTCAGGTTAGGGGCTGGGGCAGAAGTGGCAGCCCGGCGACTGGAACTAATCTGTCTCCATCCTCTTCCAGAATTGAAGAACTAGACGACGATGAAAATGCAACGGATCTTAGGAGCAGTTCCAGCGATTCTAGTCGGGGTAGTGTTGGTCCTGCCGAGCCAGACATCCCAATAATGAGAGATGATGAGAATCTAACCAATCAGGGAGATGAGATCATCTCGGCTCTTCTACAGGATATTTACTCCTCAGATCCCAAGGCAATGCCAGGTGCGGGATGTTTTGATCCTTTCAACAGCTATCCGTTGAAGTTGAATCGTCCTGATCAAAATTTGATACACCATTGTAAGTTGGCTTTATTACATGTTTGCAAACTCCTCACTTTCATACACCAACTCGCTCTACATTTGGAGTGGCTTGGACACTACAAATGTCTCCTACATGTGTATTTCTTTAATTTCAAATACCAGGCTGTTTTCTCACTTTTCGTTAAGTTGTCACTACATATCCCATGATGATGTATAAAATGGGCGATGCACACCAAAAAAACCCAATAAAAGATATATTTCGCCACTTGACTTTGCATGATCCAACCCCTTTTCAGGCGATGCTCGCTATTTCATCAAAACACCTAGCTGGCGTGGAAGGCCGTAACGAATCGGTCCAATCACTTACCCACAAAATGCGAGCCTTGAGGATGTTAAACGAAAGATTGCAAAGTGATGCAGGCGGGAAGCACGATGGTACAATCTATGCCGCGGCGACAATGGCAGTGATCGAGGTAAGCATCACTTTCCTGTAGAGTTTCTGCCACTTATTGTTCAACACTGATCTCCTACAGAAATGGTCAAAGGACCGGGACGTTGAACGGATGCATATTCAAGGGATTGAACAACTGCTGCGACGACGGGGAGGTATGAGCGGTATGCGGGCCACCAGCCCGTTTCTAGAAAATGTTTTATATTGGTTCGTGACCGATTTATAACAAATCTTTTTCCGGCTGATTGCTGAACAGTCCTCACAGGGTTGATCTGAGTTGTGCCCCAAGGGCTATTGTGGCAGCCAGTTTGCCCTGGACGGGAGATATACCTGACACAGTGCCTTCGACTCTCCCATACTTGTCTCCTAAACTTCATATACCTCTGACACCACACCATCATGTTTTGGGCACAGATCCGCAAGAAATTGCTGGCATACTGCAAGCATGCGAGGATTTCCTTGCCTTTTTCCGCTCCCTTAATGCGTTACAGCATTCCCTTATTTCCACCCCGCTTCCCGTTCCTCTAGATCTCAACCATGAAGGTCAAGCCTTTCGAAGTCAAAAACGCAATCTTTTTGACGCTTCAACAACCCTGTTTTCTATTCTCACCACTCTTCCCGATTACGACCATGGGATACGCGACGTTCGCTTTATAGATGAGTATACCTGTATGGCTTGCTTATTCTACCTTAACACCGCTTTGTACGACTCATATCTTAACTCTCAAAACTTTGACCACTACCTCGAATGGGTTAATCTAGAGCTTAAAGAGATTAACCCGTATTCGAACCCTAGTATCTCGTCATTATTATGGGTCTTTATGGGGAACGGGGGATTTATGGCTAATAGGCCATCTGACAAAGGTGAAAGAAGCTGGTTCGTATCGCGAATGGTGCGGGTAGCTAAGCGATTAGAATGGAAACAACGTGGCACATTATGGGATAATCTTCGCGACACTCTACTTGGGTTTTTAACTACCCAACAGGAATGTGGAATCGGGAGCGATCAGGTTGGTGAAGCAGAAATATTCTCTCGCAAAAATTGCCCTGGTTTACTATGGGATGAGGATGAGATGCGAAAGCACATTCTAGGGCCTCTATACACCGGCCTTCCCACCTTTTCTATGGCTCCTAGCTACGAAAGCTCGAGCTATACTCTGGAGCCTTTAACAACCGCTGGCGATATTAAACCGCCAACTTTCGAATTTCCATGAATTAAACGACCAATGAACAACGACTGCATTCTTCAAACCCGCCCAATTCGCCAGCAGGCTGTCCTTCTTACACCCGATTCTGCCATCTATACCTCATCTATTTGCCGTGTGGCGTCCAATGGTATCACATGTACAGTTCATTATTTGGTTCAATTTCCAGGTTCCGTGACATTTTGCAATTCACGGGAGGAGTTCTGTGGAGAATCAACAAAAGATGACCGGTGGGGTACACGATTAACGAATGACCTGATATCCATGTTTTTTTTCTCATCTGACTTTACCCGTGGGTGTTTCACGCTTTTCAAAACGCTTTACTCTCTCGGGATCGGAATATATACACGCATCTTTGGATGTTACATTACAAATTTAATAATATTTTCCTACTTGGCCGAACGTTGTTTGATCCATGTGATATCACTGGACGTCTCGCTTACTCCTTTTACAAAGCAGCAATGTATTTCGGCTTTTTCGAGAGTCTTGGGGTCTCAATTTTATCAGTTGGACTTCCCATTAACAGTTTTGAGATTCGTCATTATATGGATCCGTTTATACACATCTATTTAAATAACTTCTATTTCTATCTACGGCGACTTGGGCTTACCTTTCTTGGATGGCTAACAAGGCTGTCGAAGCACAGGAGTACGAGATAGAGACGCACACGGTGGCTAAATTATGTAACTAACAACATCATCTTCTCCGAAATTATAAACACGGTTCACGCTCCCATTTGGCAGCATATACAAACAGACTGGTTCGACAGAATTCCTTTTCAGACCTCTTGGGCTTCAAATGGTGACTAATTGCCCTACCTCTTCACGCTTCTTCCAAATTTGCTTCAAACGGACACACAATGCCTAGTAATTTCTTAAATGTGTCAAATGCGGCAATCAATTGTGTTTGTCTAGTCAGGGAATTGGGCTCCAAATTCCATCCCCCTGAATCAGCCAGTCATTTTCTTTTATCGTTCTCATGGTCAAGACTGTGCTTTGGCTATCAGGAATTGATATAATGTCCAAATTTGTGTTTCTTAATGATTTTATGCAATGACAACCTCTGGTGATTGACTCTAGTGGTTCTGAACTTGTCTCTCATTTATGTGAATTCTTTAAGTGCTCAGATGCATTAGACCTAATTTTATGTTCCGAGCACACATGAGGGTGTGGAGTGAATCTATGATTATTTACGGTGCAGGCATGTCACTCACTTCTCCTTCACAATCTCTGAATTAGGTCTAATTTGACAATGTACATGTCTCTATTTATGAACTAGATAAAAGATCCACAAGAACAAGAACTAGATGCAAAATGATCACCTATTAACACAGCAGATGAGAAATTGAAGCACATCTTTTCAGCATCATAAAACAATTGTAATGAGAAGATTGTGAGGGAAAATGGCAAGAGTAAAAAGAGGAATACCGCTCAAAGAAGCCACCAACACCTGGCTGAGTATTATCCTTCTTTATCAGGAATCTTTTGATCCAACGACTGTGCCAAGCACATTTCATAGTAGATTCCTTTCTTTGCGAGCAGCTGTGCATGCGTACCAGATTCCAAAACCCTTCCTTTTCCAAACACAAAGATTACAGAGGCATCTTTAATCGTCGAGAGACGATGTGCGACGGCCACCATCGTCCTACCAGACGAAGCCTTTTCCAACGCCTCCTGTACCACTTTCTCAGACTCCGTATCGAGGGCAGAGGTTGCTTCATCAAGCAGAAGCAATTTGGGAGAACGGATCAGAGCTCGAGCAATTGCGATGCGCTGCCTCTGGCCGCCAGACAACTGCGTGCCGCGGGAGCCACAGAGGGTGTTGAAACCGTCAGGAAGGGAGGAGATAAACGTGAACGCATTTGATTGGCGAGATGCCTCTTCAATCTGCTCCTGTGTTGCCTCTGTTTCGAGGCCCATGGCAATATTATCGCGGATGCTACCCTGATACAAAGTTGGTTCCTGTTGGACCAGTGCAACACCCCGGCGATATTCGCGGGGACACAGCTGAGCGATGTCCTGCTGGTCGAATTTAATACAGCCGGAACTGGGGTCATAGAAGCGCTCTAGAAGCGCGATGATGGTGGATTTGCCACAGCCGGATGCTCCCACAAATGCAGCAAAGGAGTTTGGTTGGATCTAGATATTCTTCATTTAGCCCGTGGTTCAGTTCTCAAGAGGGGTAAGGGTCCAAGGGGGAGTAAAAACTAACAGTAACATTTATGCCACAAAGGACGCGAGCATCGGGGCGTTGGGGGTAACAAAACTCAACGTTTTCTAATTCAACAAGACCTTTGCCGTGTGGTTTCTTATCTATATCTGTGTCAGATGTATCCTCATGGGCTTGAATTTGAGGCTTAAGACTCCGAAGCCAAAGTATGTAGTTTCCCGCAATGCGTGCGTTCGTTATACCTTACTGGATTTAGCTTGACTGTCCCTGTCGAAAACGAAAAAAGGGTTTAAGATAACTTACTAGTTGTATATGAGAAAAACTGAGCGGCGGCTTGACCACTGAAAATAACCCCCACAAAAACCATGAAAAATTGGTTCAAAGAATACACTCTGAAAGATACAAGACGACCGCCATACCTTTAAAGAACACCATCAGTCTTCGTGCCAACGAACGATGTAGATGCATTCAATAACGCTTACCAGAATCCGAGACACATCACAAGGAAGTCGATAGATTGTGCCAGACTATACCAAAACATTGTCCATACCACATTCCTTATAGAATGTTTAACAATTCCGTTCATACTACCTTGGTACCTGGACAAAATTTGGGTCTCTAGGGCTAATGACGACACAGTTCGTATGGCCGACACCGCTTCACTCGCTAGGGCCGCGGTTTTCGAAAACCGATCCCCCGTTAGGGATTCAAATTTGACTTCGAGTCGAATGCGCAGATACCCGCAGATCAACAACGGTGGCAAGCCGCCGAATATTGTGACCAGCGCCAACTTCCATCCAACTATGAGGGCGAGGATACAACTTGAGACCAAATTAACAAGCACAATTATCATAAGGGGTAGGTTAAATCCTAAAAGATCCTGTAGTTGGGTCGGTTTGGTTGACAGATTTGATGCCAAAGCACCAACAGCATTCTCAGACTTGTCAAAGAACTCCATGTCCTGCCGGAGGAGGGTGTTAAATATTTCCAAACGATATCGATGCGTGCATACCTATCAATATGCATTAGTAACGGCCATGGAGTAAGCGAATGTTATACCTTCATGGTAAACTAACCTGGGCGATACGATTTGAAAACCATCCAAGGGTGAAATACGCAATCAAAATCCCAATTGCGACCATAAAAAACATAAGAGCGAAAAAGTTGCCTCTGTCTACCATAGATTGCCCCTCCAGGGTGAACACCGTTATTAAGCGAGAGAAAATAACCGCTTGCGCAGGGTACACCAGCCCTATCGTTTCATAGTTCAATAAAAGTTTCAAAAAAAAAAAAAAAAAAAAAAAAAAGGCACGATGTCGTGATAGCACTTACCGCCCATAAAACAAGATATGACAACAAAAATATATTGAATCCCAACTCCTTTCTTGCTCTTTCAAGAATATGTATAAACAATGCAACAGGCTGTACTTATTCTCAATAGAAGAATTTCCCGACCCAACACCGTTTGTCAGTGCAGGTTGAATTGAAGATTTCGTTGTCGTTGTTCGCATTAATGAGATACCCTGTCCTGCTTCTGTAGGTTCATGTCCCTCAATAGTACTCTCCAGTTCATCGTCTGCTTTGCTACCTAGATCCTGAGCACCGACCAGTCGTGCATATGCGCCACCGGCGGCAATCAATTCCTTATGGGTGCCTTGTTCAACGACCTTGCCGGAGGACATGACGGCAATGTTGTCAGCATCTTTAATTGTGGCAAGCTTATGAGCTATCACGATGGTGGTTCGATTTTCAGAAACTCGGTCAATGGCCTCCTGAACAGCCCTTTCCGCGCGCGGATCCAGAGCGCTAGTCGCTTCGTCTAAAAGAAGAACCTTTGGATTGGAAATGACGCTTCTAGCAATGGCGATGCGCTGTTTCTGTCCTCCAGATAGCATACTTGCCCGCTCCCCGATTTCCGTGTGGTATCCCTAGCAGCTGTTTTAGTCAAGGTTTGGATAAATTTTTGTAACAGCTCTTCATACCTTCGGGAGCCCCTCAATGAATTCATGGGCATTTGAGAGCTTGCAAGCTTCGATTACATATTTCATTTTCTCCGATTCTGACAGGTCCGCTATATCTGTTCCGACTAGACCGTGGCAAACATTTTCGAACACTGTGCCACTGAATAAAACGGGTTCCTAGGGGATGTTAGCTCGAGTTCATTGTGGTTGAAGATCAAGGGGTCAGATACTTGTTGAACAAGCCGAATCTGCGTTCGGAGCCAGCGAACATTGAGTTGATCAACACTGCAGCTGTCGAGGGTCAACGTGCCACTCGACGGGTTATACCAACGTTCGAGAAGGCCGATTATAGTACTTTTTCCACACCCACTAGGACCAACCAGTGCGGTAGTTTTTCCAGCAGGGATTCGGAGATCTAAACCACACAAAACGGGATAAGCAGGCCTTGAGGGGTAGGAGAAATGAACATCCTTGAGTTCGATATCTCCGTTCAGCTCGTTTGGCCGGAGGCCATCCTTCTGCTAAGGGGTCAATTTTGGAATTTCGATCTATGGTTCTAAACAGCTCCGAGGCTGCTGAAGCACCCTTGCTGAAAGCTATGACATGGGGTGCCATCTGGGTCAGACCAGTTGCAGAGATTATTATGGCAAATAACACACTAGGTGTAAGTTAACAGTTAGTATATATAAAACAAATCAAGGGAATGAATAGTGGGGGGGGGGGGCCTGTACGTGACGATGTCCCCCGAATTACGGATTTCCCCATTTGACAAAAATCGGATCCCCTGCCAGAAGACCAGGCCGTAAGCAGAGTAGATACAAAAGTACTCTGTTGAAAACATGGCGCCGTAATTAGGAGATTTCTTGTTCCCTTCAAGATGTGCGAGCTGCAAGAAATCGTTGTATAATTTCGACAAACGCGGCTGCGCCCAAAACGCCTGAACAGTTCGAATGCTTGAAAAGGCTTCTTCTGCCAACGCACTAGCTTTGGCATAGAAACCCAGAACATTTGTTTCCTGCTTTGCATCGATCACAAGGCAGACAGTCAGAGCCACCACTATCACCGGTACAATGCAGATTCCAATTAGGGTTAGCTTCCACTGCACAACGAAGGACACAATGAAACCAGCAAAGAAGGTTGACATAGCCTGGACTGTCAGGGCAAGTTTTTCGGCAATGGCTTGGTTGACGAGATTTCCGTTTGTAGTTACATGCATTGCAGTTGCCCCCTGGTTCGAGGAATCGAAAAAGTTGATATCCTGACGGAGAGTCCTTTCAAGAAAATCGACGCGGAGAGCCTTGGTAGTTCTGATGCCAGCAATTGTGCTAGCCACCTTTTGGGAGTCAGCATAAGGTCAGAGATAGCTTTTGGCATGTCGTCAATCGTTACCGTAAAGATGTATGTAAGTCCGAATTTAGCGACAAATAGATATATGAACCAAAGACTTCGCATAATTAGTTCGAATTTCCCCAAACTATTTGGAAACCCAGGGTTCGAACTCACGCAAATTTGTTCAATTCAGAACGAAATTTCTCTGGTGACAGCAGTCCCGTGGCAAAATTTGTTGTATCTGTTACAAACCCACCAAATACCAAAGTCATCAGAGGCATAGCAGCCCCTGCCCCGACCGCTGAGACGAAAGAGACGAGATAGAGAGCCCAGGAAGTTGAATCGGCATAGGTAAACACCCTCTATGTTACATTAGAATTCATGACAGTTAGTCCATCAGAAACAACGATAGAGGACTCACAAAGAGTTGTCCCATGCCACCCTCCTCCGGTTTCTCTTCCTTGCGCTCGCCATCGGCGCTGGGAACTGACGACGGCTTTTCTTCAAACGACGACATTCTTGAGAGTCACCGGGGGATCAGCGACTATGCTGCAGCACGTAATAGTCTCGAATTCGAAACCTGGATTCCAAACTCGCAATACTTATATAAGGCCAAGAATATGGAAATATTGATCTTGAAAGCCCTAGGCACCAGCCGGTCTAAATTCCCCCGAAGCCCGCTTCTATGGCACTGCGGGGTCCGAGGATAGCGAGCCCGTTCTCATTCTCCCAGTCCAGATGGTTCTAGGGTTATCCGGAACCATGCCAATGGGACAGTTTCTCGTATTTAACGCGCGAAGTTTCAACAGGGTCAAACAGTCGCGTTTCTCGCTCGTTTTCTTCCTGGTATTTTCTTCCGTTGGCTGGGAGAATTGCGCCCTTGAGGAACGACTCCATGTGACTTCGGGCCTCTAGCGGTTCAGCCTCGGGCGAATCACTGCCGAAACAACCCGTTGGCCAGCCAAGCCACACTATGCCGATTGAGACTTCGGCAAGCCGCTAGTTCCCCTGCGGCCAAGGAAATCGGCCCGCGCGGACCCCGACCACACGAGGCAGCGGTGTTCGGGATGGTTTTGATCCAAGTCTTGCTGGGGAAAGCCGTCTGCTTCTTTTTTCATAAGGAATCACGTGCCGGGCGGCGGGACGGGGGAACATCTGCTGTACCCTCAGCAATCTCACCGGGTTGTTCGGGACGACGGATTTCACAACCCCCCCTGGGTGTCAGGAAAGGTTCTGGGTTTTGCGGGATGACTGCTGGGTGGCAGAACTTCATGGTCAATGACCAGAGAATCTGAAGCGTAACTAGCGGTGATAAAGTAACTACTGCAAAGCTCCTGTCGAAGAACCAACCGGGCGCGAAGGCAAATTTCCCAGGAGCTACACCAGATACAACCTCCATCCTGACGTGGTTGGTGGATTCTGGCCCTTAGTGGAATTCCATTGGCTCTTCAAGATCCATACCCAAATTGCTATTGCTACCCGCCGCTTCTTTCGGGTCCAGATGGACATTGATGGGGGTGAGGTGCCACAGGGGCAAGAGTCCGCATCCCGAGCAGTATGTCCTGCGGATATATGAAGAGACATATTCCCACCCCTCTTTTCAGCCCCAATGCCATCGTGCGTTACTCTGATGTCAAATTTACAAACCTGAATCGCTGCTGATGTCTGAAGAAATAGTGTGACAACTGTCGCATTCGAAAGGTTAGGCGATCTTATACTTCAATTCCCCCTTCCAGTTTAAAGTCATTCTCTCATTTACCCATCCTAGATCAAATGTGATCGAGCCTCACCCTGCTCCAATTGCCGAGTCGCAAAGTCTACTTGTCAAACCTCCCCACGCGTTAGAGAAAAGCGGCAGAGGGTTTTAATTTCTCATCAATAGTATGCCATTTATTTATCATTGATGTTTTTTACTTTTTTTTTCTTCTTTCGGGACCAAAAGAAAAGAGAGAGAGAGAGAGAGAAAGAGAGAAAAAAGCATGATCAGTACGGCTAAAAGCATTTTTTCGGCAGTGAGAAAAAGATCGAAATTATTGACCAGCGTCTTGCGGGTATTGAGCAACTTTTACGGTCCCTCACCGTCGACAACAAAAATTATAAACCTCCTTCACAGACCCATGGATCGTTACCCCCCTCGCCCAGCTCGAATGCATTTCATCAAGGAGCGTTGGAACAAAGAAATCTGCCGCCATTTCATGCAACTGCAAATGCACCCACCGCGGAACCCGCAGCAGAGCGAGGGGCAGAGTCGACAACGAGGAAAAACCCGGATGCTGAATTCGAAGGGGAGCCCTCGATGAGCGCCCATTCTGCACACGCCAGTGAGTTGTTTGAAAATGCTGTGGTTAAATCTCCATTGGCAGAGCATAACCCGCAGATGATGGAGGCGCTCTCAGCCCTGAAGGATATTGTTGAGAGAACAAAGCTTTCGAATTCCATTCATACGTTGCGATTTGCAGGGCAGAAACTCCAACCCACGAAGGTCGATCTTTCGAAACTGGAGATGCCGCCAGTGGAGGCGGTGCTCGCTCTGCTGAGGAAGGCAAAAGGTATGTTTGCTTTCTTACGGCTACTTCGCCATCACCTCGACACCTTTTAAGCGTACAGACGAAGTTCAGATCCACTAATCGAGAGTAGAATCCCACCCTTTCTTCCTGTTGAACCTCCCTTTCCTCAACTTGTCCACCATCACCCAACTCTGCAAAGATCTCTATTTTTGCACAGATGAAACCTCCACTGCCAACTTCGCCATCGTAAACTGCATTCTAGGCTATATGTTCGACGAAATACAGAATTTCCATCCAAACTCTAACTCCCAGTCCCCCTCTGGCCCTCAACACCCTCAGCACCTCCAGCCGCCGCCACCATTAGCATCATTCTCCTCCTCAGCCATCACCCAATACACCGTAACCTGCCGCACAAACTTCGAAACGGCCCTCAGCACCTTTGACCTCTTCCTCGAGCCCTCTTATGAGAACATCCAAGCCCTAGCTTTAGGTGCCTTCCACGCCACCGAGGCTTCCAAACCCTCTCTATGTTGGACCTTCGTCAGCGCCGCAGCGCGCATGTGCCAGAGTCTAGGCTACCACCACTCCGTCTCGGGCGCAGGGGCAAGCGAAGAGGAGCAGTATCGGAAAAGAGCCCTCTTCTGGTTCATCTATGTGCTAGATAAGGACCTGACACTATTGCTGGGCCGCAGCTCTACCCTTCAGGACTACGATATCTCTCTTGCATACCCAGGCCCGCCGTCGGACCCGAAATTGCGGTCATGGTACCAGATGTTTGAAGGATGGGTAACGTATTCGACGATTGCCGCGCAGATCTATGAGAAGCTGTATTCAGTACTAGCGTTGTCAGAAAGTAGCGCAATGCGGACGGAGAGGGCTTGCAGTTTAGCTATGATGTGAACGGTGGAGAGGAACGCATATTTCCGTACGTTCCATTTAGATATCACATCCCTAACCCCCCCAGCTATCTCCTTTTAAAGCCCACCATCTCTAAACTATTCAGGTGCAGTCCGACCCAGCCATACCAGCCCACCACGCCTCTTTCTTCAAATACGCTGCCGCCATGTTCGATCTTAGCTACTACTACCTACTCACAATCATATACCGCGCAAAACCCCCCTCACAACAAGTACTAGCACCACGAACAACAACAACAACAACAAGCACCACCCGAGGACCCGCCAACCAGAGCCAAAACACTCCCCGCTTCGCCGCCACAGGCCTCGACCCAGCCTGCGTCAACGCCGCCCGCAACGCACTGCGCCTCCACCAGCAATTCATCATCGACTTCCGCAACGACAGCGAGTTCCTGTGGAAGGGGTATATAATCTGGTCCCTCCTGCACTGCCCCTTCACTCCCTACCTAGTCATATTTACGCACACGATAGCCACGGCCGACTTAGCCGATCTAAAATTGCTGGAGGAAATTTCTGCCTCACTGGAGAGCGCGAGACATATCTCTGAGGCGGCGGAGAGGCTTTTTAAGCTGTGTGCTGTGTTCTATCAGGTTGCGCTGTTGTATGTGGATGTTAGAATGAGGGAGTGGGCGCAAAGAGGCGGGGCTGGTGCTGGTGCTAATGCTGTCGCTAATTCCGGTGTTGGTATCGGCGCTGTTGTCGGTGAGGTGGGGGGAAGTGGTCATGGTATGGTAGGTGATCAGCAGCAGATGGAGCAGCAGTGGGGAGCTGGTGAAGTTGACAGTTACCTGTGGGAGTTGGGCTTTGGGGTTCCAGCCGGCGGGATGATGAGCATGGGTAGTAGTAATGATTTGGGCATTGTAGTGGGTAATGGCGGAGGCGATAATGATGATGGCAGCGTTCAGGCAGCGTCATCGTCGTTGCACGATTGGTATCGCGGGAACCAGTATATGATGGGATTATTGGAGTCTGATTTGTAGGCTGTTCGGATTTAGCAGATTATTCGATGTGGACTATATATAACTAGCTGGCTGCGTGGATTACAACTCCGAGACGTATGTTGTATATTCAGGGATATCTAGGTATTGAGCCTTTCGCAGGGGAACGGCTCTTCTGCAGTCGGAGGACCACCTGTCCACGCCTACCTTCCTATCTCTGACGCCGGGATACCAAGCGCAAGACCATTACGAGGATGCACAAAAGAGAGAACAGAAAATGAATTGGTTTTCCTCAGTAGACAACGACTTCTATCCCCCGCCCGTGGCTCACGTCAACAAGCTCGCACCACCCCGTACTAGCCAAGAGAGACAGAAAAAGAATCCTCTTTTTTTTTTTTTTTTTTTTTTTTTTTTTTTGAATTAAAAAAATAGAGAGAGGAAGAAAAAGTACCATTATCACATATCAGTTCATATATACCACATCATAGACCAAACACACGCACACAAAATTCTAACAGCTTCTTCTACTGGGGTATATCATTAGACAAATGAATCCGAGCAAAGAGGACATCTAATAAAAAATAAAAACAAGAAAGACAAGAGGTGAGAGGGAAACTGAAGATAATCAAATTACCAAAGGAGAGCATTAGTGGCGCGGGGTAGTGGTATATAGAAGCAGGGATGACAAAGGGAAGAAGATGCATCACATAGATGATTCAGGGGGTCTTCTTCAGCAACAGGAAGAAAAGGGTCAAGAAGCAAACAAGATTGTTAATATCAGAAACTATGAAAATTATGCCCTTTTCTAAAATCAAAAAAAAAATTATAAATTAGAAAAAGAAAAAAAAAATTAGGAAAAAAATAGAGAAAATAAAAAGCAAAAAACCCCAAGTAGATGGAATGAAAAGAGAAAACACCGATCATGTCACAACGGCTTATCACAGCCAATCCGCCCCAACAACGCCTTCCGATCATTCTGATCACTCAACGTAACCCTGCCCCTCCCCGTCCGTATCCGAAGGGGATGATGCCCCTCCCTCCCCCCAGATGCCGAAGTAGAGCTACCATTCACGCCGCCAATAGCATCACCACCGCCCCCATTCCCCACAACAACAGACCCATCACGACCCCCAGCATCCCCACGAACATCCTTTCCATCCTCTCCCTCCTCCTCCCCATCACTCCTCGAATCCTCCGCCGACCCGCTCTTTAGCACCTTGATAGCCACGCGCAGAATCATAGTGAACCATATTATCGCGAGGATCTGGATGAATAGTAGCAAGGAGAGGAAGACCCATTTGATGCGGGGGCTCATGCAAATTGTGCCGCCCAGTTGGTGGAAAGGGTGGAGGAGGTGGGTCCAGTTGTCTATGGAGAGGGTTTGGTTGAGGGATTTGGAGAGTGAAGAGGGGGAGGGGGAATGGGGGGATAGCATCTTGGTTGTGCTGGCGGAATAGCACCCATAGGGTATTGCGTCGGGGATGTTGAGATAGATTGAGTACCAGAGTTTGTTGTAGATGATGTGTCGGGAGATAATCCATATAATGACGAAGACGATAAAAGCGACTGTGCAGGAGCGTTCGTAGCGGAGGTATTTTAGGATTTTTGCGAACTGTTTATTTTTTTAATGAAGATGCATTGGTTAGCTTTTGGGAAGGTAGGTGGTGGTTTGTATGGAGGAAAGTTTCCAGGAGAGAAGTTAATCTTACCGGCAGCACGTAATCTACAATATCCATGATGCACAGGACAGCATTAGCGACATTGTAGAAACCATACACATAAGCGGAGCCCAAGAGGGCGATTGTGACGATGTGGTGGACTAGCATCTGATAGTAATCTTTCCTCCTCTCCTCAATGTTGATGACGAGAAGCTGTTGAAACCAGAACGACAGCTGTGTCAGGCAGTACCATTTGAAGGAGTAGGTGATTTCCCTGGAAGGCCAATCGGTCCATAATTCGCGGAAGTTATTCCAGTATTTTGAATTGTACCAGAGGCACTACACAATGGCAAAATTAGTCCCGATTGAAATATGCCAGTATGTGTAAACTTAAAAACAAGGTGGGGGGGAAGGGAAAAGAGAAACACACCATTCCATAAGTCCAAAAGCCTAAATAATAAACGAGAACCCAGCCTTGCTCCGCTAGCCTACGAGAGGCCTTTTGTTTCAATCCGCTACGTTGTGCAATGGGTTGGAAGAGCCATTCGATAGCAATGGCTCTGATGGCGGTGAAAGCTAGAATGGCGCTAAAGGAAAAATATATATCATCCCAACCCTGGACATAGGTACCCTTTTCCGGCTGGTAGTGGGGCAATTGCAAGAAAGGGGCGGTGTATGGTTTGAGGGAAGGATAGAGGTTGTGGAGGGCGAATATCATTGTGGGAATGGTGACACAGATACCTATTTTACTTATTTAGTTTAAGTCATTTCTATGAGCATTGAGGATATGGTAGTGCGTGGAGCGTAATTTGCTAGAGTAAGTAGAGCATACCTATCTGGTTCTGCAGCACCCATTGTCGAAAGGAGGTGATTTTCTTGACCGTCCGCCGGCCATCGAGGGGAGAAACGCAGGCATTGACTTCGGACACGGAATTGGGATTGCTGGATAGTGTTTTGGCCATTGTGGAGGTACCTGGGTAGGTATGAGAAAAATCGCCACCCCTGAAGGTCAACCGTCCAGCCACACACAGAGAAGGTCGAACGAGGGGTGGAATTCGGAATTGACTGAGGATAGATATCGTATAGTGCGGTTGAGAGAAATAGTGGACGGGGAGGGAAAATGTATGGACTGGAATTTGGGTCGCACGGGACCGCCGATATGGAAAGTGGTGGGATGTAAAATATACTTATATTCGCCCGAGTGAGTGGAGGGCACGAAAATGTATGTCTTGAGAAGCCCGGAACTGGCGGAACCGGGAGATGGAGGTAGGTAGGCAGGTATATTTGCGATTGCGAGTGTGGGATATTATTTCGGTGAACTGGTGACAATATTCACCCAGGTGACCAACCCGAGAGATCTGGTTGGACGGGGGAGCTACGGGCTGTTTATAAACAAAAAAAGCTGGTGTTAGTGGGATACATGGATGGATGGAGATGGAGATGCAGGGGGGCAGAGAAACGAGGGAGTTTTACTTACAGAGATAGCTGGTCCAATTAATTGGGAGAAGAGGAAGAGGAGGTAGAGGGAGAGGGAGAGGGAGAGGGAGAGGGAGAGGGAGATGGGAGATGGGAGATGGGAGATGGGAGATGGCGCTAGGCAGAGGCAGAGGACAGAGACAGAGGCAGAGGCAGAGAGGAGTGGAGGGTGGAGAGAGCGGAGAGTGGAGAGTGGAGAGTGGAGTGGAGTGGGAGAGGGAGTGAGTCGGTGGCGAGTAGATATTCGCTGAGGAGTAAAATTAGATAAGGAGTGGCGAAACGGGAAGCAAAAGGGATTCCACCGCCGTTTGAAATGAGGAGAGATGGCCAGTATTGTTATCATGTTTGCTATTTTATTAGGGATATTTGACTCGAATGCTTTTTATTTTGCTGGGCTATCTTGGTTGTCTCTTATGGCGTGGCTATAGAGATGATGCTCCATTTCTTCACGTTCCCCTGTGCAAACTAAATATCGTTGCAAGGGCCCTGGATTGCCGTTGGAATGCGGTGACTTTGTACCCGGTACTTGGGCACCAGACTACCCGGTGCGTAGACGCAAGTACCAAATACCCGCTCCTCAACCAAAGAGAACAACATCCCTCCCTTCCATCTCATTCAAATGATGATGATCTCTTCGTTCCCCGTCTCTAAAGATGTTTCTTCAATTTCCCTGGCCATCCATCCCTATTCCTTATTTCCCTTCATTCCCCCCTGCGAATCCTGCACAGATCCTGTTCATGTGAGAAATGTCTGTCGTATTTGACATTTACTTTCCCCCATTCTCAACACATCTGAAAATCATTTCGTCCCTCAAACCCATAGCGACTTACCTATCTTGTGATTCGCCTCGGTTCCTAATGGCAGGCCTGTCACTGGTCTGTCACCCCATGAAGCTGTTCCTGGCCCGTGTCTGTTGGCTGGAACCTGTATCCGGGCCTGTGTCTGCACCTTTGCCACACCTTAATATTTTTATCCATTGGGAATAACCTATCATACCCCTACCCAGACTTCTGATGCCGTGGCTAAATACCGCATCTTCGAGGGTTTTGCGTCAAAGACTCGGAGAAAACACAAAATCAACCTATCATGTGTAGAGCCAGGGCTGAAACAGCTTCTCTGGGAGAGTCTTTTGGTAGTTAACTATATTTTAACAAAGAAAAATACATGATTTAAGAATATTTTAAATCTCATCTCTCTATATCTGTTATTTTCATTATTTTGATATTCCGCTTTTTTTTACCGACGTAAATTATGCGACCATGAATTATATATTGTTTAGTGTTGATCAGAGCGGCTTCATATATGGAATTGGATATTCCTTGTTGATATTCATGTAAATAGCCTCCTCATCAACTAACATCCAACCTTCAACCTTCAACACCACATAATAAACCTTCATCATCGCCATCTTCTTCAATAACACCGCCTCTTCTCCTTCTCCTCCCCTCCTCTCCACCGTCATGAGCTGGTCTCCGTCTCCATCAACATGAGTAATTACGATACGTACGTTCAATTCCCCTACCCCGGACAACAACCCACTCTCAGGATCATCCCAAAGACTAACAAGGAGACCCTCCCAGCTACAAAACCTTCCTCATCTTGCTTTCCCCCATCCTCTTTCGCCAAGCGAAATCTCTCTACAACTCCCTCCGCACCTCTCTCTCCCACCGCCCTCCACCCCGCCCCGTTCCCCACACCGCCGCCCGCGCCCTAAACCTCCTCTTCCTCACAACCACTCTCTTCCTCCTCCTCTCCCTTCCGACCTCATCAGGCCTAAACCCCTTCCCCCCAGCCGAAAACATCTTCACCCTCACCTCCTCCCGCCTCAACACCCCGACGGAAATCCTATTTTCCCGCCTCGCCCGTCAACGCCCAAACAACACCCTCTCCCAAACAGACACAATTCTAAAAAGAAAAAATTCACCTCCCCCGACCCTCCCCGAAAACCTCTATCTCCGTTTCGGCCCCCGAAAACCCTCACAAACCTGCCCGTTCCTGCACCCCCCGATAACGAATCAAGCTATCTCCTCTACTACCCTACCCACAAAAAACCTTCCCTGCCCCCACCTCCTCCACTCCTCATTACCAGGCTTCATAACCTCCGATCCCCTCACGGGACCCTCTGCCTCCCGCTGGCGCGCCAAATTCACCCTATCCGGCCTCTCCCTCCTTCTCCTTGAAACTCTCCTCGTAACAATCTACAACCCCACCTCCTCCACAAACACCACAAACACCAACCCACAAATCGTCCCACCAAGCTTCCACACCCGCCTCACAACCGCCCGCTACCTCTCCTTCACCCTCACCAACGCCCTGTACGCCCTAATTATCTACCTCTCCTCCACACACAGATTCTTCTACATCCCGCCCACCCCGTCCGAAATCGCAGAGAAACTCGTTGCGAATGTCTCCGCGACGCTAGCGGGGGCGACGGCCAAGATGCATGCGCTGAGCGTGGTGCGGAACGCTACGGTGCGGGATAGGGCGTTGAAGGGGAGGGATGATGCGTATTGGACGGCTGTGGTGGAGATGGAACAGGTGGATAATGATGAGGGTGGAGGTGGGGGTGGAGGTGGAGGTGCAGGTGTGAGTATCTGGGAGGAGGAGGAGGTTGTTAGGGCTATGACGAAGGTTATGCAGGGGAGGGGTGGCGGGGGGGTTGGTGAAGGGAAGGAAGGGGCGGTGGATATTGCCCAGTTGGGTATGGAGGCGAGTGCGTATGTTGAGGGGATTACGGAGGGGTTGGAGATGGGGGGATGATTGGGATGGTGGATGATGGATTATGGAAGTGAGAGCCGGAGTCGGAGTGGGAGTCGGAGTGGGAGTGGGAGTGGGAGTGGGAATCAGGACAATCCATTTTCCTTATGTTGTATTTTATGTTGTTCTATGGTTCTTTTTGAATTTCTATGAATTTCTTGTCGGTTCAGGTAGGGATTGTATTTTTTTTTTGCTCGCTGATTTTCTGAGGTAGAGAAAAGGGATAGGTAGGTGTACAAAAAGAGAATTCAACACAATTGAATGTTACTTTCATCTCGGTATTTGGGGATGCACTTTTCTTTTTTACATTTGACACAAGGAAAGCAAAGGGATAGACCGGTCAAAGAAAGAAAGAAAGAAATCATAAACCATAAAACGACGTCGTATGGAGTACAGATCGGTGGAGGGAGGACGGGAGAGGAGAAAAGATGTAAAAGGAAACCCCATTATATGCAAAAATCGACAGCGTAAATCCCAGCTCCCCCGGATAGTAGGAAAACAACAAGACGCCCAAACTCGCACGCAAACTAGCAGATTTATCCGATAGATTAAACTACAGCAGTTACACTCCCAGATCAAGAACAAAGGAAAAAGCAAAAAGTTTTATGCTAAATAGACTGGCAAGTAATCCGTTTTTCTCCATCTTCTCAAAAACATACAAAGGGAAAAACTCAGTTATATCCTCTCCCGCTCCCAACCGGACTGGTGCGCGGGATGGTATGCTAAATTCGGTTGTCCAATCATTTCCGGACTCTTCATCTCCGGACTCCCGGCTTCCCACTTAGCGAACTGTTCGTTCTCGCCGTGTCCCTTTGATGCGTTTGTGTTCACCGGGAATCGCGCAGGTTTGTCAGCCCTCAGGGAAGAGGAGCGCGTGGTACTTGATGTGAGAGAACGGTAAAACTCAGATTTCGTGCGGTGGATGGGCAGAACGGAATCATTGTGGCCCATTATGAAGGATCTGAAGCCCCTGTTGTTCTTCTTTTTATCGTAGTCGTCGCTGTTTCTGTTGGATATGGCGTCAAGGTCGATAGCGCCGTGGGTTCGGATGTGTCGGGCTGTGACGCCTTGTTTTTTGACGCGGTAAATGAAGTTCTGTGGGTTTAGTTAGTTTTTTTATTGAGATAAGATGTAATTTAAAATGCTTTTTTTTTACCGTGATAATGTTAATGAATCCGAAGACTATGATGACAATGCCGGCGGCAATGACGATTCGCCAGAAGGCAATACCCAGGATTTCTGAGGCCATGTCTTCTCTGTTCAGACAACCTAGAGTCATTATGCCGAGGAGAACCATTGTGATTCCGAGAGCGAGGAAGCCTGATTCCGAACTGAAAACAGGCCAGTGACTGGCAAAGTACACGGGGAATAAGTTTACTTCGGTGAGAATGAGGAAGACTATCCTTATCGTCAGGCTATGACACGAGAGAATGAATTTAGCCAGGGTGAAGAAACTACGACTTACTGCTGATAAATGTGGATATCACATTTGTCATCGCATCGAAAACGAAAAAATTGCTGACGAGGGAAGTCTTGACCAGCATGACTGTACAGGCAGCGATGACAGATAGGAGACAGATTATGTTTAAGACACGAATGGCGTTTAGAATGATATATCCTGGGCCAGCCAGGGATCGCTTAAACGCCATTTTTCTTTTTTGGCTGATTGCTGGAGGACAAAAAGGACGACTGCTCGATTTGATCGGCTTGGGTTTGAAGGCTCCCGAGCCTTTTAAAAGGAATGCTAGCAATGTGCAAGAGAAAATTCGACGATACCAGCGGGATTCGCAAAGCAGGTCCGAAGCAGGATATTGAGTGGTTGCGTTTGAGCAAGGAGGGATTAAGCAGAAGATAAGAAGAAAGTAGCAGAGTCAGAGACGTCAAGTATTGAAATAATGGAAGTAAGCAGCAGCAGGAGCACTTTTCCTGATTTTGGGAAGGCTATTGAAGATGAATAATAGTAATAATTCAGAGAATTGATGAAAGGAAGTAGAAGTGTTAGTAGAGTAGCAGAGAATTAAACATAATTAATTAAAAGCCGATGTTGCCTTGGAAGGCATCATCCAGTAGAATATAGCACATAAGATCGAGAGAGGACAGTTAATAGAATAGAGAATGGAAATGAATCAAAGAAGGAGTGAGACGATGAAGAAGAGTGAAGAAAAGAAAGAAAACCAGATCAATGGGCGCTGAGCGGAACACAGCGAAGAAGAAAAGAAAAGCCCAAAAAAAAAAATACAAAAAAAAGACGAAGAAGAAGAAGCTTGATGAAGGTTTCTGTTTCATGAAACACAAGTAACGGTGAATACCGAGCAACAGTAGCCATCGACGTCTCTTTCCTGTAATTACTAGATTCTACACATTAGAGACCAGTCACTGGCCGGCCCACACTGTGTTGATCATTATTTAATACACCCCGTTTTGTTATATTTGAGGACCCAGATATGGGGTGGAGGATCCTTTTAGTGACCTCATTGGCGCCAGCTTATTTTAAGGCACCCATTCACTAAGAACGGTCCAGGGCGGGGGAGAGTAGGAGAACAAGAATGTCATGTTTCATGAGATCCCTCCGCAAGCCCAGAATATTGGGCAGCATGAATTGGAGCTGTAGAAGCCCTGCCCGCTAGCACCACGACATCCTCAGGCGACATGGGAGGGAGTGGACAGCAGCGACAGTTACCGATGGAGCGAGTTTGCAGCGATGAAGGTTGGATGAAACAAATGTTGAAGGAATGTTGTTGTTTCGGAGGGGAACAGAGCCGCTTGATTGGTCAGCAGCAGAGCTTTTACCCGCCAGGGGAGTGGTCACGTGGGAGCTGCCAGCGCCTAGGGAGCTAGAGAAGCTGGAGCGGTGGGCAACAAAGTGAGCAAAGTTGATAGAATAGGAATCATGGGGGATTTATTTTTGCATAGATGAAAGTGCCAGCAGTAACTAAACATAGAAGCAACCTGATTCGGCTTCTTCCAAGTATCTACCTGTTGTTATTTCGAGCTTGGTACTTCGAAGCCTCTTTGTCCATAGATTTGGATCAAATGTTCTTTGTACCTGGAACTTATCCATAAGTTAACTAAGTTACATAACTAGTTAACTAACTAACTAGTTAACTTAACTAACTAGGTACCTTAGTTAACGTAATTCCACACCAAGCGGGCCACCACACTGAGCAGACCACCAAAATCAGCACATCCCAACTGACTAGATTTTAATTCAAATATCTCAACACCACAATACTCAATTAAATTAAATTAAATTACATGCAGTTGAGAACATCTTAATCTTGTATGCTCAAGAGTATTGCAATTGCTGCAGTGTGGTTAAGCTCATACACATAATATTGACTCAGAAAATGATAACTTATAGAGTTGAATAACTCTCTATTCAACAGATACAGCAGAGGAAATAATAAGATTCTGAGCTTTATTTCTAGTTAGACCCTTTGCATGTTGAATTTGATGTCTAAATCTATTCTGCTTTTACTTCTCTATCTCATTTGTGTTGAATATATTCTGATATTGCTTTCTCATAATAGTGATATTGATTATATCATATTTATAAGTTTTGATAATTTGATTAAAACTTTTTATTAAATCTTAATACTGCTGATCTTTCTTTGTAAGACTATTAATTTTATTTATCTGCTTCTGCAATTGCTGTGAATTACGAAATATTTGAAGTATTTAAAATAATATATTAAATCTACTAGATGATAATGTAGAAATGCAAAGTTGAATATTCAGCTGCTGAATAACATAGTTAGACTGAAATAACACTATTTCAGTAGTTCTGAAGTCACTTTAAATAGTTTGAACTTTGAAGACTCACTATAAAATAAACATCTAAAAAGTCAAATTTCTTAATAATATTAATTTTAATTCATATTTATTATTGAACTAGACTTCTATATACTCACTTTAGAACTATAAAAATACTTACATCTAGTGACTGTAAAAGATGTGATGAATAAGATGATATACAGTATATAATAATTTCATTATTTTTACAGATTTAATCAAACTCTAAAGTAAAATAACTATTATTTTTATTCAAAATAAAAAGAATATAAAAGTTAATTTGATATAACTTTACTTTTAAAATAAATACTTATATAATTTATTTAAAATATATTTTATTTATAATTCAGTTATTAGAACTGATATCAAGTCTTCAGTCTACAGAATGATTTTTAAATCATTTCTTCAGTAGATTGTAATCTTTAAGAATGATATATAATAATAAAGCTTATTTTAATATATTGATTAATTTAATTATAATAACTCATTCTTAATTTTCAGACTGTAGTAGCTTAGCTCAGTTATAATACTCATTATTAATAATAATCTTAGTAGTTGTATAGAGTTTTATTGTAAAATTAGTTTTATCAAAGTTGTATATATCTTTTGATAAAATCTTATACTCAGCAATTATATTTCTCAAGATATTAAATCAGCTCTGAATAATTTTTATACTTTTATATTTAATTTGATCATGATTGTAATGTTAAAACTCTCTATACTAGCTTCTTGTCCTCATACTGCTTATCATACTACTTATCAAAGTACTTTAAAATCAGATCTTTTAGGTTCTCACACTCACTTACTAAAGCACTTATTTTTATATTGCTTATCAAAGTACTTTAAAATCAGTACCTTCTATAGTATCAATATCATTTTAAAATTTAGTATTCAGAATCAGCATAGATTAGCACTTTTCAAAAATTAATCCTTTAGTATTAGTATTTTTTAAAGAATAGAATCAACACTTTATAAAAATTCAAATTACTATATTCTTAAATCTCTATTTTATAAAAGATTAAAAATAAAATCTATTACTATTTATTTATATATATAAATACTCTAAATTTTTAAAGTTCTTTTGAGAGATTCAATGATTAGCTACTATTCAATTCTATATATATATTTCATTTATTACTATTTTTTTTTCTCCATAGCACTTATAGTGCCTATATACCTACCCTCTTACAATTTTAGTTATAGAGCTTTTC